TTCCGTGTGGGCGCTGGGCTCCAGGGTCTGTGTTCTTGCACAGATTGCTCTGCAGTCTGTTCTCTCCACCCAGAGTCAGAGCTTTGCATAGATTATCATATTTAATCCTGAGCATAAGCGTTTGAAGAAATCACTGCTATCCCAATTATACAAATCAGGAGCTGAAGTTTTGAGGTTCCTAAGTGGGTCGCCTAAGTTCAAGTTGGTGGTAGGCAAGAGTACAAAGAATCAAATACAGGTCTCTGATAGCCCATGGTATTAAATACGTCCGTTTGTAGAGCTAACCTGATGAGGCCACCTCCTCCACCTTGGCAAAATTACTTTCTTTACAAAGCTCTTTCCGATTTTCATAAAACATATCAGCTCTTGGGATAACACCCAGGCACGGTCAAGGTTTGCAATCACACATTCCAGTTTAAACTGTAGTTCTTACTAGCTACAAGACCGTGGCCACATTTCCCGTCAACAAACCTCATTCCACACTGTTTGGCGGGAATTCAAGGATGATGTATGGAAACCATTCATGCCGATGCACAGTCTTTAGTGCAGAGCAAATTCCAGCAAAATAACAGGTCTGAAAGGAGTGCACATCTTGGCTCTGGTAGGCCCTTGCGGAGGGTCTGGAATCCACTATAAAAATTTTAAGGGCTTTCATCTTTTTGTCAAGGGGCAGCCACTTAATTGGTCCATGAGAAAGTATGAAATAAAAAAAGTAAAAGATATATTTATTTTTATTTCATATGTATGGGTGTTTTGCCTGAATATATATACAGGCCCCTCCTATGGGCAGTACCCATAGAGGCCAGAAGAGGGCGTCGGATCTCCTGGAACAGGTGTTAGAGATTGGTTGTAAGCCACCACGAGGGTGTTGGGAACTGAACCTATGCCCTCTGTAAGAGCAGCCAATGCTTTTAAGCACAGCTGTCTTTCCAGCCCCCTGGAACATGAAATGAAACAGCCAGATACTTTTGCTTGGTTTGGGAAAACAATATTGGTCCAAATTTAGTTTTTCAGAAAGTTAGTCTTGCTGGGTTGCAAAAAGCCCTGTAACTAATTAACTAATTAAGCTGCAACCGGCAAGTTAAATTGTAACCAATTGGCTAGTTGACTCAGCTGATCTCTTGGGATTGCTCTAGGCTGCCTTTCGTTTTTCTATAAGTACCTTCAGATCATGTTGGATTTCCCAGAAACTGCTGTAGTTCTGTTTCACAAAGCAGCTTGTTTTGCTCAAATGAGCACTACTGAATTTAATTGGTCTAAACAATCTTCCTTTTAGTAATCCTCATTACGAAACTTTATAAGGTTTCCAGAGAAACCTTTAGTGTTGTTTGTCAAGACTATTTACAGAATTCAGGAACATTTGTTTTAGCTTCATAATTTAATATTGATAACTCTGAGTTAATTATTATTATTAGCTCGTGGGTGTGAGTGGGTGGGGTGTGAATTGCAGAGGCTGGAGGAAGACACTTAGTGCCCTGCTCTATATGATCTTCAACATTATTGAGACAAGGTTTCTCACTGAGTGAGACAGTCTCCGCAAGCCCAGGCAATCCTCCCCGGGGTCACAGTGCTGTGGTGTGGCCAGTATTGGTCTATTACATCCATGCTGGGGATTCAAACCCCGTCTTCATGTTTGTTCAGCATGCTCTGACCCCCGAGCCATCTCCTCACAAAAGTTCTTACTACTAACAGAGGGCTTGACAAGGTGTTGATGAAAAGTCCACTACCTCTGCTTATATTTTCCCAAGTCTGCCAACTGGACTCATTCTCCTTAGACCGATGCGGTTCAGACCTTGCCTCGGCTCCAGGCACATGGTGCTGAAATCTGTGCAGTAACGTTATTCATCCCTCATCTGGGAGACTGGAATGTTCCAGGACCAGAAAGTTTTTAGTGCCATGGTGCAAAGGGTAAACTTCCTCCCTTGACTTTATCTGTTAGGTGACAGTCAAGACGTAAACTCACTAAAACTGCATAAAATTACCTTCAGCCCATGTGTGTATGTTATTAATATAAATAAATTTTATTTAAATTTAGGTGTCATCATCTCCATAATACCTCATCATATCTATACAAATATTCTGAATTTTAAAACACATGAAACCTGAGATATTTCTGCTCTCATGCATTTTGGATGAGAGATACTTGACTTGCATGATGCAATATAATGAAAGAGCAGTGTGGTCCCTGGACAGTGTCCTTATATCAGGGTTACGCAGGGTAAACTGAGCCTGCAGTCGGTAGTTAAAATAGTCCTAGAAGTCAGTGTTTCACCACTATGGCTAGCAATAGCTTAGCCATACACAGAAGCCATGTGAACACAAATTTATCTAAAAAAATAAAAACTAGATATATCCAACTTAACTTCTTATTCAGATCCCCGAATACCCACGTCCTTTTTGACAGTTGAGGACAAGAAAGGAAGTCAAATGGGGAGTCAGTGGTTTTACCTGGTGAGAGCCCCTGGATTTTACCAAAATACACGTGACTACAGAGCACATATCGAGAGCTGGTTTAGAAGGAGCCTGTGCAAAGTGGGAACCCTCAAGGGAAGCCAGGTAATACATTCGTGCTGAGCATTTAAAATAGGAAGGTAATATTTGTCAGAGCCATCAAACTGACCGAAGTTGATTAGGAGAAAGCCTCAGATGAAACTTTTACCTCAATTTTGGATTTGCTACACATTTTTTCATTGAAGCCATTAAAATCCAGGATACTGGAATTTTCTTTTGGTGGGTTCTGTAGACTCCCAGAAAAAAAAAATGGTATTTTTAAAATTGAAGTCTCTACAAATTTCTTAAGAGCATGCAGTGAATGAAGAAAAAAATCTCTTTTAAAAAAATCTAACACTCAATAAGAAGAGCAGAAGTCTTTGAAATCTGAATCCAGTCTTTGTCTCCCTCCCTTCTTCTCTCTGCCTCTCCTTCCCTTTCCCTCTGTCTCCCTCTCTCACGCCAGGTCCCTGAGGTGGAAACTGCCCCAGACTCTTACGGTCAAGAAGAGGCTTCCATGGCCAGTAGTTGGAGGGCTACCCTCCCCAAAGAGGAAGGGTCTCAGCGTCTCTCCCCTTCCTCTTTATCTGTTGCTGGAGCTAGGTGGTTATGAGAATGGCTGCAGTGTGTGGGTGCTTCCTCCTTCTAGATACCACTAGAGGATAAAGACATTAATTTGAACAGGGCATGCTGGAAATACCAGGTCACAACCACTCTGAACTGTCCATCTTTCTTGTAGTTCCTAGAAACTGAGTGGGTGAATAAATATAATTAGTTGGTAGTGAGTAGTTTTACAGTCAAGTGATTCTAATTTTTTTATTGCCTAAAGTAATGGATTTATTGCATTAAAAAAACAATATGTTGATATGACATCGTAAAGTGATTTGGAACATATAATTTGGAAGCAGTTCAAAGAATGGAGGCAGGATGCTTTTATAAAATCCTGCCTGCTCCATTTAAACAAAATAAATAGGAGTGTGTTCTAGTGTTGTTTGTTGCTGTGAGAAAATATTCCAACAAAAAGCAACTTAGGAGAGAGAGGGGTTTGGTTCAGCTCACTATTCCAGGTTACAGTTCGTTGTTGTGAGGGAGTAAGCAGGAACTTCAAACAGCTAGCTATATCCCATCTACAGTCAAGAGCAGAGAGAAACGCACGCATGCATGCATGCCTGCTTACTTGGCTGCTTGCTTGGGCTCAGCACAATTTCTCTACGTTCAGGACTCCCTGTCTAGGGAATGGTGCTGCCCACAGTGGGCTGGGTCATCCCACTTCAGTTAACCTAAGACACCCCACACATCTAACCAATACAGACCATCCCTCTGTGAGACTCTATCCAGGTGATTGCCGGTGATGTCAACAGAGTAAAAGGAGTTTTATAATAACCCCTCAATTATTTGAACCAAGATAAACGAATACTTGTCTGCACAATTCTAACTAGGGGTAAATGTGGTGATAAGGTGTTCCCCAATATATTGTGCACCCTAATAAATTTGTCTGGTGTCAGAGAACAGAACAGACATAGAGACCAGAAAATGGTGGCACTCATACCTTTAATTTTAGCATTCCAGAGTCAGAGATCCATCTGGATCTCTGTGAGTAAATAGCCAGGCATGATGACTCACGCCTTTAATCCCAGGAAGTGATGGCAGGAAGCAGAAAGGTATATAAGGCATGAGGACCAGGAACTAGAGCTGGTTAAGCTTGAAGCAGTTCAGCTGAGATCCATTTGGATAAGGACTCAGAGGCTTCCAGTCTGAGGAAACAGAATCAGCTGAGGAATTGTGAGGTGAGGTGGCTGTGGCTTGTTCCGCTTTTCTGATCTTCCAGCGTTGACTCCAATACCTGGCTCCAGGTTTGTTTTTATTAATAAGACCTTTTAAGATTCATGCTACAGGTAGGCTTGCAGCACTGTTTTGAGACAGAAGTCACACATTCTGATTTGAGTTAACCTGAAGACTCATGGTATTATTGACCATCTTTTGATGTGCTTTCTGGTGTTCTGCATGTCTTGTGTGAAGAAATATCTACTCAAATCCTTTATTCACTTTTAATTGTTGCTTTTATAAATTATTGAGGTGTGTTCTTTATGCATTATGGATACAAATAAAAAATGATGACCCCTTCTTCTTCGCTGCTGAGCCATCTCTCCAGTCCCAGGCCTGGTTGTTGTTGTTGTTTTGTTTTTGTTTTTGTTTTCTGTGCCACAGATTTAACTCTTTCCATGACAGGTCAGGTAGGGTCCCAGGCTCCAGCCAACATTTGTTCTCCAGGTCCTCCGTGCTCGACCCAGGGCTCCCCCTGGCGGCCAGAGGCTGTCATCGCCTGTGGCTCTGCGGGGCCCCTTCAGCGGCCCCGGGGCGGCCGGTAGGGAGTGCGCAGGCGCGGTCCGACGTGGCCTGGGCCTGGCGGAGGCCGGAGGGTGTCGGACCAGAACCCGCGCGCTCTCGGTAGGCTCTGGGGCTCGGAGCGGACCGCCGGCCTGCCGTGCGCCTTCTGGAAGGTCAGAGTGGGCAAAAGCTCAGCTCGGCGCGGGTGTGGTGACGCGTGGGCGGGGCCGGACACCGAGGGCGTCACGCGGGGCTTTGTGAGCCGGGACTAACCCGGGGAGACATACGCTGCAGGCTCCGGGGGGCCGCGGCCCGCGCCACGCGGGCAAGAAGTTTCCAGAAGTCCTGCGGAGGGTATTCCAGCTAGTACTGAAGGAGCCTTCGCCCTCCCCGCACCTCCCACAGTGCTGGCCCCGGGAGCGGCGCTCAGGTCCTAGATCCTCCCCGCCCCAGGACGCCGCGCATCCCTGCTGCGGGTCCTCCCATCCCTGGTCCCTGCGTATCCCCTGGTCCTGGTCCTCCAGTCTCAGAGTCCCCTCTCATCCATGGTGTGGATCCTCGCACTCCTGATCCTCGAGTGTTCTCGGTGTGAGTCCTCCTATACCTGCTTCCTGTGAATCCCTGGTTCGAGTCCTCCCATCCCTGATCCCTGCTCATCCCTATTGTGCGTCCTCCACGGTTGGTTCTCTCTCTCCAAACGCCACACTGGCTTTCTGGATCCCCAGCTTGCCCAAGGGTGGGCAGGTCGCTCCAGGAGCCACAGCACTGGAAATGGATGATGTGGGGTTTTGCTCATTGGAATACACAGGTTACTGGCATCCAGCGTCTCTGAGGACCCCTGCGGCCTAACTTCGTAACTGGAAAAAGTTTTCTCTGGCAATGCACACGGGTTTGTGACGCTGCATTATGGCGTTAGTGTGCGGCGGGCTCCGTTACTCCCGTGGTTGTGGTATTTCTTGATGATCCTCGAGGTTTGCTTTCTTGTGTTATACACTTAACAGTTCTGCCTTCTAATTTTTATTATGTAACTTTTATCTCGATAAAATGACTCTCAGATATCTAAGAAGTTAGCAACCGTCTTAAAATTTACAGAAGCAACTGAACGAGTATTAGGGCAGTGAGGAGTGGTCTTAGTTCCGAGGGAGGGAACTGCTCTTCTTTCCTGCTCTTTCCCGATTGTCTTAAATGATGGCTGTGGAGGATTTGTTTGAAACAGGAAACCCCTGTACTAATGTGGAATGTGGTGTGCTGCCCATGCGCAGTGCTTTCTGAAACGCACAGTTCCCTAGCAAGCCAGAGTTGGGTAGAATGGTACAGGAGTCGAATAGAAACCCACCCTGAGTATCAGTCCCCCATGTTCCCCAACCGGGATAGGAGTAAGTGATGTAGTTTTTGGATCTTAGTACAGTCTACTGACTGTAGCTAGTCATGAAATATTGTGCACATCAGCGAGACTGAGTCTCAACTGTTTTCATTTTTTTTTTAAATGGCATATATCTGGGGTGATGAGTAAGTTAATTAGCTTTATTTCATCGTTGCATATTTCATTTAAAAAAAAAACAAAATAATGGGGCTGGCGAGATGGCTCAGCAGGTAACAGGTACTTCACTTGCAGAGGACCCAGGTTCGGTTCCCAGGGCCCATATCTGTGCTATAACTGCCTCTAACTCCAGCTTCAGGGGATCCAGTGCCTCTGGGTGCCTACGCTCGGGTGCACATAACTGTCCCTCCCCACATGTGCATAATTAAAATAATGAAAACATCTTTAAAAAATGAAAATGGTTCAAATGTCAGACTGCCCGATGACTGTGTGCCCTGTAAATGTCTACATGTAATTTGTCAGTGTGTAAATTAAGTGACGAACCCTTCCCACTCCCTGCTTTTCAGTAACAGACCGGGCACGCTGGCATTAGAACTTCTCTTGCTGGCTGTTCCCCTTAAGCGCCACTGTTTGCGACCTTTTCTGTCGTGGAATAGAACTGCGTTTCCAAGTATTTTGAATCAGAATTTGACTTCTGCTGGTACAAAGTGAACCTCATACATGCACACACGTGGCTGTTTGAAGTATGTGCCTCTTAAGGCTTTTATTAGAATGTTTAAAAGAGCTGAAGAGGTGGCTTGGTGGGTAAAGAGCTAAGCCTGAGGACCTGAGTTCAAATCCCCCCAAACCTGTGTAAAACTCTCATCTCAGCCCTCCTACTGGGGGAGGGGAGGCAGAGACAAGAGACTCCCCAGAAGTCAGCCTCTTCTATGGAGCAGGGAAAAAAATGAAAAAACAAAAGACCCTGTCTTCGGCAAGGTGAAAGACCAGGACATACACCCGACACTGTCCTCTGACCTCCCCAGGCCCTGGGGCACGTGTCTGCCAACATTTCACACACACATTTGTTTACACAAAGATAAGAAATGTTTAAAAGTTAAAAGTTCACCATTGTTATCTGGAAGTATGTATTGGTTCATCATGATTTGATGATTTGACCATCAAGCTGATGAAGCATTGTTCAGTACTTTGGATCGGCATTCCGAAGCCATTTCTAGTTCCACACTTGGAGAATTAAAGCATATGAAATCAACAACAACTTTTCAATCTTCTCAAGACATAGAGTAGACAGTTTCCCTCAGGAATATGACTGGACACTGCCTAGTTCAGTGTTTCATTCTAAGCACACGAGCCCAGCCTGCTGCCCAGAAACCACCCGCAGCCCGGGACAGACAGCCATGAATGCAGCCCAGCACTACGTAGATGATGCTGTTAGAAGGTCGTACACTTCTGAGTCCATGCCTCCTTGTGCCCCAAGGAAAATGAACTCTAGAATGTTTGTCCTGTGGCTTCTGGAGGAGAAAGTGGTTGGGATCTGTGGAAACACGCAGCATTGTGATGACATAGCAGAGTAGTGTTCCAGCGACAGGGCCGGGCTCATTTCAGTCCTGACACTGGGGAGGGCAAATGTGGGTTTTTGTGTGGCCACTTGTATGTGGTGTTTCCTGAATTGGTGGCTGAGAGTGTTCTGCCCACCACCACGAAGTTGCTGTGATCAGGCCAGCTTTTGGCCTGTCTGTTTTTCAGTCTGCGAAGCCTGAGTACTAAAGTCTGTGGTGCCTTCATTGTGGAGACAGCTATGGAGACACTCTAATGTCCCTGATTGCTCTCCTGTCCTGAGAAGCTGTAAGGAATCCACAGTGCCCAGCAGATGTGGGTATTGAGCATTTGCTGTGGGGTATGTTGGACGGACTTACACTTTGAAGTACTGTCTGAAGACATTACTTCCAGGCTGTCTCTGAAAGCCATGACACAAAAGTCAAATCCTCCACAAATCACTTTTATACTTTTTGGAATAATACTTTGGTTGTATTAGATAAATAAAAGCTGTCATTGATATTTCACCTGTTTCCTTTTACTTTGTTAGTGGTTCCTGGAAAATAAAAATTAATTTTGTGGCCCACAGTGTAATCCTTCTGGACGAGGCTGCTGCAAGGCTTGTATTTATTTTGTAAAGTAAGTAATTCAACTTTTACCATGTACATAAAGAATTAAATATCTTTGTAAGCCAACCTCTCTTCTTCCTTCCAAAGGCAGCTTAGATTGCTTTTCTGACCCATTTCTTGGTGTTTCCGTATCTCTCAGCAGTATAGTGACATTGCTACTTTTTGGTTTTCAGTCTTGGGCATGGCAGTTAAAGTCCCACTAAAGATGTTTTAGCTCCTTCATCCTGGCACACAGACTTTCCATTCACCCATCTTCCTGTCCTCTCAGTACGGTTACTGCAGCATTTTGCTAACGTCAAGATCCACTATTTTCAATGTTGTGACACCAAGAAAAATAGTCTATGCCCTGATTGCTTTATGGGTTTTGTTTGGCATGCTTTATCTGGTGTTAATAATTATCTTGTTTTTTAATCTCTGTGATTTTTCATTTTTACTCATTAAATCCTGAATTCTCCCAGGGTTGTATAAATCTTTCCTAAAACTTAGAAATACACCAGACATTGTCAGTTTTTATTTCCTGAATGCTTTCTGACGTGTCTTCCAGTCTGATATGTCACTTTGGAAGCACCCTGGGAATTCCATCTTCAGCCCTGGGATTCCACTCACCGAGTGAGAAGACAGGAAAGCGTACAGTGCGCAAGTACCTGTGGCCCGTGTGGCCCCTGCAGCAGAGTGCTCCGGTCTGCTTCAGCATGCTGTGGGGCTGAACTAACTGTTCAGAGCATGTTATCATTCACCCCGGGCCTTCTAGACAAAGTTCTTGTTTTATTCTTACCTCCTGTCATTCATCCTTTTACTTCATTGCTCTCCATTCTGGGCATTTTCTCTAACTTTATAAACTTTTTCTCTCTCCATTGAGTTTACCGTCCAGCTATTTTAGGTGTGATTTCTAAAAGCTAATTTTTGGAGGGGGTGTCCTTTTGGGCACATGCATATCTTTTATCTTACAGATTTTTTTTCCCCCTTAGAGGTGAGCTGTGGGTGGTGGTGTTTCTCAGGAGCCATCACCTTGTTTTTCTTTTGTTTGAGATAGGATCTGGAGCTGACCAAGTATTGACTACTAGCCTGACACTGAGCACCAGGGATCCACCTCCCCAGCCCTGGGGTTAGTGTGTTGGGAAGAAATCCCATGGAGCAGAGCTGAACTCTGACCTACCTCTCCAACCCCCTTTACAATATTTTAGGACCAAGAACATTCATTTATCAACTGTCAAGTACTTACTGAATGCTTTCTCTGAAGGGTTGGGAATGCAGTAGTGAACAGGACAAAGATCAGTGGGGCAGGCCTCTGTCCTTGAAATATAGTCATGTAGGAAAGAGGACTAAATACACAAACTGCTAGCTGGGTAATGACAGGTGATGTTTCTTGTCTTGCAGAGATGGAGCGAGAGCCAGAAAATGGAGAACCTGCTGAGATTAAGATCATCAAGGAAGCATACGAGAAGGCCTTTTTGTTTGTTAATAAAGGACTGAACACAGATGAGTTAGGGCAGAAGGATGAAGCAAAGAACTACTACAAGCAAGGCATAGGACACCTGCTTAGGGGCATCAGCATCTCGGCAGCAGAGCCAGGGTGCACAGGCCCTGCCTGGGAGTCGGCCAGACAGATGCAGCAGAAAATGAAGGAAACACTTCAGAATGTCCGCACCAGGCTAGAGATCCTAGAGAAGGGCCTTGCCACATCTCTACGGAATGACCTTCAGGATGTGCCCAAGTTATACCCAGAGTTCCCTCCTAAAGACACATGCAAGAAGTTCCCAGAGCCAGATTTGGCTAGTTCAGCCCCCCAGCATGCTGAAGTAGATGGGAGCACCTCTGCTGTAGGGGCCACAGGTGCTGCGCCTTCTGCTGGGCCCTCACCTTCGCCCAGCTGTCCTGCGGAAGCACCCCCAGCCTACACCCCCCAGGCTGCCGAGGGTCACTACACTGTGTCCTATGGAACAGACTCGGGGGAGTTTTCATCAGTGGGAGAAGACTTCTACAGGAACCATACCCAGCCTCCCCCTCTCGAGACCTTGGGACTCGATGCAGACGAACTGATTTTGATACCAAATGGAGTACAGATCTTTTTTGTAAACCCTGCGGGAGAGGTTAGTGCTCCGTCATACCCCGGGTACCTTCGCATCGTGAGGTTCTTGGATAATTCTCTGGATACGGTTCTGAACCGCCCTCCTGGGTTTCTCCAGGTAAGCTCTTTGAAGCAACGTGCGAGCATAAGCCAGGAAGTGGTAGAGCACCTCATTTTCCTTCGTTGATGTTTGTAATGCATCCAGGATAAGAACAGAAGCAAAACGATTCTACTGAGTTCTGCACACATCCATGTTTGTGTTTGCTGGGATTTCTTCTGTTTTTAGAGTTAGAAAATTTGGAGCCGGGCGTTGGTGGCACACGCCTTTAATCCCGGCACTCGGGAGGCAGAGGCAGGTGGATCTCTGTGAGTTTGATGCCAGCCTGGGCTACAGAGTGAGTTCCAGGACAGGCTCCAAAGCTACACAGAGAAACCCTGTCTCGAAAAACTAAAAAGAAAAAAAGAAAAAAAAAAAAAAGAAAATTTGGTCTTGGTTTTATTTGTGATTGATTTTAGGACCTAAGAGAGCTATTTTTTATCTGAAGAAGAAATGTCGTTACTTAAATTTCAAAGGGAATTTATGTGAATCATGAGAATTTGTACCTGTGAATATCTACAAATGTTACCAAGACCCACCTGGAGGTCTGAACTGGCCTAGAACCACTCAGCCAGGGCCAGTTTTGCCCCTTGGGGGATCATTTTTGGCAGTGTCTGAAAGTGTTTTCATTACAGCTGAAGGGTGGTGGTCCTGGTGTATTAGAGCAGACAGGGAAATTGCTCAATGACCACACAGTACCCCATCAAGAGGAAAATTATCCATCCCTAAACCTCAGTCAGGCTGAGGCTAAGAAGCTCTGGCCTGCAGGGCTGAACTGCAGAGAGGTTGACCAGAATACAGTTGGTCCAAGAGTAAAGACTAATGTGAAGCAGAATGTGTGTTGGGGCATTGCTGTGGGCTGAGTGGGGTCTGCTCGGGTACAGTCAGCAACAATCTGCTGTGGAAAGGTTGCATGTAGGTGCTGGGAGATGGACTCTTGGAAACTGGGGCCCAGTGTACATCAGTGGGTTTGTGCTGAAGAGAAATCACTGTTTAAGCGAAGCCATTGCCTGTGCCCAGAGTCAGATAAGGAAAGTAGCTAGGCACTGGCCGGCTCTGCTCCTAATGCTGCTTTGCCCTTGTTCTTATGGAAGCCAACTTGAAAGTCATTTAGCAACAGTTGGAAACTAATCAGCCATGAGGAAAACAGATTCTTGGGGCACAGTCCAAAGACTCATTACTGGACTAGAAGAATGACTCAGTTATCTTAAGGAGGAAGCCTGAGGTTAAAGAGAGCAGGCTCATGACTGAAGTTAGGGAGGGGCTGCAGAGAGTTTCTGCTGGTCTGGTAACAGTGTTGCATAGTCACTATAGACCTAAGAGCCCTAGGAGGTGAAGGAAGAGAGCATTAGAAAGATGGCCTTTGGCTGCGGATCTCAGCTGAGAAGATGCTCAGACTCCACCAGCTCTTTGTCTTGTCTTGATTCAGTTTGGTTCTCAACGTTTTACATCCCTTGTGTTTGGGTCCTAAATAGAAAGTAGAATTGCACCCCACGTTTAATCAATCGGCTGTCAGTCACATGTTAGCTATTTGTAGCAGTGTTCTGAAGCGTCAATGAGTGTCTACTGAATGTATTTATACTAAAAAAACCAAAACAAACAACAGGTTACTACACAGCTATCTATTAAAAATTCCGTAAAAATCTCATATGCTCTAAAAATCATTATTAACATATTTAGGACATGAGAGTAAGGTTATTTTCTTTTTTTTTTTTTTTTTTTTTTTGGTTTTTCAAGACAGGGTTTCTTTGTGTAGCTTTGCACCTTTCCTAGAACTTGCTTGGTAGCCCAGGCTGGCCTCAAATTCACAGAGATCCGCCTGCCTCTGCCTCCCGAGTGCTGGGATTAAAGGCGTGCGCCACCACCGCCCGGCGAGAGTAAGGTTATTTTCAATAAGCAGATTTTCTAATACATATTAAATAAGTAACTACTTCTTTTAAAAAATGGTTTCCGAGTTCCCTGGCATCACTTCATATTTTAGAAAACATTGTAGTTAGCTTTGTTCTAATCTACCTGATTTTACTATAGTAAACATTGATGGCTTTTGAGATAGAGAGGAAAATCCGTTTTTTTTTTTAAAAAAAGCATTTGAAAATGATTGCCAGGCCCTTCCCAGGGGTCAGTCTTGAGCGGTGGGTGTGGTCTTTGCCATTTTCTTCGCTGGCCGGAAGGGGGTGCTGTGTCTGAGTTCCCTTTGTCTCAGTGGATTGATCGGTCCTCCTCAGGTTTCTTCATGGTGGATGGTGTTCTAAGGTTGGGGAAATTAGACTTGCTAGAGAGTGTACTACACGAGAAAGGAGTACATTTAGGAATTCTGATTAGGATAGCCAGGATATGAGCTTAGGTCTGAGTGTTGGGATGAACTGACCTCCCCAGGTGGCACTGCAGTGTCATTTGGCTTTAGTGTCACAGTCCCTAGTGGCGTACAGTGCTCTGCTGTGTCTGACACATCCGCTTCTCTGCATTTGGCAAGGCAAAACCTAAGTAATTGCTCTGTGCACCTGACACAAAGTACGTGCTCCGGTGCAAGCCGCACTGTCTGGTTGTCAGTGCTGAGAACTGAAGTGACCTGGCTGTGCCTCCGTTTTTGTTATAAAATGACTGAGATACACCGTTTTCACAATGGAAATGACCTAATTGTTCCTATGCATGAAGAAAACGGGGTACGTGTGTATGGTAGGGTACTGTGTAGCACCAATGCAACTGGGGGTCTTTCTGTTAAGTGAAAGTAGCCATACACAGAGAGTCAGGTGTCATATGATCTGAAGGCTGAGAGTGGAATGATGGCTAGGAGAACCCAGGACGTGTGGAGGAAGTAGACGGGGTGAGAGGAAAGGGTTCATCAGTGGATCCGAAGTAAGGAAGGCCATCTGTGCTTGCGTAGGGTATAGGATAAATGCTTGCTTTGAGAGAAGATTGGAGTTTCACTATGAAGAAATGGTGGCTTTCTGAGGATGTTTAACTTCATCAAAACATTACTGGTTACCTGTTATAGGTACAGGTTTATAGTTTTATTTACCAGTTAACAGTGAAAAGAACTAGCCAGTTTGATAGAATGCTGTGAGTATTAAGTGGATATCGTCAGACACTGTACTAGAAAATAATTGAGTGCTGTAAAGGGATCTAATTAGACCAATCGGCCCTCAGTTTACGTGACCCATCTTTTATCTGAAGCTGGCATCATCTCTAGTCAAGCACAGGACACTTAAGGCCAGCAGCTATGGGACTATGCTGTGGAGCGTTTGCATCAGTTTTCAGTGCAGGAAGATGAGGAAAGATGGTTTATTTAAGTTGGGGTTGCTGGCGGTGGGTCTGTGAAACCTTAAATGCAGCAAACTCTGACATGTTTGCCTTCAATGTCACGATGTCACGGAGAGCTGTTTGCTGATTGCCTGTTTCCCCTGACTTTCAGGTGTGTGACTGGCTGTACCCGCTGGTGCCCGATAGATCACCGGTTCTCAAGTGCACCGTGGGAGCCTACATGTTTCCAGACACCATGTTACAAGCTGCGGGCTGCTTTGTGGGGGTGGTTCTGTCGTCTGAGCTCCCAGAAGATGACAGGGAGCTGTTTGAGGATCTGCTGAGGCAGATGTCTGACCTTCGGCTCCAGGTAACCCGGGTCCTAGATGAAACTGACTTTAACGTGGGCACCACTGCTTTCAAAGACCCATAAGCTTCAGGGAGATCATTTTCTTCCTCATGACATAGAGATGAGAGTTGTCTGCCATCAGATTGTAGGCATTAGAGTTCAGTTCACTCAGCTGCTCTGCCTGTCTGCTCTGCCTGTGGTTTTCTCACGCTGACACGGGGGTCAGTGATAATGTCCACCTCACTGGGCAGTGGGAACTAAAGCCCTCATTGGACAGCTAGCAGGTGGTCATGCCCAGTGAATGGTGCCCATTCACCACTGTTTACAGTGAGGTTGGCCTAAGATGTAAAATTCTGAAGATAATTCTGCTTTAGTAGATTGGAACATGTTAGATGTATGAATGGTATTTCAAGAGAGATTTTGGTGGATACAATGTTCTTTATCCTCATGGTGAATGAAGGCCAAATAGAAAGTGATGTGTGGTCCCTGTGCATGTTAATTTTTGTCACAAGAGGAAGAGGCATTTATTCAGTTCATGCTTCCAAGGGGTTTTTAGTCCATGGCTGCTGGCACCATACTTCTAGACATGACAGGAGGGCATGGCAGAGGAACACTGCTCACCTCATGTCAGCCATGAAGCAGAGAGAGAGACAGAGGGAGAAGCCATGCACTAGAGTCACCCTTCAAATGCACATCCCCTAGAGGCCCTCTTCTCCAGTTAGGCCTACCTTCTAGTTCCTACCAGGTCTCGCTAGTCCACCCGTTATCTGTCAGTACATTACTCCGTCAACTCAAGTCAGCACCCTCCCAGGCCAGTCCCCCTGAGTGCCAGGGTCCACCCACTGCAGACAAAGCCTTTGCCCTTAGCACTGGAGCCTTTGGGGATACTTCCCATGCAAACCATAAAAACCACCCGCAAGCCTCCTTATTTAGCCTGTTTGCCCTGTCTGTCTGTCAGCCAAGGAGTGAGCTAAATAAGTGTGGTGGAGTTTCCTTTTATTTAGTTTTTGAAAACTGTGAGCATTGACAGTTACTTGCAGCTAAATTTGGTTGACAGCATGGCAGTGTACGCTTTTGTTTTCCTTTAGTCATAAGTATTTGGGTTCTTTTACTAACCAGTTAAAATGTGTTAAGTAACAGAGTGTCGTGAGCAGGGACAGGAGAATATAAGGATATAGCTGTGTAGATGTGTGTGTGTGTGTGTGTGTGTGCATATGCTTGTGCACGTGCATGTGTGTGCAATAACTTAGTGTTAACATGACACATAACCTCTGAGTAGTGTGGCCCTGCCTTGTGTTCACAGGAAGGCGTTGGGGAAGGTTGGAAGTGGTTGAGTAGGTCTGGCCACCTCCCAGCGTTACTGCTCACTTGCTCTGTTAGTTACTTGTTGCTGCAACAGAACACCTGACAGACGCAGCTGGAGGAAGGGAGGTTTACTTTGGCTCACACTTGGAGAGTATAACCTGTCATGGGGCTGGGGTGTGCACGGCAGCAGGAGCCTGAGGCATCTCCAGTCAGGAGGCAGAGAGGGGTGAATGCTGATGCTCAGGTCCCTGTCCTTTTTATTCAGTCAGGACCCCAGCTCATGGGATGCTGCTGCCCACATTTAGCGTGGGTCTTCCTGCCTTCCTTAACGTAACTCACAATAATGCCTCACAGATGTGCCCCGAGATTGGTGTCCATGGTGGTTTTAAATCCCGTGAGGCTAACAAGAGTAACCACCATGCTCCCTCAGTAATGTGTAGGTGCTCACAGCCTAGAACAGAACACCTTTGCCCCCACGTCTGTGGGCCTTCACCGTCAAGCTTTAGGAGGGAAACTAAGTGGACTCAGGGTTGCAGGATGCTGCTCTGTGGAATTTTACTCTGGCTCTGTTTTCTTTTTTGTTTCTGTGCTGTTGCGGATTCTCAGTTGTAAACCACGAGTATTGGCTCTGATTTTACATTTGAGCTTTTGGCGCATTCAGCAGAGTTTGCCCCACCACAATGCCTGTGGCATTAAATGAAATGCAGACACTTGGCCCTTCCAACAGTCCAGTGCAGTCATATACAAGCTTTGTTCATTCCTTGCCTTTGAACACATTCTCATCTTGCTGTATCTCCTCGGAGTTATAATTGCATTAATTAAATCCCAAAGTAGCAATACCGATTTAAAGGTGTACCTTACACCTTAGATGAACAACTGCTAACGGTTGTCTTTTATACCTTTTCTTTTGAACTTCACTGTCGGCCATATTGCATAACCCAAAGAACTCAAGAGGTTTAAGGTTTGGTAAGGAAGTGAAGCAGAAGTTTAGATAGAAGGAAGCGAGGTCTAGGGTTGTGGCTCAGAGGCAGAGCACCTGCCCTGGGAGGCCGATCAGGAGAGTGGACCCCAGAACCTGCTAAAAGCCGCACACAGTAGCACTGGCATCTGTAATCCCGGCACAGCAGCACAGCCCTGTCCAGCTAGGGTAGCAGAGGCGGGAAGAGCTCCAGGAATCCAAGGCATGTCTGGCCAAACACCGTTCAGGAGACCCTCTCAAACGATAGTGGTTTGAGGGTGAGGGCCGACACCCAAGACTGTCCTGTGACTGTCACATGTGCTTCATGGCATGTGCACACATGGCTAGACACATGGATAAGCATACACATGTGTACACACACACACAAAGGAAAACAGCAACAGTTAGCTGTCTATCCAATCAGACACTGGTACTTGAACATGTGTGTCATAGCACATTGTGTGGTGTACCTGGAGGAAGTGTCCTGTAAAAGCTAGCTGAGCTAAGCCTAGTCCTTTATGCTCCAGGCAAACTGGAATAGAGCAGAAGGAGAAGATGAATTCCAAATCCCTGGGAGAGCAAGTCACCCCTCCGAGCCACGGAAGGAAGCTTCTGGCGCCGATATCAGGCAGTCGGGTTCTTCAGGTTCTTCTCTAGACCAAGGCAGCAAGGATGCACGCCATAAAGGAAAGCGTGGGAAAAAGGCAAGTTAAAAAGGCCGTGGGAAGTGTGCACCCACGCTGCCAAGCTGACGGCCGTACACCACAACACGTGTCACAAGCTGCTCACAGCCACAAACAGGGTGACCAAGCGTTTGTGCTCACACCGCTTTAAGAGAGACCTTGTGTTTGGGATGGACTCTTCTTCAGTTTTTCAGAGATTGTCATTTTTACACTAAGGACCACATACTTTTTTCTTTTTTTAATGTTCCCTCTGCTTGCTGACTGAGAGCTTGCTCTGGATTTGATTTGAGTATGCTTCAGTAGATGCTGTGTTGGAGTTCTCATCAGTGAGACTTGTTTAAGACCAGAACCTTTCAGTTGTGTGGCAACTCTGGTGTTCCTTTTTTATTAACAAGGTGGATGTGTTCACTAACCTCAGCTAGTGTTTGACAGTTTATTATATATAATGCTTTCAATTCCCTTCCTTTGTACTTCACTAACCTTTGCATTTTGAAACATTTTTGCTGTTTAGACTAAAGATACTTCAAGTGAAGAAGTTAATTTGAGTCAGATTGTGCCCTGTGAGCCACGTTCAGAAGAAAAAGCCAAAGAACTGCCTGAGTGGAGTGAGAAAGTGGCCCACAACATTCTGTCAGGTATCACAGAGCTGTTCATTAACCCCATGGAGTCAAACCTTGAACAGTCAAAGTGTTGCTTATAGGTTTGTATATGTTAAATAACTGACAAATACTGACAGGTAGAAGGGTGGGGCTTCTGAGAAGGCCGCACATTGCTATGTAAACATGTGTTCTTATAGGGATTCCCCCAGCTGTCAAAGACATGTGAGCATACATCGTGGTCCTGTTTCTTGAGTTCTCATCCTCCTAATGAGTTACTATACCCTACTTTGAATTGTTGATGCGTTGAACAAATGGCTCTGATTTTCATGTGGCCTAGTGGCATTTACTGCTGCAGACCTGGAGAGAATGAACACGGTGTTTAAGAGCCTTTTGTTCTGGAGGTGCTTGTAAATGAGATTAAATTGCAAGCTCTTGGAAGAGAAGAAGGATGCTCCTCTTGCTTCTCTGTATTTCTTCAGCTCCTTTCCTGTGTTGCCCTCTAGCTCAAGACCTCTCTTCCCTCCTACACAAGGCTCTGATATCGTGATATCTCTGTGGCAACAACTTTTCTAGTTCAGGCTGTGGGAAGCATAGTGAAGGTGAGGGGTGGGGCCATGCACCAGGGGCAGCTTCACTCCAGGCTGCTCCATCTGTCAGTGCGCTCATGATTTTGTCGTTAGGTGCAGCGTGCTGAAGAGTATAGGATGGAGAGAACAGGATCCCCTGCCCAGTTAATGTGTGAGTCTAGAGCAAACAAGAGTCTTCAAAAAGCAGGTTTTTTTGCTTTCTGGTTTTAATTGTCTTTCTCGGGATTTCACAGGGGAAAATGTTGCCTAAACTAAGGTAGAAAGGACAAAAGTGCCTCATTCGTCCTACCAGATGCTGCCTTAATGATGCCAATTCAGATTTCAACATCAGGATCTGATAATAGAAAAGTGTAACCAGTAGCAGATTCCTGCACAGTGTGATACAGCTCAGAATAATACAGGATTCTGGTCCAGAAGGATGTGTGACCTAAGTAAAGGCTTAGTTAGAAAGGGCTTCATTCCGGCCACACAGATGGCGCAGTGTTTAAGAGCACTGGTCACTTTGCAGGGGACAAGGATTTAGTTCCCAGCACCTCACGGTGGCTCACAAGCACTATAACTCCAGTTCCAGGGCATCTTCCACCCTCTTCTGGCCTCTTTGGGTACTGCATGCATGTGATGCACATACATTCCTGCAAACACTCAACACATAAAATAAAAATTTTATGTGGTGGCGCACGCCTTTAATCCCAGCACTCGGGAGGCAGAGCCAGGCGGATCTCTGTGAGTTCGAGGCCAGCCTGGACTACCAAGTGAGTTCCAGGAAAGGCGCAAAGCTACACAGAGAAACCCTGTCTCGAAAAACCAAAAATAAATAAATAAATAAATAAAATAAATAAATAAATTTTTTTCAGTAGAGAAAGATTTATTTCAGGAAGAAGTTATAGGTATGCAATTAGGATGTTCATGGCCCATTTAGGATCTTTTCTGCTCATGTTATTAAAAGATTTAGTTAAAGTTATAACTAGTCCTAATCTCTGCAATTTTAAATTTCCCTTGTAAAAGGTGCTTCCTGGGTGAGCTGGGGTTTAGTCAAAGGTGCTGAATTTACTGGCAAAGCAATCCAGAAAGGTGCTTCTAAACTCCGAGAGCGCATTCAACCAGAGGAGAAACCCGTGGAAGTGAGTCCGGCCGTCACCAAGGGCCTCTACATAGCGAAGCAGGCAACTGGAGGGGCAGCGAAGGTCAGCCAGTTCCTGGGTAAGTGCCAGGGCAGCCTCCAGGGTAACGGAGACGCGCTCGTTGTTCCACACTAGGCTAAATGTTTCCCCACAGCTCGGTCTCACAAGGAAAGAATATGAAGAAAGAGTATGAAGCAGCTGCCCTCCCCTACAGTTAAACCCGCAGCCCAGCTGCAGTGGTTCTGTGTCCCCAGGCAACACTCTAGAATCACAGCCCCAAGATTTGTTTTTAATAGAGCTGTATCAATCTTCATTTCCATTAAATCCAGTAAGATTACCTTTTCTGACACTAAGTCTTCCTTGAATCAGAAAAATTAAAGTGGATGGTTTTCTTTCTAACAGAAGTCTGTCCAAGGGGCAGGGTTTCCATAGCTCCAACAAACCCAGCTAACAGACACAGTGACACTCACGCAGAAAAGCAGCTGTGGATGGGGATGGAGAACTTTGCTTGACGCAGGTGGTAAAATCAAGAGAACAGTTTCCCTGAATCTTTTCTCTGTGGTTGTTAGTTGATGGCGTCTGCACGGTAGCAAATTGTGTTGGCAAAGAGCTCGCTCCACATGTCAAGAAGCATGGAAGCAAACTCGTTCCAGAATCTCTCAAGAGAGACAAAGACGGGAAATCCACTCTGGATGGCGCCATGGTTGTGGCAGCGAGTAGTGTTCAAGGTAACAAGGCCCTGCGTTTATTTTGTTCTTTTATTTTTGTTGTGTTTCTGGGAGGGCACTGAGCTACCTGAGAAACTCGGGCAGGCTGTGTGCCTTAAGTGAGACTGACTTTTACATACATTTACAGGATTTTCAACTGTCTGGCAGGGATTGGAGTGTGCGGCTAAATGCATCGTCAACAATGTGTCTGCAGAAACCGTACAAACCGTCAGATACAAGTAAGTGCAGCTTCATTGTAGAGACTAAATAATTCTCCTGTATCATCAGCTCAATCCATGGTGGTTAAGATTTATGTACTTACTCTCTGATGAGCATATTTTTTCACTCACTGTTTCCTAAATCAGGAAAATGTTAGTATGGTGATTGAACTCCTGTGACTTTGATTTATGGTACTAATTGTTATAAATGTTCATTAATGCAAAGAATGTTTAATTTTTTTTTTTTTTTTTTTTTTTTTTTATTTTGGTTGTTTTGAGACAGGGTTTCTCTGTGTAGTTTTGCGCCTTTCCTGGGACTCACTTGGTAGCCCAGGCTGGCCTTGAACTCACAGAGATCCGCCTGGCTCTGCCTCCCGAGTGCTGGGATTAAAGGCGTGCGCCACCACCGCCCGGCCGAATGTTTAATTTTTAACTGCATAATTTTGATGGAAGTGTTTGCCTGAAGGAGAACAATAAAGGCTTGATTGGATCGGAGGTCCCATATTAGCATTAGCTTATTCGTGCACCATGACTACTAAGTTGTGATTACCACTGCACATTTACCTTGGACTAGAGAGATGTCGTCTCTTTATACATTAAGTAGGCAGGACAGAAATGGATTGGTACAGCTTATCTGATGGTGGTGGTGTGACTTCCTTCGTCTTTGGTTTGAGGGCTCTGGAGAGAGTTGACTTCAGTGCTCCCTGCTGGTTGCTGTCAGACTCACTTCCCTTCACCTTAGCAGTGACCCAAAGCCTGTGTCCAACTCATAGCCAGGTGTCTCTGTCACAAGAAGCCCCTCAGCTCTCTGTCCAGTTTCTTGACTGGATGCAGTGAAGCACAGGAAGTCAGAAGCCTTTCACTCTAGACCCTGAACAGTGTGCAGGCAGCAGGGTCCTCAGCCAGAGCACAGACACAGTGTGCGGGCAGCAGGGTCCTCAGTCAGAGCACAGACACAGTGTGCGGGCAGCAGGGTCCTCAGCCAGAGCACAGACACAGTGTGCGGGCAGCAGGGTCCTCAGTCAGAGCACAGACACAGTGTGCGGGCAGCAGGGTCCTCATCCAGAGCACAGACACAGTGTGCGGGCAGCAGGGTCCTCAGTCAGAGCACAGACACAGTGTGCGGGCAGCAGGGTCCTCAGTCAGAGCACAGACACAGTGTGCGGGCAGCAGGGTCCTCAGTCAGAGCACAGACACAGTGTGCGGGCAGCAGGGTCCTCAGTCAGAGCACAGACACAGTGTGCGGGCAGCAGGGTCCTCAGTCAGAGCACAGACACAGTGTGCGGGCAGCAGGGTCCTCAGTCAGAGCACAGACACCAGGAGGACAGACATTCCAAAGAGGTGAAGGAAGAGGGCCAGTGACCTTACTAAGGTCTATGAGCCTTTGGCTTTGGGGTGGGGTGGGAGCAGGCTGGCTGCTTTAGAGAAACTGAAAGGGGAAGTCACTCACAGGACTCTGGTGTCAGCCGTTAGGTTTTGTTATGGTCAGCAGTTGTGAGGTGGAGCATATGGAGTTGAGTCAGTGGGAGGAACAAGTACAAGCTACACAGAGACTAAAAGTTTAGACTAGGCCAGACGCGGCAGGATACCTGGTTCCAAACACTTTTGAGCAGCATACTTTGGTGATGTTATTAAAGAACAGATTTAAAACGCTGGCTTTTGGGTGTCTTCTTTGTTTGAACTTAGGTTTTTTTTTTAATCAGTGTGTATGTACAAACCCGGGTTTCAGTGTGACATTTCACACGTGCATGAAGTGTACCTTTGGTCATGTTCTCTTTCTTCTTTCTATCTGAATCAGAGAAATTGGGGTCTAAAAACTAAATCTAGTGGGGTCTGAGTTGTTTGCTTAGCTTCACATAAGTTTGGATCTTACTGTTTATGTAAAAAAGCAGCAGTAGGGCTGGAGAGATGTCTCAGTGCCTTACAAGCCTGAGAAGTGGAGTTCAGATCCCCAGACCAACATAAAGCCAGGCAGGCATGGCAGCCCCTTAGAAGGAGAACTGCAGAGATGGATTCCCAGGTCAAGCAGTCCAGCAAGATGGACTTGGAGGTCTCTGGGTTCAGAGAGACTCTGCCTTAATTTCTAAAGTGGAGAATGATCAAGGAACAGGTAAGCTTCAGGCCTCCACATGCATGTACATGCAAACATGCATACAACATGCACATGCAAAAACGAAATATTAATAGTGGCACTATTTGAGTTTGTATTTAATGTATTTGGACTGTATTCAGGGTTTCTCATATATATTTAGCATTTCTATCACAGTTTTGTAAGGAAACTAAAACATTAAAAGTTAAAGAGCTGCTGGAGTTTACATTCCCAGTCAGGTGGTGAGCTGTGGTATAAACCAAGTGTCTGTCATCAGGTCCCCCACTCTGCTTACACTCGGGGAGAGTGCTGAGCCACCTCCCCACTTGGTGGATCATTGGTACAACTTCTGTGCTCTGGACTGACTTCTGGAACCATCAGTGTACCTTTATTTAGCTTGCTTTCTGCTTAGATAGTACTAAATTTAATTTCTATCCTAAATTGTTCTTTCAGTGTGGGGTATGCCTTTAACTCAAAGCAACTTGACAAATCAGCTTGGGGGTCAAGTTTACTCAGAGCTGAAAACAAATACAGAGTAAATTATTACCATTTCTTAGCACAGATATTGGAAAGTGAAAGTGCTTGTTAAATTTCCTCCATAAATGTGTGGATTGTTAGTGCAGAGATGGGTGTGATGAACAAGGTACTTACTTGTCTTAGGGTTTTTATTACTGTGAAGAGGCAGTATGACCATGGCAAGTCTTACAAAGGAAAACATTTTATTGGGGCTGGCTTATAGTTTCAGAGGTTTATCATCATGGTGGGAAGCATGGCAGCACACAGGCAGACCTGGTGCTGGAGAAGGAACTGAGGGTTCTACATCTGGATCAGCAGGCAGCAGGAAGAGAGAGCTACACTGGGCCTGGCTTGGGCTTCTGAAACCCCAAAGCCCATCCCCAGTGACACACTTCCTCCATTAAGACCACACCTCCCAATAGCACCACTCTCTATGGGCCTATGGGGGACATTTTTTATTCAGACCCACAGTATTTTAACCATGGTCCTGAGTGAATTCATTCCTGTGATGCTCTATGTTAGTATTATTTTATTCTTTTCTCCAAAGAGACATGGTGTGAATAAATAAAGCAGAGTTCCCCAGCATTGAACTTGTGACCATAAGAGTGATTTTTTTTTTGTAACAGTTATTTAATTTATGCAGTTAGAATTTTGGGAAGCAGGGAGAAGCCATGGGAGATTAAGGATTTGGCCCCCGTATTCCAGATTTTGCACCTGTGGAGGCCCAGAAGTAGAAAGTATCTTTGACAAAACACACCGGTTGAGCCCGCAACAGTGATAGAGTGGGAGAATAGAAGAGCTATTTGTAAATTTCTTCATTTAATTTAGTTATTCATTTAAATTTATGCTTTCTGTGTCCTTACACTTATGACACTGTAGGAAGGCGAATGAGTGTTTACTTGTGTTCTACTGACTTTAGTGTAATGAAGAAGCTGTGTCCTCCTGCCTTTGGAAGACCCTGCTCTCCCACGAGTTTTTAAGTCTGCCTACATCCTATGCATTATGCCTGGGAGGAGAACAAATGCTTGACATGAGCTTCCTTACTTGGAATTTGCTGGTGTTATGTGAGGGAGTAGGGACACTGAACCTTTTTAGGTGAATATGTAGACTTTTTTGTCATTTATGTTAATACTTTGGTCTCACGTTTTTAGATTTAGGCAAGTGTCTTCACTACAAGAATACTGGAAAGGCATAAGCAACTTAGCCCACTGAACTCAGCTGCAGCAGCTGCCCGCCCACCAAATACCCCTCACTCCAGCTTAGCTTCCAAAGCCTCAGAGGCGCCTTAGCTCTGCTCTGACTTGTGACAGAGAATGATGTCACTGCAGAGGTTAGGTCTGTTTGTATTTTCTCCTGGCAGAATTTTATCTCTATCTAGATGTGGAAAAATAAGCTGAACAGTGTTTTACTGGAAGCAATTTACTCTCAGATGGCACTAGGTTATATTGGCTTGTTTAGAGTAAAATTTGATTTAAATGCCCCTTAAATTTCCAGAGGTGTCATCTCCAATGACAGATGTTGTAGTCTCTGAAACCAGATCTACGTGACATCTGTGCAGGAATAGTCGGTCTCTTCTGTTGCATACAGATCTGTATAGATGTTGAAACAGCACTGTTGTCCCAGTTTCTTGTTTTTTCTTATCTGAGCACTCTGGTTTCTTGAACAATTCTGAATATGCTTTTCAGGTCTTTCATTGTCCCCATCACTTTTCATTTTGTTAGTGACCAGTTTAAGTTTGTCAGTTTTCTGAAAGTAGTCAGAGTTGACTTGGGTCTTCTAGGTCCATGCTGATAGGATCAGGTGCAGAGGGCGGCTTCTCTTACATTGGTTATGTTCTGCACTCGATAAGGGACACAAGACAATGTAAGTTGTGGGTAGCCATTACTTTACTGACGTATATCCTATTTGACACTTAAAAAATAACCCTTTAAGATCTAGACCTTTATTTGTGTAGTGCTGGGAATGAACGCAGGATGCTGTTGGTGCCCGGCAGAGCTCTTCCACTCAGCTTCATCCAGCCCCACATCTGTATAAGACCTTTCCTTTATGCTGCTTGCTTTTGCTTTGTTGATTTCAACCCATAACTAAGTTGATGTTTCATTTTCTGAGCAATTTTTGTAGGTAAATCTAATCGCATACCCATCCTGACTGGTTTTGCCGCAGTACTCAATGCTTATTAAAAACAGTAAATTAGCAGTCTGCGTGCAGGCCGCCCAATGGTGATCTCATCTCACTCACTCCCAAGGCTTGTTGTCTTCCAGCTGTGTTCATTACAGACCCTTGTTTCCTGCATAGTGTCATTTTCTTAGGATTTCTATTGCTGTGATGAAGCACCATGACCAAAAGCAAGTTGGGCAGGGGGAGGGTTTATTTGACTTACACTTCCATATCGCTGTTCATCACTGAAGGAAGTCAGGACAGGAACTCACACAGAGCAGGAATCTAGAGGCAGGAACTGATGAAGAGGCCATGGAAGGGAGCTGCTTACTGGCTTTCTCTTCATGGTTTGCTCAGCCCCTCAATCACTATTTAGAAAATGCCCTACAGGCTTGCCCATGGCCCCATTTTATGGAGGCCTTTTCTTAATTGAGGTTCCTCCCCCTCAGATCACTCTTTCTTGTGTGAAGTTGATGTAAAACTATCAAGCACAGTCATCTGTGCCTGTGGATGTCACTCCTACCTCTGCACCAGTAAGGCTTGTCTATTTTTGTCCTACTCTCCAGGCTCAGTCACATGCCAGTGTAGACTTTAAGGCAGCACATCCTGACCCCACTCTTGTGTGGTCCCACCTTTACACAGACCCTTCCCTTCTTGTCTGACACACAGCCTGTTTCCTGCCTTGTACTCCCACTGCACTCGGAGTCAGAGGGATTTGTGGAAACATGCATTTGACTATTCCATTCCTTTGCCTATTTTTCCCTCCATTGCTTTCATGAAAAACTTAAACTCCTTAGCTTCACCCACATGGCCTTCCTAAACTAACCACAGCCATCTGCTTTCAATGAATAGGTGAATAAGATTTGTTTCCCCTTTAAATATTCTAGGTCACTATCTCTGAGCATAGTATTGAAGGCTGCATATCTCTTGATTGATGTGACATGTCATGCTGAAACACTAACCATAAGATCTCGACTCGCTGTAGTGTTCTGTCTCTAGACATCAGTGAACACATTGGGCGAACACATCAGTGAACACATCTGAACAGTTCTGATTCAAATCGCACATTAGACCCTCTGACTTAGAACATCTTCACAGTCACGTTAGTGTCCTTCAGTTGTGGTGTTTGTCCGCAAAGTGTAACTGAAGCTCTCATTTACTAAAAGTAAAAAAACCAAACCAAGCTTTATGTTCTTACCCAGATCCATGCTTTGGAGGAGTTTTGAGCAGTACATTTTGAGTTGAAATACAGTAAAGCGCTGAGTGGTTAATTACCTAGGAAGAGAGGAATAGACATCTATTCGGAGAATTGTGTGTAAGGGATATTAAAGCCGATAAGTGAGGACATATTAAAAAATAAACACAGCAAGTGAAAGCCACATAAAGTTTATGGCTCAGTACCTCAGTATTTTCTAAGTGATTTCAGGTATATATATTTTATGAGCTTGAAGTTCAGAGATAGGGAGAGTTGGCCAAAGTCTTACGATCGGTTGCTTGCACAGTAGTATCTGATGTCGTTCGCTGACTCCCAGCTCAGTGTGAGTTTTCCACATTGGAGCAGTTGTTGAAGCCTGAAGAAAAAGTCAAGAGACTGAGACACTCATTCAACACATCAAGGATGCTGTAGCTTTTAGAAGTACATTACACACAGAAATATCATGTTCCATGAGAGGCGTCAAACTGCTGAGTGGAGTGTTCCAGCTATTCAGAGTTAGGCATTTATACATCTGGACTATTTCCTGTTCTTGAAAACAGGACCGTAGTTAAACTCAGCATCATCTCCGTGTGGCCCCCACAGTGCTGTGAAGTATCCTCCAGGATATGTTCTGCTGTCCTTGTATCTTCTCAGACTTGGCTTTAGGGGTTTACTGGTTATCATTGTCGGGGTTATGGTCACTTTTCCATGCTGACGCTCACACTTTGTTCTTTCATTGAATCATAGTGGTGGACCTGCTGAGAGTTCCCGTGGCTGCGGTGTCTCTTACAGGACAGCCAGTACTTCGACATACTGAGGGGTTGCAGAAAGCAGTTACAGGAAGCTTTTCTGTCTTGTGCCTAATGAGAAAATCCCCATTCCAGGATGGTTCTGAGTTAGGTTTTGGCTGGCTGTGGGTTCTATTGATTGTAATTGCTAATTCCATGCTGAGGAAAAATTGGGGCAACCATCCGGGCCACAGTAAGATGACTGTGGACTGTAAAGCACTGAGTTGGAAAAGCCAAGGAGTCTCAAGCCCGTTCTGGTCAGGCAGGCTGGCAGTAGATTCCTTTCAGCAAAAAGCAGATCAGTGTTTGTATGAAATGTCCAGGGCTGGCCCTCAGTGCCAAGCCTGGCCACCTGAGCTCAATGCTGCACAGTGGAAGAAGAGAACTGACTCCTGACCTCCTCACACACTATGTCACATACCCAAATAAATAAATGAATAAATGTGATAAGTCCAGAGGTCACAGCCCTCTCCGTGAGATTTCGTGTGTAGGGAGAGTCGAACCTTGGCTTTGGCTGTTGTTATACAGGCAGGTCTTTGTGGGTCAGCAAAGCCTTAAAAGCCTGTCCTCAGGGCAGGGTGTGGGTCAGATAAGCAGTGAGGAGGTCTGTTGTAGTATCCTTATATAATTCAGATTTACTTTCTCAGAGACACAGTATTAAAGACTTACTATCATTTGTCAATACTAAGTACTTTTGTATGCTTTTACAATTTCTCATGTATTCTACTCTGCATTTTCATTGCTGTATATTCTTTGTGCACAGCAGTAAATTTCATTATGACATTTCCATGCATGCATGCATATAATGCACCTCTATATTGCCCTTTCTGTCCCCCTTTTCTTCTTCCATATCCCTGATAGACTCTACTTTTCACTCTTGAATTCTTCACCCACCTCAGAAACAATTCAGCAGCATTGAACTTTATGAGACTGCCTTCTCTCACTGAACATGGTTCTCCTGACTTCTAACAGCAGCATTCCACTTCCTTGTTGATGAATTCAGCTGGATTGTGTTTATAGGTTATTAGTTTTCTTTATCCATTCAGTTTTCTTTCTCCGCTCATCCAATAATGGTCCCCTGGGTGATTCTGTCACTTGACTACTGCAAAAAGCAGTGATAAGCATGGGTGTACAGTTGTCTGTACAGTGACCAGTTCCACGCTGGGTGAAGAATCTGAGACAGGTCAGGTATGGTGTTACTTGCATGTAATCCCAGCAGCGGAAGGCAGAGGCAAGAGGGTTGAGCTTGCAGTCAGCCTGGGCCATGCAGGAAGGAGGGCTGGGGAGGAGGAGAGTGAAGAAAGAGAGGAGGGAGACAATGCCACAAGTGATCATATCATTCCTTCATTAAACACTTAAAAGATGCCAGACACTCAGAAGCATAGGATACATTTGTGAACAAAGCAAAGATTTCCCTGTGCAGTGGGCTTTATATTTTAGTGAGATACACAAAGATGTGTAAACAGTTGTCATAAATGCATTCTATGGTGTGTAGAAAATGGTGAACTATGGAGGAAGAAAGGGCAGTCAAGATAGAATTGGTTGTCAGTGAAGTAGGGTGCGTGGGCCAAGGCCATCTGAACAGGTTAGATTCTAAGAAGGTGGCAGTGACTGCTCAAGGCAGGGGAGGCATCGAGCCGTGACATGTCTGGACAGAGGCCCGACAGAGCAGAGGTCCAGGGCTTCTGTGTATTTCGTGGGTTTTAAAGACAGCAAGATGGCCAGCGAGTTGGCAGTGGAGTGGGGTGCCAGGAGAATGTCACAGAATCACTGCTTAAAAGCAAATTAAACACTTGTGGGTTAAGGAGCATTTGTGATAGCTGCTCATGGTTTAAGGGCATTTGTGATGCCGGAGGTTAGGTGTCCTGTAGATGCGCATGGTTTAAGGGCATTTGTGATGCCGGAGGTTAGGTGTCCTGTAGATGCTCATGGTTTAAGGGCATTTGTGATGCCGGAGGTTAGGTGTCCTGTAGACACTGGTGGGTTAAGGAGTACCTACATTTGTTATTTTGAGAAGTGAAGTGGAAATTTAAACAAATGATTAACAATGTTTGTTTTTAATTTACATTTAAGGGTTTTTTTTCACCATTTTTATTACTATTCTAGCTAGTCTTTTATCTTCACACACTTTTTTATAAAAGGGGAGATGCAGCTTTGTAACTCTTTTTATTCTCTCCCATGTCTTCACTTATTAACTAAATTGAAACCTAAGCTTCAGCTTTGCTTTCAGGAATGGCACAGAAGTCAGTCACTGCTGATTTCAGAAGAATGTTTCCAGAACTGCTGTGTATGACATTGTTATGTTCTCACCCTTTTTAAGGTACGGGCACAATGCAGGAGAGGCTACACACAACGCAGTGGACTCCGCTCTCAACGTCGGCCTCACTGCCTACAACATTGACAACATTGGCATCAAAGCCATGGTGAAGAAGACTGCCAAGCAGACGGGGCACACGCTCCTGGAGGACTATCAGATCATCGACAGCTCTCAGAAGGAAGGCCGGGGAGGAGCAGCCAGCACAGACGTGAGAAGAAACAGGGAAAAGCGGACGGAGGAAGAGGAGGAGGAGGAGGAGAAGAAAGGGGCAAAGAAGAAAGATAAATAACCGGAGTTCTGGGAGTAACCTACACCAAAGCCTTACCAGATGGACGAATGTGAACAGCAGATGTGGATTCTCCACACAAGGACCAGTGGTTTCAGTGTATTCATTGCTACACAGTGACTGTCGGAAGTTTGGGGCATGTATCCACTTAACAAGAAAAATAATCAGTATTCTTACAGCTGGTTCTAGAAATATGCAGTTTATAGTCTCAATACATTTATTTTCCCTTAAATGTGGCTAAAATATTTTTGCAGTTAAAATAAAGCTTATAATATATGTAACTTAAACCTAATGTCAATCTATTTTTATATGTGCTAGCCTTCAGAAAGCAAAGTAGGAAAGTATACATACGCTTTCACAGCCACATGAATTTTGTTCATGCTGAGAAGGAATGACTTAATGACTTAAAAAAAAGACTCCTCTTTTTGCACTAATTGTGGATCTTTGAGATACCCAAAAGAATTTTCAGCATATAAGCTAAATGAAACCATGATCTCAAAGTGTGATCTCAGATAACGTTGTAGAAGGCTTTCTTATGCAGGGAAGAGCCTGGCCATGAGAGTGCCATGAACTTCTGTAATGTTATCTCTTACTTGCTAGATCTCCTGCCTACTAGGAACCAAAATGGCCTTTTGATTTAAACTGAAGAAAATGCTTCTTCCTGTCTTTAGGATTGAGAGTAGGTCATTTGTCGATAGAGTGATTTTTATTAATTCTTTGAGAATTTTGTACATGCATGAAATGTGTTTAGATTATATTCTCTCCCTAACTCCTCCCAGGTCCACCCCTCACCCCTCCTCCCACCTTCATGTTCTTATGTTTTAAATAACCTATGAGTAGTCTGTTTATGCTGCCCATATGCCCACAGGTGTGGTGTGATCCCCTGGAGCAGGGTTTATCTACCAGGGACCACACCCCTAAAGAAACTGACTCTTCCTCCCCAGAAGCCACAACTGTCAGTGGCTCCTCAGCTAGGGCTTGTGAGATGCTGCCCATTCCATGCTGGGATGTTGACTAGTTTGTCTGGTGGAGGCGGCCTCAGCTGCTGTCAGTTTGGGGGTACATGGGGTCCTGTCACATCCAGAAGATGTCAGTTCATCCAGTCTTCCTGGACATCTGATTCATTCACAGCCTTGCCACCTCCTCTTCCCCCATGTACCCCGAGCCTTGTGGGGAAGGGTGTGGTATAGACTAGGAAATTTTGAAGTATGATTGATAGTCTATTAAAATTTGAAATGGTTGTTATTGGCTTTAAGGAATCACTTTTCCATGTCTGCATCTGTAAATTTCTCCTAAATTTGCAGAAAATAAAACATAAACATTGTATTTCCTGATAGTATAGATTTGTACTCAGTCATTAGAGTTTATACTAAAATCTAGTAAGTGATTTAAAAGGGAGGAACCTGTTCATATCAAGGTAAAGAATGTGGAATCCTTTAGGGGGTAGTTCCCACTTCCACAGAAGACAGGAAAGACATTTGCTGATTGTTTTAAGCTACAGATAGGCAATAAAATACTCCATGATTATTTTAATTTTTGTTGATTTTTAAAGGTTGATTTGGTTTTTATAGTTATGGTCTGTTGTAATTATTTCTGAACCTGTAGTTGGCTAACTTACAGATTTCATTTGAAATTGGTTAATGAATGTGCTTTGAGAATAAAATGGTCTCTGAATTGCTGGGCCTCAAATTATTCATTGGGCTTGGATTTCAGGAATTCAGAACTAATGGGGACATTTTTCTTTCAGGCTAAGGACATGTAGTAGTTGTTGAAATGGATTGGTACATAGTGTCCAGCCAGTCTTTGCTCAATTGTTTAAGAAACAGAGTGACAAGTTGCGGGTCCTTCGTTAGAACAGAGATGTGCGAGCACTGTTCACTGACCAGATCCCACTGGCTAATGTTTCCAAAAATACATTTTCTTGGGGTGCTTACACTCATTTGCAGATTCACTGTGACTTCTCTTGCCAACACACCAGGTGTTGTAAGAATGTAGCCCCCAACTGAAAGTCCTGACCTCTTTACAGAAAGTGTGCCAACCTCCTGGCTAGACTAAAGAAGACCATGTTTTTTCTCCATAGAGTTGGAGCAAACCACACTTTAGACTTGTGAATATGCTCACCAAACCTTACCATTCAAGGTCTTTAAGGAGGCCAGTTACACAGACATAATTAAATTGTTGGCCATTGGAGATTAACTCGGTCCCAGCCTTACATTTATTCCCCTTGAGGTCAAGCACTCAAAGGACAGAGCCAAAAGTCCCAACTTTCTGACTACATGATTGATTATGACAACCAGCCCCTCATCTATGTGGCATTAAACTCCTCAGGTATGCCTAAAGGGGTTTGAGGAGTAATCAGAGACATTCTGTGCCTCTCCAAGGGTTTTCAGAGGTTGGTCAGGAACCAGGTACTAAGACCGAATATCTATTTATTAATATTTGTTTTATGTGTGTGTGCATGTCTTTATGTGAACCATGTTTGTACAATATCTGTGGAGACCAGAAGAGGGCATCACATCCTCTGGAACTAGAATTGCAGGCAGTTGTGAGCTGTCATATTTGTTGAGAATTGAACCCCCCTCCTCTATAAGAGCATCCAGTGCTCTTAGCCAGTGATCCTTTCTCTAGCCCCCAAATATCTCTTCTATCTCACTCCCTCACAGAACATCCAATTACCTGTGTTCACCGTAGATCACAAAATTAACCACATCACCCTAGCCTAGTTTCCGTTGTCCCGAGTCCTACTGTGGTTTGTGCGCTCATGTTCCTTCCCAAATTTGTGTTGAAACTCAATACAGTGCAAGTGTATCAAGAGGGTGGGCCTTGAGGAGGTGGTTAGGCCATGCAGCCTTTGTCCTCACAGCTGGGATTAGGCCCTTCTGAAAGAGCTGGAGGAAGTTAGCAAGGCCCCTTTTCTGGTCTTCTGCTTGCTTCCCATGTTGGAAGAAGCCTTGTACTATGCAGGGACACAGCAACAGTGCAGCATCTTAGAAGTCAAGACCAGGCCCTCTAGGAACATGGCGGAATGGAGAACCTGCCAGTATCTTATGTGCTTCCAGAGGCAGGATCTGGGAAGAGACATTAGTCTTTATACATTGCACAGCCTGAGGAGCTCTGTCACCACGGCATGTCATGCAGCTGCTTCCCCCTAGAGTGACAAGGCAGCTCAGAAGACACCGGAAGTACAAGGCCAGGGGAGCTAGAAGAGCCACAAGGCTGTCCTTGCCCAAGGCTATACAAGCAGGTGCAGTTGCTGAGAAGAGGAGCCTCTGTAATTGGCCAAGTGGCCTGCAGGTTCTTCATGGAGTCGCAGGAATGCAACTCTCATCAGTCATGCCCACGCTAGCATAGGCTTTTCGAAGATGACTTTGAGTCTCCTGTGGTCCTGTAAGCAACCCCTCACCTACACTTCTGCCAGCAACCTCAGTGAGCTCTCTGATTCACTTTGGACAGTCATCTTTCTTTGGTACAGTGTTGGTGTCGGTGTACTATTTGGGTAAATATGAAATTTCCCCAAGAAAAGTCCCACATCACAATTGGATCCCCTGACGAGACTTGGCAGAACCAAGGATGTCGGGGGGGGGGGGGGGGAGGGCGTTGTGTGGCTCCTGAAATGGGTGCTGGGACACATGGCGGAGGCTGCCCTCTGAGACTGGAGTATCTGCAGGAACAATCCCATTATGGCTACCTTTCCCATGCCATGTGGAATGGCCGCCTTGATGTGGTGGTGATAACCTGCTCCCAGCAATGGGTGATAGGCAACCAAAGCCAAGCCACCTGAGAGTGGAGCGTCCTTGGGAACCCTATGGTGTCCCACCTTCCTCACTTGGTCCCGTGGTATGCCTCCCTGAAGAGAGTCTACCGTGTGACTATAGGGACGATGCCGAGAACACTGACGGACTGGACAATGTCCCGGGAAGCAGCACGTTTAGGACAGGGTCATATGCAGCCTCTGATGTCAGTCATGAGCCCCTTTTTGTTGACAATAAGGCATGCAGCAGAGGCTCAGCTGTCTTCACAGGAAGAACTTGCCCCATAAGGGAGGAGAAAGAGCGTGTGGACGCTACACATTGAGTTAGCCTGATTTGTTGAGAATAGTGGGGAAAGGGAGGCTGAGATGGTGTTGACTTGTGGTTTCTTTCAGATGGCAGGAGGCATGAATAAGAGAGTGCAAGTCAGATGTCTGCTCAAGAGTGCTTTCTGGGGTCCAGAGACCTCAAACACATGAGAAAAACTAGACAGTAAGGAGGAAGAAAACTTGGTGGAAGTGATAGGAGGCACCTCTCATGTCCAACCCTTAATACAGAGGAAGGGGAAAATCTTTGATTCAGTCAGCATAATAATAATGCCTAGCGCAGGACACTCAGGAAACATTCAGCATCCTTGGGGAATCCCGAGGTGGCCATTTCCCTCTACTTGGTATCAGATGCCATATCCAAGGTGAGTCCAGGGCACCCCAAAGGGCAAGCCAGGAAGAAGAGATATCCCAGAGTAAACTGACTTTTAGATAACCCACAAATCCATTAACCTAGAGGATTACTCGCGAGGGCAAAGATCCAGTCGGATTGAAATGTATTGATATATTTTGTCTGCATGCAGTGACTGCTGAGATCAGAAAAGGGAGTTGGATGGTTCAGCATCCATTATGAGCCATGGGAACCAACCAGAGTCCTCATCAAGAGCTGTGTGAGAAATACAAATAAAATGTACTCTTTTCTGTCAAAGAATTAAATAAGACAAAACTCTTATTTAAAAAAAAAAAGATAAAGAAGTCACTTGTCAGAAATCCGAATTCCTCTAGGGTCAATACTTCTTGAAGTCAAAATGCGTGCTGACAAGTTGTTTTCTGTTCTGTTATAGTTTGCTCATCAGTTACGCCCTAACCACAGCATGGGAGTGTGAGGCCCAGGTCTGACCGCTCAAAATGAGGCACACGACCCCTTTGTGGTAGAAATAATACTGGTGCGCTTGTCTGCTGGCTTGACCAGTGACATACACTCAGCCTTGCCGGGATACTTTGGATTGTGTTGTCCTTTTCTTGGGACCCCAGACCCATTCCTGCAGCTCAGGTGCTCATATCCACTGAGCCATCTCTCCAAGGCCCTCTAATCACTTCTTGACGGTTGTCTAGACTCACCTCTTAATATAAATCCTGTAAGAGGGATTTCATTTCAAGATGAATTTTTGTGGGGACAATCCATTCAAACCGCAGGAGACAGAGCCTATCACCTTCCTGGTAAAAGATGAAGGAGAAGGCAGAGTATGTTAAAACCAAGATGTCTCAAGAGTAGAATACAAATGTGATAAGCAGGTCAGTGCACGGAACTGCCTAAACTCCAAGGCGGAATTTCTTGGCCTGAAAGCTCACACTTATCAAAGTTCAGACTGTCTTTTCAAAGCCTAGCTTACTGAAGCAAACGAAGGCGCAGGCGCTCTTAATCCAACACTCCTAGCAAGACACAGGGAAAGTCCAGGAAAGCAAAGTCAGAAGGGGGCCAGAAAAAAGTTGGATGTTCTGGGCGCCTGTATCCCAGACTGTTTTGTTTTTTTTTTTAAATTTAGATAATTTATGGCATATTAATGATGCGTATCTGGAATACATCTGTAATATGTAATGTTTAATAGCAGCAAGAACATCTACTTTGCCTTCACTTTTTTTCCCCTTTTCTATTTTAATAAAAAGGAAAAAAAGAAAAAGGTTATAACTAACAAAAGAAAAACTATATACAAAAGTACAATGACTATATACAATATATACAAGTAATAAATGTCTAAACAATGTCTAGTCCATTTGTATTTGACAAATTCAGAGAAAATAATTTCATTATCTATCCTATTTTGTTAAGTCCAAAATGTATCTAATTCCCAGACTGTTTTACACCTAGCTCACACCGGGGGCCCTGCAGACATGAGCAACACCCTATGACGTCATGCTACGGATCCTGGCAACGCATTTTCCTTCAGGGTTCCTAGGCTTCCCCAGGTCTTAAGCTCTAGGTGGTGCGCAGCGGAAGGGCGCGGGAGGTCTCTAAGCTGCTGCGATGGGAGAGGGCCGCGGAGACACTTTCGCGGGGGTTAGCACAGACCGCCTGAAGCTAGAGCTGCTGGAGGAGATCCACATGAAGTGAGTGGGCCATGTGGGCACCATCTCCCCACTAGGCCTCACGTGACCTGCTGGGCAGGAGCTCCTCCGATGTGCGCGGATGTGCGCGAGGAGGCAGGAGCTCGGATGTACAGGGGAGGCAGGCCCCTGTGCGAGGGTGGGGATTCATGCAGGGCTCACCAGGCACCTCCCAAAGAAGAGGTTCATTGTATGTGTGTGTGTGTGTGTATGAGAGAGAGAGAGAGAGAGAGAGAGAGAGAGAGAGAGAGAGAGAGAGAGAGAGAGAGAGAGAGAGAGAGAGAGAGAGACAGAAGAGGGGAGGGGAGAGGAGAGGAGAGGAGGAGAGAGGGGAGAGGGGAGAGGAGAGGAGAGGGGCGAGGGGGAGAGGAGAGGAGGAGAGAGGGGAGAGGGGGAGAGAGGAGAGGAGGGAGGGAGGGAGGGAGGGAGGGAGAAGAGAAGGAGAGGAGAGGAGAAAAGAGAAGAAGAGGAGGAGGAGGAGGGGGAGGAGGGGGAGGAGGAGGAGGAGGAGAGAGTAGAGAGAGATATGCGCAGTTCCCAGGGTGCCCAACAGAGGACATCAGATCCCCTGAAACTTGAGTTACAGGCGCTTTTGAGCCTCCATGTGGGTGCTGGGAACCAAACCGGGTCCTAGGCAGGAGTAGCCAGAGCTCTTAACCACTGAGCCACCTGTACAGTCCCGTTTACCTTTTTGTTCAATGGAAGCCAAGGGAATACAAGTGAGTTGTCCGGCTTTTGTAGAGCAAGTGTAGAGAGTGTCTGTAATGCTGAAGAAAATAAGTGGTTTTGATGGTTCCACTCAATTCATATTTTTTCTGTTCCTTTTGAAGAACTTCAGAAAATGGACATTTTTGTAGAAATGGCCTCTGGGACCCTCTATGCTTTGGGGGCGTGGTGGTAGTGGAGGCGAGGAGCTTGGCGCTTGTGACGCTAGGTCAGCGTTCTACCGCGGAGCTGTATCCTGTCTCTTAAATGCTTTAAGAGAGGAAAAAAGAAGAAGCTAGTTATATTCGGGCTAGGTGACAAACTCTTGTAAACCCGGGTTCTCAGGGCAAAAGGGTGAGGGGCTGGAGGGCAGTTAGGCACACAGGACATGGTGTTTAATAAGATAAAGCCTGGGCTGGGGATGTAGCTCTACAGAAGAGGTCCCGAAGAGCATACACAGGCCCTGGATTCAATCCTTAGTACAGGGGGAAATAATGCAGTATTTCATCTTAGGACCTCAAATATTCTGAGTATTTTTAAAAATCTATATATTTTTAATTAATTTATTTATTTTACATCTCGGCCGCAATTTCTCTTCCCTCCTCTCCTCCCAGTCCCTTACTCTGAGTATTTTTAATAGCTAACCACAGCCCCATTCACAGGCCACCTGAACATCAGAGCCCCTGTGAGTGCCTCAGTTCTTTCGAAGTTGCACTCTGATCACAGAGCTAATGGCCTGTCTCTGGGTCTTGTACCACACTGAGAGCATTCTGAGTACAGGCTCTGTGTGTTGCTGAGGCAGTCAGGGTGCAGAACAAGTCTGCAAGAAGACTCTCAGCTCTGTCACCCAGTCACGACAGACCCCAGCCTAGCTTCTTAGCCCAGCCAGTTCAGTCAGCATTCGGGACACTGGCTGCATCCCTGGGCGCATGTTCACTGAACCGTGCGTTTTTCGTTTGTTTTTTGTTTTGTTTTACATTTATTGTGTGTATTTGGCAGGGGTTGCATATGTCACAGCGCACAGGTGCGTGTCTGAGGACAGCAGAGTTGGTTCCCTCCTTCCACCATGTGGGCTCCAGGGATCAAACTCAGGTTCTCAGGCTCGGGAGCAAGGGCCTTCAGCCACCCATTCAGCACAATGGGCATTGGGAAATCTTCCCTGGACAATTCTTTCAGCATCTGTGTTTAGCACTGGGGTAGCCTGCCGCTCACTCATGCCCTAAACGACCTCTGAGGTGCCTTTGACCTTTTAAATTTTTCTCTGTGTGTATTATTAGTGCCTTCCACATCTGTGTTTGGGGGTTTCTGCTGTTACCTATTACCATAGCTATTCCTCGTGCTAATATTTAGCTGGACTCTGAGACGCATGTAACAGCATCACTGGGGTCATATGTGAGGGTAGATACACACTGGTTACAGGGCATTCTGGACTTTGGTGCATTTTAACTCCTAGAACTGACTAATTAGCTTTCATTTTCCCAACAGCTGCTTCTCAACTGTGCCTCCAGTAAATGGTCTTTCAAAATAGTTTGGTCCTGAAGTACGGGTGGGTTGCTAGACATTAGTTTTCTTGCCTTGTCTTTCATTGAATTATTATTAACAAAAATATTTCTAATAACAGGGATGTCGTGCAGCTCTCGATGCTTGAAATACGACATAAGATAGCAGAGCTGGAGGCCAGCCTCAGTGTTGACCATGCAGGTACACAGTAAATGTTTACGCGTGAGACTCATTTGCCTGGTGGCTATTGTGGGTGAAATAGCACATACTGGGTAACAGTACCAAGCTTTCAATGATGCTTATCTGGTATAGTAGTTTACAATGAAGGCTTTCATAGGAGCACTTAATGCTAAACCTCTGACTGTATTTTTCTACCTTGCAAGCTCAGAGTATTCATCAATATGCAAAGTTTAGCTATGTGACATAAATGTGTAATTTACTTGGTCAATAATAAAATATCGTAAGTCTCCTATTTAGCCACAGTCTTTTAAGCCTTAATTATTGGGCATGGAATATAATTAAAATTGGAGGTTTTCATGGGAAGAATGTGATGAGAGGGAGGGGGTAACACACACACACACACACACACACACACACACACACACACACATCTTTAAAATTGTCACATAGTCAATCTATGAACCCACAAATATTGACCCAGATCCTATCATGTGCCAATACTTTGAATGGACGATCTTTTTTTTTTTTTTCCATTCTAAAGAATGTTGACTGATGATTGGTAGAAAATGTCAAGCTAGAATCTGGGTATGTGGAGAAGATCTGTGTGAGGAGAGATGGGAAGTGGACATATGTGAGTGAGTCTTGGAGGCAGTCGGTTCTTGAACTCAATACTGAAGGATTGGAGGCATTTGTTAGGATTATGGGAATGATTTTGATTTTAAACCCAGTTTTACATATCTATTCCTCTCGGAGGAGCCATGAATAAATGGACTGGTAGCCAGATCTGAGGTAAAATGTAGTTCTGTAAGTAACCAACTGTCATAGTTAGTCTTTGTCAACTTGACACAAACCTTGACAATACCTCAGAAGAAGGGATCTCAATTGAGGAATTGCCTCCATCAGTTTGGCCTGTGGGCATTCTGTGGGGCATTTTCTTGGTTGCTGATTGATGTGGGAGAGCTCAGCCCACTGTGGGCAGTACCATTCCTACACAGGTGGGCCTGGGTAGCTGAGGAATTCAGAGGGATCAAGCCAGTAAGCAGCATTCTTCCATGGTGGTTTCTGCTTCAAACTCCTGCCCTGCTGGGCGCTGGTGGAGCACACCTTTAATCCCAGCACTTGGGAGGCAGAGGCAGGTGGATCTTTGTGAGTTCAAGGCCAGCCTGGTCTACAGAGCAAGATCCAGGAAAGGCGCAAAGCTACACAGAGAAACCCTGTCTCGAAAAAAAACAAAACAAAACAAAACAAAAAAACAACTCCTACCCTGAGCATCAGCCCTGTCTTCCCTCAGTGGTGGACTGTGAGCTACAAATTGAAATGAACCCTTCCCCAAGTCACTTTTGGCCATGGTGTTTTATCATAGCATCGAAAAGCAAATTCTACACCACACCTCTGTTAAAACCTAATTAGAGAACACCATTTTATCTAAGGCTATCATAGTCTCTTCTAACCCCAGATGTACATGTTAGGTGTCACGGGCCCAGTGGCGGCAGCCTCTGGCCTCACTCACTCATAGTTACATTGGCAAACTAGTCGGAATGTGCTCAAGGACCTATCTAGGTGTAGGAAATGCAGAAAACATGCTGGAAATGACTGAGGCGATGTAATGCCGAAGTCCAATAGGAAAACATTGCTGAACAGGGCAGAATGTTAACAGCTTTCTTGGGGAGGATCGAGGATGAGGCACAAAGGGTCAGGATGGCAGGAGTTCCTTAGTCATTGGTCTAAAGCATAAGGTGGATGGTGGAAATGCTGCTACCCCTCCCCTGCATGTTTATTGGGTCTAGAAACTCAGAGGCAGGCAGGTGTTATTCTCCCCATTTATTCAAAACTGGGATTCAAGAACTTCAATTACTTCCCAGGTCACATAGTTGGTGGAGACCAACACCTGGCTCTCATTACTGCTGCTGCCTTGACTGCGCTTACCGCGTCAGCACACAAGACAGTTCCGGTTCTGTGGTACTGTGTAGTAAACCACCCTCAACCCAGCAGCTTAAAACCGGTTATAATCCAGTGGTTGACTGGGTTCGCCTGGATGCTTGTTGACTGGGGCCCCTGTGGTTGCAGCCCAGGGTTGTCTAGGGTTCAGTCATCTATCTGAAGGCTCAAATGGGCCAGTCATTCAAGATCACTGCTGTGTATTTCACTTCCTCGCAGAGTACAGTCCTAAGCACGCATTCTGAATGACAGGAGTGAAATTGCTGGGCCAGTAAAAGGATACTTGGTGTGTGGTTAGAGCCACCGTGTTCTATTGGTGAAAAGTCATGGATTCAAGGGGGCGGAAGACAAGCGCTCTGTGCCGTGATCCTGTTGCAGGCTAGGGACGAAGCTTAGGAGCATAGCGTCGAGACACTTTGAGCTCAGCCAGTACCGAAGGGAAGGTCACATTTCACCACCACCTGTGTGATGGCATGTAGTAGTTCAGTCATTTGCAAAATATAATTCACTGGCCTGGAAAGACCGGCTCAGCAGCTAAGGGTGCTTCCTGCTCTTCCAGAGGACCCAAGTTCAGCTCCCAGCACCCACATGGGGCAGCTCCAACCACATGTAATAATAGTTCCGAGGGATTGGACAGCCTCTTCTTGCCCATGTACCTTCATGCACATGAAATATACTCACATAAAGCACATACATACACAAATAAAAATGCATGTAGTTTGCCATGGGGGTTCTAAACACAAAGCCGTTTAGGAAGAATGCTGAGTAACCAGGAGGGGGAGACACAGCGTGTAGTGAGAGGCTGAGGTTCATGAAGGAGACACATTGTGAAGACTACTGAGACATTAATGAGTCTGTATTTATCCTAAAGGCAGTAGTGAAGCTTTGATTTATTACTGTGTCAACCTTATAAGGTTATGATAACTATGGACAACTGTGATTACACTCGCCGTGTGAGTAATTCCCACATGTTCTCCGGTCCTCAGGACCCTACCACCTGTCTCCCATGCTCTTTTTCAACTGCTGCCTTTACCCTCTTCTTCCAGAGAGAAAGAGCAATCCCCCAAAGACAGTTTCTACCAGTGAAGCTTCACAGTTCACTGCATCTGGCTCTTGGGTGGCCTGGTCTAACCTTGGTTAACTCTTGACTTGTGTGTAATTCCCATCTACTCGCACTGGGCGGTAGTACTCCAGAACTAGGCCCCTGCCTTCATCTTGTTCCCTTTCTGCCCCAGTCATGCCTAGTGTATGCTGACTTCCTGAATTCACCTCATCTGAGGGACAACACACAGACTTCTGTTGATCCATTTTTTTCTTCACCTGACTTCCCTTACAGTGCACCCATGCAGCAACACACTTCAAAAAACAGTGCTTTTCTGTGTGTGTCTACTCTTTCTTATCTCCCTTCTTTAATCTAATCTGCCCGGTAAATGGATTAATTTGCAGGTAAGAGAGCAAGCAACCACAATCAGTTTCAAAACAGGCCCCTTGAAGCCCTTTGGCACAGGCACCTGTGTGCAAAGAATGTGGTTTCATGAAGTAGCTGAATCGCAATTTCATCTCAAGCCTCGGCAAGGAGACAATAGGAAAAACATTTGCCCCTCAGTTTCTTGTTTTGTTTTGTTTTTCATCTGGAGACAGGAACTTTGCCTTCTGAGGCTTGGGGACAATTCCCCTGTGAGGGGGTGGGAGTGGGACATGAACCAGATTTACGCAGTGAGTTCCTGATTACCTCATTCATATTGCATCCGCTAGTCAGGAGATTGGCCTGCAGTCACCTGGAACACCTCATCAGGGTCACTAGTGATGCCATGCACGGGTGAGTGAGCTAAGCCAGTACTCAGGGTCCTCACCTTTGGCCTGTGCCCAGCATGGATCAGGAACTTATCTCTGAAACACTCGAATCTCTTGGCCTCTGGCTTGTGAATCTCTCCTTGTCCTCCTATGTTCTGGGCACATGTCGGTTCCAAATTTCTCAAAAACCAAAAAGCCTTGGAACGCCTCAGGGTTCACCAGGGCTCAGCCCTTTCTTCTTTATATGTGTATTCATTGTTGGGTAATCACTGTGAAAATAGCACTGACTAAGTTAGTTGGCCTTGGAGTGACTTGGCTGGGGAATTTATGAGAGCACAACTTTATTTTTTTGGGGGGTACACAACGGTGAACAAATGACTTAGAGTCCTCTTGATCAGCATTTCCCTCTATACTGGTGAAGAAACACATCACCTGTTGGGCTGAGAACTTGATGGCTTTAGCTCTGTGCATGTAGTTCTCAGCCTCTGTTCTAATGGTCCTCAACCTGTGGGTCATGACCCCTCCAGGGGTCCCATATCAGAGATCCTGCATATCAAATATTTACATTATAACTCATAACAGTAGCAAAATTACAGTTATGGAGTAGCAACGAAAATAAATTTATGGTTGGGCGTCACCATAGTATGAAGGGAAGGTTGAGAACCATTGCTCTATCCTATTCCATGGTTCCACGGTTGACATGTCTGGTTTTGTGCCAATACCGTGGCAGTTTTTGTAGAATTGTATAGTATAATTTGAGACCATATCTTACACCTTCAACTTTACTCTTAAACATTGATGTGGTTTGGGGGCCTTTTGTGCTTCCATGTGAATTTTTCATTGTTTACTTACATAAAGAATTTCCTTGGGCTTTTGATGGGGATCGTGTTGAGTCTCTAGATCACTTTGATAATATCAAATTTGACAATATTCTGCCTGTCCTGAGCACGGGAGGACTTGTGGTGTCTTCTTTAGTTTCAGTCTTAAAGCCTTCACTGTAGCGGCCTTTACCTCCTGGTTAGATCCCTTCCTAGGATTTCTGGGGTTTTTCTTTTTGTCTTTGAAGCTATTGTGAATGGTTGTTTGGTTTTTTTTAAACTGATTTTTTTTTTCAGCAAGTTCATTACCACTAATTAGAAATTTCATTAATTTTTGTCTGTTGATTTTGTATCCTGATACTTTGGTGAAATTGTTATTGTGTCTGGGAGTTCTCCTGAGGAGTCTGTAGGGGCCTTTACATCCAGGATCCTATCAGCTTCAAATAAGGGATAGCTTGACTTCTTCCTTGCCTCTCTGCATCTTTCATGTCTTTCTTTCCCCTTGGTGTTCCAGCTCGGGCTTTGAGCTCTTTGTTAAATAAAAATAGAGGAAGGGAGGGAGGGAGGGAAGGAGGGAGGGAGGGAGGAAGCTTTCTGTGTCTGGTTGGAGAGGAAATGCATTCAGTTTTTCTGCATCCAGCACAGTGTTGGGCTGTGGCCTTTATTGTGTTGAGAAATATTCTCTCTATTGGTAGTTTCTTCAGCACTGTGGTGAGGAGACGTTTTGCTTTGTCAAAGGTTTTTCCTGTGTCTATTGAGATGATCATGTGATTTCTATTCTTCAGTCTGGTTGTGTTGTATTACACTCAATGATTTGCATATGGTAATAACCATTCATTTCTTACCCCTGAATCTGATGTGATTTCCTTGACTATGAAGTGAAACTTTGAAATACATTCTCAGCAGATGCCTAGCTTCCACCAGTCCAAAAGCCAAGAATGTCACCAGACAGCATCTGAGGGCTAACACAGAATTCACCCCAATTTTCTATATCCTACCTACCTATGGGCACACCAGTATATTAGGTAAATATCTTAAGCCTTTCTTAGTTCTTTAACTAATAAAATGTTATGTAGACACTCCTATGTGTTATTTGGGGCAACTTGAATCCATGTTCCTGGGATGAGGTCACTCATATTTGCCTAAGAATGAAGCGTCTTATGCCCTTTGAGGAGGGAGCTGTGTTTTGTATCCACAGCAGCATATTCTTAAATGTATGCTTTATGCTCATATAAGTAAAAAATAAACTATTTTGGGAACATTCTTATCTGGCTGTAAAGCTCCCATTGTCATGGTGTAAATGAGACAGATGGAGAATTCCATCTCTTGGTATCTATTGGAAATATGTTTGGTAATTCAGGGCTTTGCCTTCCCCTCCTTCATGGTGTATTTGGTGAGTGACTCTGAGCTTCAATTTGGGAATATGTGCATCCCGGTGTTGGAAGATGGGAGGGTGTGCATCCTGGTGTTGAAAGATGAGTGAGCATCCCAGTGTTGGAAGATGGGAGGGTGTGCATCCCGGTGTTGGAAGGTGGGAGGGTGTGCATACTGGTGTGAAGATGGGAGGGTGTGCATCCCGGTGTTAGAAGATGGGTGTGCATGCTGGTGTTGGAAAATGGGAGGGTGTGCATCCTGGTGTTGGAAGCCTGTGCCTCGAAGTGCAGGTCTGGGGTGGGGCTGTGTCCTGCTGACAGGGTCCAGTCTGTAGTGGTGTTTGCTGTTTCACTCATTCTCCTCAGACCCCAGCACTGTCAGATTGCAGGCTAAATCTCAGATGTGCTAAGTAGAAGTGTAAACACAGTCATTGCTTTTCTCTCTTTCTACAAAGTCCAACTTCAAGGTTCTGAGCCTTGGAATTGGACAAGGAGCTTTCAACTCTAAGGGTTTTGCCTACTCTCCATTCCTCAATGCTGAGTTCTGGCCTTAGTAGCCAAAGGGTTTTAGTGGAAAAAGAAACACTGCTTGAAGGATAAAAGAAAATAACTAAATACAGTACTTCTGTAGCTAAGTAGCTAAAAGGAGACACTTTTAGTCATATCAAACTGTCTAACTCCAGTTACATCATCTCTTAATCTACTTTTACATTTATTTATTTGTGTGTGTTCTTGTTTTTAACACAAAGTCTGCTATATAGCCCTGGCTGGTCAGGTATTCCCAGTGTATTAGGCCTACCCTCAGACCTGCCGCAGGCCCCCAGCCTCCGGAGTGAAGGGGTTACAAATGTGTGCCATCATGACCAGCATTTGCTCTAACATCTTGAGAATGTCATTCATTTCTGGGCCTTGCTTTCCTCATCTGTGGAATGACTAAATTTTAAAATATGAGCATTGCAGCTTTCAATGTCGAAAGCACTTATGTGGTAAGACTGACTTCAGACACCGAATGGGTACTGGTGCTGTTCGTTAGGGTGTTGTGTGGAGCTCTCAAGGGCAGAGATGTGTTCCTGATACTCCCCCTAGTAGAGTATACTGTAAAAAAACAGGAAGTGAAGGATAAATTGGGGATGGGGGCAGAGAACAAGGAAGAAGAGGCGTGCAGGAGGCACCAAAGCTGTGTCCAGTTCTGGCTAAGTGACATCATGAAGGTGGGTCTAATCCCAGCAGTCTAGGAAATCCTGTCTTAGAGATAATACTTTAAAATGACCTCTTTTTTTTTTTTTTAGCTCACTTGTATTACTAATGAATCCAGCTAATAATGAAGTAAATTTGAATCGGTCCATATTTTATTGTGTATGTATATGTGTGTGTACATGTCGGTGCAGGAAGTGTGTGTAGGTGCACATGTGTTGTGTGTGCATGTGAGGGATGGAGGCCAATATCTTTGTCTTCTGTGATCACACGAATTTTCTTTATTTGCTAATATTTTGAGACAGGGTCTCTTACTGAACCCAGAGGTTATAAATTCAGTGAAAACAAAACAAGCAAACAAACAAACAAACACAAAACCTGCTTGAAGGATAGAAGAAAATACCTAAATATAGTGCTACTGTAGCTGACAGGGTGTGCCTGGGTCTGCCCTTCCCCTAGCTCTGGGGTCATGGAACCCCACCTCTGTCTTCATCTTTTTATGTGTGTGCTGAGATCGGAACTAGGTCCTCATGTTGCACGTCAGCACTTTCTGGCCTGAACAAATAAATGGCATTGGGGTGATCTTGCCCCCCCTTTTCCTTCAGGCAGTGAGTGGAAATCCCGATATGAGACCCAGCTGGAGCTGAATGACCAATTGGAAAAGCAAATCGTGTCTCTGAAAGAGAAAATGGAAAAGGTCCGTGGAAATCCTTCAGGTACAGAAGCTGCAACCCGTGTGCTGGAGAAGCTGAGCGGGAACTACGAAAGTATCAATTGTTCATTTTGCTTCTTTGCAGATAGACTAGCTTCCATCCGTGCCTATGAAAGAATGCCGGTGGTAAGTAGAGGGTGCCTAGATGAAAAGAATCATCAAGGGAGTGACACACAGAAGTGTAGACTGATCGAAACCTAAATGAAGTTCAGGGGAGCTGGACAAGAACCGAGACCTTCAGGCCAGCCTGCCCCTTAAAAGCTGGGCTAGGATTGAATGCAGGGAACAGTAGCCAGACTGGCTGGGCCTTGAAGGGACCTGCTCCTCACCATCTGAAGAAGCCAATTGTTGAACACCAAGTACCATCTTCTACATATCTAAAATGTGTGCACTCTGCTTCCACATTACCCCAAAACACGTAGACAGAACTGTACACAGGACACACACAGATACATAAGCACACACAAAATCAGCGGGGCAACCAAGGTCGCCCTGTGATGACAGAAAACTTCACTGGGCCTTCTCACCCCTTCTCAATGTTGCCCTTTCTCTCTTTAATGTCCCTTTTCATCTCGGATAAATTCCGTTCACAGGTTTTATCCTTTATAGAGCATGTGGGCTTTTCTACTCATGTGAATTTATTCTTGAAAAAGTAGGAAAGCTCTAAGACATGACTCACGCCGAGTCCTTGCTGCTGAGAGACAGACTTTCCTCGGAGCCCATGCTGAATTTTTACTTGAAAAATGACTCAGACAAAAGCACAATGATATACTGAAAGAAAAAAGGTACTTTGGAGGCAGGGAGAGAATATTAATATAATACTCAGTTGAATTTGTAGGATTCAATATTTGAAATAGTATGAACAAATAAGTGGCATTGGGGTGATCTTGCCCCCCCTTTTCCTTCAGGCAGTGAGTGGAAATCCCAATATGAGACCCAGATAATAATTATTAATTATCTTTAATTAAACATAAAAGATACACAAATGAATCTCCTATTCTTTATCTCAATCTCAAGACACTGAGTGAGATAAAGCCGAATGTCCTTTATAGCAGCAGGTGAGACCGAGTGCAGACAGGCAGTCCAGCCAGCCTAAGATGGAGGCAGTCTTGCCTTACCCTCTCCCATCCCACCACACAGTGCTAACTGCTCATCGGAACTCACAAGCATGTTTTGAGCAGCTACAGGCAGAGCACTATGTGCATTCACAGGTTTCTGGGGATCTGCAAGCACACGGGTGCTTTTCTTTGAGTAACTGCCATCCCTTTGTGAACAATACAGAGACATCTCACATTTTTGTTGATGACAAATCGAGGCAAAATTAATCAGTTTGCCTACACTTCTGTTCTCTCTGACCTCAAAATACTGTTCTCTCTTACCTCAAAATACTCATGTCTTGGAAGGACAGGAAAATACCCCTCCCTTCTCTGTCTGAAATGGGAAAACCCAGGTTTTTCTCCTCTGTGGTGGCTCCTGTCGCCCTCTTGTGGCACTTTTAGACATGGCTGCTACAGTGATTTAAGTGCCCTTTCTTAGTTACAGGTAGACTTTTAACAAGACCTGTCAAGTGTGACCTGTGAAATACTCACTAGAGAAGCAAAAGCTCTGGTCACCTGCTTCTTCATGCCGGGACCTTGCCCAGGTCAGAAAGAGTCTGTAGGTCACATAAGAAACATTTAATGTTGAAGTCTTTCTTCTTAGCAACACAGAGAAGTTTCCTGAGCAGCAGGGACTGGGACTCTAGTAACAAGGAACAAGAAATGAGGCCTTGTTTATGGAAGTGTCTCACCAAGGACTGAGGGGCAAGCACTGAGATCAGAGTGCTGTTGATCCAGTCCCAAGATCCCAAGGATAGGAGACATTGGATTCCCTGGAACCAGAGTTCTGGGCCTCTAGTTCTGGTTGTGAGCCTCCTGTGGTGGGTTCTGTGAACAAAAGTGGGGTCATCCAAGAGCACAAAGTGCTGTTAACCACCAAGCATCTTTCCAGGGCCCCAGTTCAGACTCCGTCTTTGTTGTGGGTCATTAATCTTTAGGTGCATCCTCCACAGACTTGATGTCAGTTAGAGTGAATGCTAACTGTTTCTACAGCCTTATTGACACCCACATTTACATTTTGTATAACATATTAAGTTGATGTGGCAACTGTATCATGAAAAGATTAATGAAGGGATCTTGGATTCTGAAAAGCAAGATAAAGAATTCCCATGGTCTGCCTGGCTGTGGTAGGCCTGTGATCAACCCATTCACCCCCTAATTTTCATTCTCCCCAAAGAGTAAAACAGTTTACTTACAGGCAGGTGCAGCTTCAAATGGGAGAGAAAAAATGACGACATGGTACATATATGTAATAAGCAGGGCCATCCACAAGGGGGCACTTGTAAGCTCAGTGTGAAGAATTTTTTTTTTTTCCCCCATCAGAGCTGGTGTTGTCTGGGGCTGGCATTAACTAAGTCAGTTAACTAAGTCCTATTGTCATTTTTCTCTCTTAAAACCTCTGTGGGATGTTCTAACTTGTAACTCTCCACCCCTGCCTATTATTGCTGTGTTGAATTCTTTAGTGCAGCAATTAACATTAGTTTTGAGGGGGGGAAAAAGTGACAGGTAGGACTTCCATTCTGTCTGGGATGGTGGAGTAGGCCTTTCCCCCATTATTTAAACCCTAAGTACATATTACGTCAGGTATGTAAACATGGCTCTGCAGCTTCTTATCCTTACCTTGTGTTTCAATCTGCTCACCTTTTCAAAACAAGAACATAGCAGAAAAACGATAAGTTAGAATGCTAGGAAGCAACTGTTGTCAAAAGCAGTTCTTTCCTAGGAGCATGAAATCTCTGTGTTTTCTGAGGACCCAGTTTCTAGAGCACCTCTGGCTTTGGTTTGCCTTCACTGGAGGACTTTCTGGCTTGTGACCGTTGATTTATGCAACCAGATAACTACCTGCTTGGGAAGATCAGGGGCATTACAGTGTATGTCTCCAGTGGCTTGGAAGTGGTGACAGGGTTCACCCCATCCCACCCCCGATAAAAATCACTTTCCAAATACCCAGTTTACTCTGTCATCAGTAAAATGAAAGAATAAAAATCCAGAATGGACCTTAAAGTTATTTTAGAATAATTTAGTACTTTTAAAGATCTTTTTGTGTTTTGCTTGTTGGTTGGTTGGTTGGTTGGTTTTTTATGTTTGTTTGTTTTTTTGTTTTTTGTTTTCTGTGTACAGTCATTTTTCTGTACTGGGCTAGACTCCAGGATATTTGATGGTGGTAGTGTTCTAGGGAAATCCAGACGAGTTCTTGTTTTCTCCAATGTGCAATTAATTTGGATGCTAGTCCAATTCCCATGAGATTGCCACAATAAACCTTCCTGTCTGCCCTATACTATAACTTTAAAGCATGGAGTGTGTGTGATATGGAGCTCAGATGTAGCAGAAATCTTAAATGGTCTTATTAATAAGATCAAACCTGAGGCCAGTTATTGGGGTGAAGCTGGAAGATCAGAGAGACAGAACAAGCCACAGCTAACCTCACCTGGCCAACTTCTCAGCTGATCTTGTTTCCTCAGACTGGAAGCCTCTGTGTCCTCATATCCGAATGGCTCTCAACTGAAATGTGCTGCTCAAAACCTAAAAGCTTAACCAGCCAAATGCTTCTAGTTCCTGGTCCTCATGCCTTATATATCTTTCTGCCTTCTACCATCACTCCCTGGGATTAAAAGCTCACTCTCTGAGATTAAAGGCATGTGTCACCATGCTTGGGTATATCCTTGAACAGATGGATTTCTGCCTCTGGAATGCTAGGATTAAAGGCGTGTGCTACCACTGCCTATCCTAAGTATCTAGTGGCTTTTCTGTTCTCTGACCTCAGATAAGTTTATTAGGGTACACAATATTTTGGGGAACACAATACCACATTTCCTCTCTTTTTGTCTAAAATTAAAAAAAAGCTTATAACTAATACAAGAAAAACTATCCAGTAAGTATATACAATATATACACAGTCAAGATTACATTAACGATGTCTAGTCCATTAACATTTGACAGATTCAGATAAAAAACTCCATTATAGGGCTAGAGAGATGGCTCAGAGGTTAAGAGCACTGGCTGCTCTTCCAGAGGTCCTGAGTTCAATTCCCAGCAACCACATGGTGGCTCACAACCATCTACAATGAGATCTGGTGCCCTCTTCTGGCCTGCACGCATACATGCAGGCAGAACACTATATACATAATAAATAAATAAATCTTAAAAAAAAAAAAACTCCATTATATATATTAACAATGTCCAGTCCATTAACATTTGATAAACTCAGACAAAAAAAATTTTTCATTACTTATCCTATTTAAAACAAGTAGTTCTTTTTTAAAAGTATTTTTCTTTTCATAATAGATTCAGTAGTCTACCTTTTGTCATTTTTATATCTTCCCCTTTTTCTTTTTAGTGTAGATTCAATGATCTTCCCATTTATCCTATTATTTCTTTATCTTTTTTCTCAGAGTAGATTCGATGATCTACCTCATGTCTATATTCTTTTCTCTTTTTTCTTTTTTTTAAACAAAACCTCTGAATCTAATTTCCTTGTTCAGCTTTTTTCCTGACCATTAACAATCAACAACTTGTAACCAACCATCATAAACAATGACAACATCCATAACTCATTAAACGACCAAAAACCTCCCATCCCACCTCTTGGGAATGTGGGCGTCATTTTCTTAAAATTACTTCCATCTTTAAGGGATCCTGAAGAGAAAATTTTTGGTTAAGTGTCAAGTCCTGTATCATTTGTCCAATCGCTGCATAATGAGAAAGTGCAGGGCTTGTTTCAAGTCCTTGTTCAAGTAGTCTGTCAGGCTGGATCATCTTAGCTAGCCCTCTCAAAATTGTCCTGAGCAGTTTATAGTCCAAAGTCCATCTTTCCATGGTGTTAATCAGCTTAATGGCTTTACCATAGTCCATGTGGAATCATCATTGTGGAGTCCTGTCATCTTTTTGAAGATTTCAAAGTTGCTGTTAGGCATGGTCATGGTTCCCTATAGATTTTTTTTTTTTTTTTGGTGCCTCCACTGTGGTTTGGAGTAATCACAGTCTGATAAATGTCAGTCTCTTGGAACCATGAACGTTCTTCCCTAGAAGAGAAAATCTCCACAGCAATTTCTCCCAACCATTTGTCTTGCCAAACTTTTCCAAACTGACATTTGCTGATGCTTTCTTGTAACATGATGGGCCTGGCAATTCTTCTCTGAACAAGCAGTAGTAAACCCTTCATCCCAGGTAGCAGCATCACCGCAGTCACCAACATGATGAGAAGAAGCCAGCAACCTGGAGCAGCAGCCACTGCCTCCGTGGTCCCACCGACCCCGTTTGTGGTTGGCCCCCCTGAAGCTTCTCCTAGGTTGGCCTCAAACTCTGGATCCCCCTGCCTCTGCCTCCTTCAGCAAATCCTACCGGCATGGGCCACCACAACCAGCCGAGTGTAGCTCGGGCCTGAGCTGGGGCCCACAAGGCCACAGGCAAGCAGCTTTTTCATGAATTTGTACCAGAACGTTGGGCGCAGGAAGGGAAGAAAGATGAAGCCTAGGACTCACTCATGGCCCACCCAGCTGGAGCCACCTGTGGGCACAGAGCTGAGGCTGGCCAGAGAACATGGATGCCTTGTCCTGTGTGGACCTGCCGGGGAACAGACAGGAGATGGCAGTGAAGAGAGCCAGGACAAGACAGGGAGCCCACAACTGATCTCAAGCTGCTGTTTCATACATGAGATGAGTGCCCAGCCAGCCAAAGAAAAAACAACACAGTTCCTAAGCTCAAGCAACAAGGAGGTGGCATGATTTATTTAAGGATGCACAGTTTGAGTGTAAACTGTCTGCTGCTCCTGAAATGCTGTAGTGCTGTGCTGCTCAGGTATGCTCCAGTAGAACATTCCATTCCAGCCAAGACTCTGCTGGGGAGCTAACAAGGGTGGCAGAGGCAGAGGCGGTGTGGTTCGAGAGCCTGCGCTCGGCCAGCACTTTGTTGTTTTTTAATGCAACACTTTATCATTTTTTACATTCACTTTTATACACACTCTCCTTACAAATACATACTCTATGTTCCTATATTAAAAATTCATAAACTACTCTCATCTAGCCAAAACCAACAGCCAATGTAAAATTGAAAGACCATGCTTAGTGCCATTTGAAAATGAGTTTATTAGGAAACAAACTGTTTAAGTAAAACCATAGTGTTTTGCTTTGGTGAAGTCTGAGGTGTCCAGTAAGGATTCAGAACAGACAGCCAGGGCTCTGCTTTTAGGTTTGAATGTGGTATCTGTCAGCAGAGAAATGATAGTTGGTACTTGCTGCCTGGAGGATGAAACTTCACAGGCAAGAACTTAAGGACGTTTTGGAAGACGGTAGCTGGAGGAGCAGTCTTTACATGAGACAGGTGAGTAGGGGACAACAGTGCAGAGAGGGACCCAAGTGACAAGGCTGGTGGGCTCCAGACTTATCCGTGGGGACTGGGGAGCAGCAGGTATGGGAGATGTAGGGTGAGACAGTGAGCAGTCATCACTTAGGACTTGGTGCCACCTCACGTGGCTGGCACACTTTGCTTCAGCTAGGAGACCTTTTCTGGATAAAAATGCCATAGCTCTGGACCTCAGAGCTTCACAAGTAGAAGGTGAAAGTGAGACAGGGCACTGAGAAAGGAACTGTGCATTTTAAGAAGCAGAGCTCGGCCGGGTGGTGGCGGCCGCGGTGGCAGCGGCGGCGTAGAGAAACCCTGTCTCGAAAGAAGAAGCACAAGAAGAGGAGGAGGAGGAAGAGGGAGGAGGAGGAGGAGGAGGAGGAGGAGGAGGAGGAGGAGGAGGAGGGGGAGGAAGAGGAGGAGCTCTGCTCTCATCCTCCAGCCAGGTCAACATCACAAGGCCATTGGGCTGACAAAGGAAACGTGATGGTTCAGGCAGGGTGCCTCAGACTCCCAGGGCCAGAAGATTGTTCCACCAAGGAGTCTAGATGCCTGCCTTTGAACCCCACTGAGGCCACACTTGCCAAGGTCTGTTCTCTGCCTCTGAGCTATGGCAGCAGAGAGACAAGGGCGGAGCTATTCCTGGCATATGTGGGGATTCCGTTGTTGACTGATTGGGCTTAAGGGTTCCTCTTAATTTTGCTAAGCTTTTGTAGGCTGCATGACAGACTGGGATGTGTCTGCTTCTAGCCAGCCTGCTTGGCCTGCACTATGGAGAGAACATGAGACTACTCTCTCAGGCTCCTGCTTCCCCTCCCCCCATCCTCACAGGGCATTCCTGACCTTTGCTCTTCTCATCCCATTGCGGCAGCTACTTCATAGAAGGCTAGGTATAAAACCAATGGTACCCAAAATGATGTAAGAAAAGCAGGAAGATGGGGCATGCTTGTCTGGGCCACTGTGTAGCAGGCAGAAGATCTGTCCTGATTGGTACATATAACACCAATTGGTCATCCCAGGGTGATGGTTAGGTTTCTAAGGCCCAGTTGTGACCCTAAGATGTGCCCTAACATTCAGGATACCGTGGAAGAAGCTGTGAGGAGGGAGTTTTGGAAATACAGGGTTCCCAGGAGGTTGCACTGCAGCCTACTTTAGGATGATTTGAGACAGGGAACTGTTAATGAGCAAGATCTGAAGGGTGAGACCCGACAGCCTTCTTGGAAGCTCTCAGGAAGTCTCTGTCCCCACAATGGGAGAGCAAACTGAGTAGGGCATGGCTGGAATCCACTCTGTGAGAGGCAGGAGAGTGCCCAGGGCAGATGGGTCTGTTATGTGAAGGATAGCACCCTGGTAGGGTGACAGGAATCCCAGAGCTGTGGTAGTGCCTCTGGAGAGGTACCACTGAGGATGCTGCTGCAGCCCCTCCTAGACCTCATCATCAGTGGCCTGGAGCCCACGTTGCTAGGAAACTAGTGTTCCTTGGCAGATCTAAAATGATACATTTTTATCATACGTTTCTCTATTTTTCTTACTTTTTAAAAAGATTTATTTATTTATTATGTATACACTGTTCTGCTTGTATATATGCCTACACACCAGAAGAGGGCACCAGATTTCATTACAGAAGAGGGCACCAGATTTCATTACAGATGGTTGTGAGCCACCATGTGGTTGCCAGGAATTGAACTCAGGATCTCTGGGAGAGCATCCAGTGCTCTTAACCTGTGAGCCAGCTCTCCAGCCCCCTCTAACTCTTTAATATGTGTAGTGTTATTGATCTTAGTCACCATGATCTGCTTCATCCCCGCTCTTGGGGGAGAGGAGCCTTCAGTTTTTCCTCTGTGGATGCATGGTGTCTCAGGTAGTTCACACTAGTATATAAAATAGACACGAAGCATACAGTTGGCAGAAGATAGGTAGTCTTTGCCTGGCAGCAGCTGTGTGTCTGGCAGCTTCAGTGTGTGTGACCCTGGGAACCATCTTACCTGGGCTCTGGATCCTGCACTCTCATTGTCCAGTCCCACATCTTTGGTCTAAGTATGCAACCCTCGGGGCTGCGATTTTCTCTACATTAAACAGAAAGACAGGCTGTCACATGATTCAAACCAAATGAAGTCATCTATGGTAAATACATATATTCTGATTTATCTTCAGGCCTTATAAACCTTTACCTTTTGCTAGGAACTTCTATGCAGAGGCACAATTCTGGGTCTTAGTCCAATTTGGGGGACTTGGGACAACAGATGTAATTTTGAAATAAACCCAGAAGGTATTTAATAATGTAATTCGTGGGACAGAGTTCAATAAACATGATAACTATCTTATGTATTATTGCTGCTACTTTAAAAATGCCTAGTGCAGCTCATGAAATCACAGTCACACTGGGCTAGACCAGTCATTAACTGACAACATTTTAATGATTTTTTTATTATTACTTAGAACTACAAGTACATAAAATTCACTGTTCATATTTTCAGGAATCTTTAAACACGTTACTCAAACAACTCGAAAAAGAAAAGAGGAGTCTCGAAAGTCAAGTGAAAGACTACGCACTTAAACTTGAGCAGGAATCCAAGGTTGGTTTAACTCCCTATGAAGCAATGTTCTTGAAGCTGTCATTTATTTCTAGTATTTCCTATAAACCTACTTCACAATCATGAAGTTTTTACAACACTATTTCATGTGATATATAAAGTAAGAGACTTGGTAATGACCTGGTTAATGTGGCTATCCCTCTCTCATGCAGGATTTACGTGTTATCTTTTAATAGGCATACCACAGGACCAACAACGAGCGCCGTACATGCATCACGGAAATGTCTCAGGTAACTCCTTTTACGGCAAATTCTAAAAGTTTCCTCTGGTTATAAATCATTTTACTTTTCCATTCTTATTTGTTTGGCAGAGAAACAAATGTTGGGATTAAGGAAGGAAACAGCCTGGTTTTTTAAATAAGGAAAGTGGAAAGGAAAAGACATAACTTTTAAAAAGAGGTGAAATGGTCTCCTCGGATAAAAGATAAATTTGTGTAGTTTGTTTGTAATCACGGCAGTGAAGATTAAACTGGTAGTCTTCCAGTGTCATAAAATTCCAGTCATGTCACTTCCTAACTGTCGGTGGTGGATCTGAGCTACAGAGCCCAGCTGTCAGTGGGAAGTGATCGACACGTTGTGTGCCTGACTCTTGAAAGCGTCCATTTGATTTTCAGTTTCATCTGTGACATTGGTGTTATTACAGAGGTCATGCTTTACATCACCAGTGCTGTGACTTCAGTTTCCTCGTGGTTTTAAAGGTTGTCTTCATCCTAATGCTTTATAACATCTACCACATCATGCAGCACATATATCGATACCTTTATAAGTGATGCTTACATGCATATTTAACTTATATTAACTTTATTTTGCTATTTGTTTTAAGATTAGGACATGAATTCACTTTTCAGTAAATATTGTCCAAGTAGAAGTATCCAGACATCAGATGGATGTGTGAATCCCAGGAGAATATTCTAGATTGGAAAGAGACGTTTAGAAATCATTGGCACACAGATAGTAATTGCGACATGGAAAGAATGAGATACAGTAGGGACCACTTGTAAAGCAAAAGAAAAGACAGTTCAGGCCATAGTTCTGAAGAGCATCAGTGGTGGAGGGAGCCAGAAGGAGAGTGTAGCTAGGCAGACAGGGAGATAGGGGACCTAGGGACATGAAGATCCATCTGCTACAGTGATACAGAGCTTAGAGAATGATCTAGGAAATAATTCAGAGAAGGAGCTAGGTGTGGGGATTGGAGCCCCAAAGGGCAAATGTGGGAGGAAGTTAAGAATGAAAATTAGTGTTACAGTGGCAAAGGGATGCTTGAGGCTTAGTACCAACAAAGTAAGCAGGAAATGAAACAAGATGGTCAGTCCCTGTCATCTCCCATCCTATCATAACAGTCAATGCCAACTTCCTGGTCCTGGGCAGTGGCTGGGAAGCAAGGCTTGTACCTGCAGCACAGACTTCCTCCTGCCTCTTCTCTAACTCCACACTCCATCTCAAGGTTTCTTGTGAACACTAGCTTCTCTAGGAGGCCTTGATGTGATGGAAAGACCACAGACCATGAAGCCAGACAGACTCTGGATTTGAATCCAGATCTTCATTTACTTTCTTTGTTACTTCTTAAAATTATGTGTGTCTTGCCAGGCGGTGGTGGCGTACGCCTTTAATCCCAGCACTCGGGAGGCAGAGGCAGGCGGATCTTTGTGAGTTCGAGGCCAGCCTGGTCTACAGAGCGAGATCCAGGAAAGGCGCAAAGCTATACAGAGAAACCCTGTCTCGAAAAACCAAAAAAAAAAAAAATTATGTGTGTCTGAATGTGTGTAAGAGTGTGTGAGTGTGTGTGTGTGTGAGTGTATGAGTGAGAGTGTGTGTGAATGTGTGTGTGAGTGAATGTGTGAGCTTGTGTGTGAGTGAGTGTGTGGAAGTATATGTGTATGTATGAGTGAGTGTAGGTGCGAATGTGTGTGAGTGAGAGTGTATGTGTGAGTGTGTGTAAGTGTATGTGTAAGTATGTGTGTATGTGTGAATGAGTGTATGTGTGAATGTGTGTGAGTGAGAATGTATGTCAGTGTGTGAGTAAAAGTGTGTGTGAATGTGTGTGTGTATGTGTGAGTGTGTATGTGTGTGTGTGTCTGCGCGCGCGTGTGCGTGTGTGCGTGCGTGCGTGCATGTATGAATGTGTGTGTGCATGTGGGCCAGAGCAGGCTACATTGCTCTCTGCCTCATTGCCCTGAGACAGTCTTCCAGTGAGCTGGAAGCTCACCATTTCAGTTAGGTTGACTGCCTAGAAGCTCTTGGGATGTGCCTGACTCCTCCTGCCAGCTAGAACTTCAGGAGGGCAGAGCCATGCCTGGCTTTTGCCTTGGATGTTGGAGATTCGAACTGAAGTCCTCATACTAGCAATCTCTGAGCCCCTTAGCTCCTGAGACATCTCCCCAGCCCCTCCTTGCTGTGTGACCTTTCTAGACCTTAACTTCTTTCCTTCCCTTGAGGAAGAACCTGGTACCCTCGGTCTCCCAGTCTGATGGAGTGTGTAGAGAGCTCTGTGTGTGAAGAATAGAGTGACGTGCAGGACACATCGGAGGCTCTGAACTCCAGCAACTGGAGGATGCTACCTCCCTGCCCCTTCCTGAGCTTTGGAGGCTCTTGCTCTGTGATGGGCTTTCTACTTGGGTCTCTTACAGCTAACACATGCGTTTGCTTTACTCAACAGTACGTCCTTGCGGAGGTCAGCCAGGGTGCCTGGCTCTTCTTGTTGTTTACTACGAAGACTATCAAACCATCAGTGTTCAGGAGCATTTATACAACTGATGACAAAAAGCCCATTAGTAGGAAAACGTCCATTCATGTAAAACACCCTTGATTTTGTCTAAGGTGAAAAGTGAAAGTCTTTTGCCCCTGAAACATCCATTTCCCTTTATTTCTCTTAAAAACAAAAACAACAACAACAACAAAAACCCACTTAGGCTGACTAATCTTCCTCAGAGTGCAGACTCATTGAATGTACAATCAAAGCCAGCAGCTTTCCAGGAAGGCGTTAATCCTGTCCCCAGTATAAATGTTAATGAGGATTTCACTCTAGAGTGAATTGTTAATCTTTATCATCAAAGGTGGATCTGGCCAGGCGCAGACTGCAGTGCCCGGGAAGGGTAATGGGTGAGTTTTGTTCTTCCCACACCGAGTGCATAAATAATTGGTCCCGTGGGAGCTGTGTTTGCCCGGTCTGCTGTGGGTACGTCTGTAGCGCTCGTTCGGACTGTCTCATTCTCCCTTCACTGTGCTTGTGCCTGATTCAGTCTCTGCTTTCCTTTCCCCCTTCCTGTGATCTCCATCGGATGAATTTAGAAGATAAAGAGAGCAAGCAGTGCGGAGAACAGGCGTGGCTTCTTGCAGAGCAAATGCACTCTCAAGCGGTGTGAGCGGACAATGGCCAAAGAGACCCCGGGCCTGACCTACACAATAGGCAGCCATTAGACTGTTTTCTAAAATCCCCAGAACAAGCAGCTTTTCCTGAGGGACTTTTTCCTGTCCAGGTGATTGACAGGCCTGTTTGGATCTTTGTTTAGAGGAGGAAGCAATGGTGTGTCTTTGTTCTTTACCAGAAAGCCTCCCGCAATAGAGTAACCCTGTAACGGTTCAGGACGCCTTCAGCCAGGTTTGGAAGTTCTCCATTCATGGCCCTCCAGGCAAGGCAGCTCAGGTGTCAGGCTCCTTCCAGGGTCAAAGATGTGTCCTTTTTCTATAGCCAGTAATTAAAGTCTGTTTTAGTTCTTGGTTTAAAGTTGTAAACTGCGAGGGAGGGTCCAGTCCCTGTGTCTTCCAAGCCTGCTTATATCTAACCTGTAACTTAACAACCGAGATGGGCGTGTTTTGGCGGACATTGACTCCCCCACCACAGGTCTTCTCACTTACACACTGTGTTTAGAGACCCTGTCATAAGGACTCACAGACACAAGGAATTATTAAAGTGTGCAGCAGGACTGCCTTTTCAGAGTTATGAGACCTGATAGATTTAAGTTTTGGTGTTTGTTCCGAATAACATAGAATTTTAGCAAAGGGCGTGAGAGTGGTAAATAGAGACCCAGGTCTGTAGGACTGTCCAGAAATTCTAAATTCTCCTTTATTTTATGTGTGTGTGTGTGTGTGTGTGTGTGTGTGTGTGTGTGTGTGACATCTGTGCTCATGTGTGGTGTATACATACAAAAGAGTATATGAGCACTCATGGAAGCCAGAGGACACCAGGTGTCCCACTCTCTGCCATATTATGGCAGTGAGCTGAACCTGTTAGGCTGGTGGCTGTGACACACACAGATCTTCACTGACAGTGTTAGGTGGGTTCCCTACTGTTGACGTGATGTCCTGTGTGCCACTCCTGGCCCCTCAGATGCTCTTGTCTTTGGTTTATGTCACTGAGTTTCTTCTCTCCAGTATTGTCCTTGATGGATGGTCTCATTCATTCAAGGCTTCAGTGGCCATCTGGAAGTTGATCAGCCTCCAGTGTTCTCGAATTGCCTGAGGCAGCCAGCCATTTGCCTATCCTGGGAAAATGACAAAATTGATGTAATGAGCACACTATCTTACCTTTCTGCTTTCCCGCTATATAGTGTTCCTGGCCTTTTCTGCTTTGCTGGCAGGCTACCTGTTTTATGTATGTTTAATGTCTACTATAGAAATGCCTAGTGGTCCACATACATGAGTGATTGGCTTCCCTAGTTTCTTCTGTATTTAAATTAAAAGTCACATGGACTATAGGGCCCAGAGAGGGTTTGTACAGCAACTTAAAACATTGATCCTTTTAGAAAATGGCTGAACTTCCTGCTACTCTTAGCAGCTTCTACACATGCCACGAGACGTTTGTGAAAGGAATTGATGGAAAACTGACACTTCGAATCCAGAAATCAGTTGGGAAGTAAGAAAATAATATGGTGTTTTTGTATTTCAGGTTTCTGGCTTAAATCACGTTTCTAAAAGACAGCAGATGGATCCGCTGCCTAGAATGAAAGACAGTCTGGTGAAAACGTACGTCTAGGTAGACCTCCCCTTGCTAGCGAATTATACTCGCTCGCGAAAGGCACTCACGCAACAGGTGTCCTTTATATTTTGGAAGCTGGGGTTCTGGACGGTATAGCAATGTATAAAAATGCACATGGTAAGAGACTCCAGAGAAGCTCACACTCCAGATTTGAGATTTGAGCTCCCAGAAGCACTATTAGTCTCCAAACTAGGTGACATGTTAAACGAGAGCAGCATAGAACCCACGGGAGAGTTAAAACTTCACCACTAACATGTTACAGACAAAACTGCTGTCTGCCTTGACCTTTTCAGAGGGCAAACATATGTGTTGCTATGGACACAGTACAGTTTAAACTACACATCCCATGTAAACGAAGCCACTTTATGATGAAGAACAAAGGAACTTTGAGGTATTTCCGAGGCTGTATATGCTTCTGAACTTTCCAGGTCCTGTAGAAAACATGGAACCACCAGATGCTTGTCTTACAACCTTATCTCCGTGTGGGGGAGCATATTGATATAGAACACTGAAAAATTAACCCAAGATGTGAGTGAGTTACAAATCAATCCTGTCCAGCCACGGCTTAAGACAAGGGGAACTCAAGGGATACGTAACATGATGGGTTTCTTTGGTAAAGATTAATGATGTAGTCATTTTTGCCCAATTCTCAGCTAGATGGGTTGAAGTACATTTTTCATTAACAATCATTACTTATTTAAATTACAATTAATTTTCTTTACACATTTTCATCATGGAATCATAGTGTACCTTAAATATTAAAATTTGACAAAGGACCTCCATGGAAAAAGAATCAAACCACTATGTCTGAGATTCCCAAGACCATCTTGGTGGTAAAGGATTCCGTGGTAGATTCCAGAACTCAGGACGTATTTGTACTTGAGCTAGGATGTGTCAGAGAGAAAAGACACGATTGAAATCCACAAGGGAAAAGACTCCGAGAGTAAAGACTGAGAACTAGGCGCCAAGCTGTGACATTCTGTCTAAACAGAACCCCACTGACTCACTTAGTCCCTCCAAGAGGGAGCTACCGTGGCAAGTTGACAACGCACAAGGCTTTTATTTCCTGGAGAGGCTCACTGGCTGCACAGCATCCAAGGTTTCTGTTGGCCAGCGTCACTCATCTACCTAACTCCTACTGACATTCCAGACTCCAAGGAGATAAGCAGGTGTGGTCAACAGTGTAGGTGTTGGGGGCATTATTCCACCGAGGGCAAGGCTTTCCTAGGAGAGAGGACTGCTGCCACTAGGTGCCTCATGGGCAAGCTTTTCTGAGGACAGTAATTCCCAGCTGCTGCCTCAGCTGTTCTCTGCACAGCCACCGTACATAACTACCTGTTATTTTTATCTTTACACTAATCCAAATCTCTTTTTAACATATACTACTACTACTCTGAAATTTTCTTTGGTACTGAAGAGGTACTTGGAAAATTAAACTAAGCCTTATTCTCACTACATTGGTGTGCATATCCATAAACATCCCCAGATATTGTCTCTGAGGACAGTTTGGATTTTCAGTGAATACTCCTGAGGCTGGCTATGTCAGAGAGAAAACTCTGAAATCACGTCATACTGAGTCTGAAGTCATATGCTACTGAAGCCATCATACTGAGGGGCCTGCTTCCTGACAGATCTCAGATCTCTACAGGTTTGACTGAAGGATGCCCAAGGAGATCACCAAGGTGCCCATCCCCACCTGTTCCTCTGTGGAGCCGTGGTTGTACATCATGCCTATATCTGCTTGTTTGGGCCTCTGAGCCACAGGTCTGAGCTAAGCCTGAGCTGCTGAGACAGGAGGTGGATGCCTTGGGCTGGGAACTCTCACTCATTCAGTTACCTCACAACCTTCTGAGCTGCTCATTCCCACCCAGATCCATTCTGTCTGTGATGAATCCGAATGGTGGAGAGATTATCCACTGTAGACTGCTGCTTAGTAATCTTTGAACATATTACTGAGCTGATGAGTGGTCAAGCAGCTGGACCATTAAGGCCTTTGCTGTCTGAAACGATCAGCAACCTTGGCCCTCACCCAACAGGAACTTCTCTATCTTCCCGAGTAGATATTTGAATACATGTATGTAGTCAAGACTGCCTTAAAATATTGTCTCCGAGTTACTGACCTGACCATGGAATGTGATAGCCTTCTTTTTGTTCATTACTCAAATTTGAGTCATATAATTAACGCTGGGGCTAAGCACCTCACAGCAGAGTTGACCCCAAGTGGCCTGTGAATTTAGGAGGAGGTGTCCACACCATCTCTCACCTACAGAGGACAGGGGTGACTGTGAGGTGGGAACTGCTGGAGTGTAGATTTAGATGGCTGCTTGGGAATGGTGTTTAATATCCACTTCTATAGCTGTCCATATACCTAGTCTGTCTGTCAACAATTCCACTTCCAAACACAATGGTGCATTTACACCATAAGACCTGTACATGGATGTCATAGCAGCTTTATCCATGATAGTCAAAGGTGGAAAAATCCTAAGATGTTCATCAATAGGGAATGGATTTTTTTTATGTCTATGCATATATACTATAGAAGTAATAGCAATAAAATACCATTTATACAACATTTGGATAATTCTCATAGTCTTCTGTAAAGGAACATGTAGATGTGCTTCCATTCACATAAAGTTCAAAGAGGTAGAAGTAAGCTGGTGTAGGAACACAGGATGGTCTTTACAAATGGGGCTGAGAATTAGGAAGTCCAGGAGGACCTTTGAGTAGGATGACAGTGTTTCATCTATAAGCTTGGGGAGCAGTTGTTGGAATGTGAAGTTCAGATACTTCCTGGGTCTTTGAGCTTACAGTTTGCATACTTTTGTACATGTCATGCTTTGGATGATATTTTAAACTCAAGTGCTACTGCCTTTACGTTTGCTCTGGTTAACCTTCTCTTATGTGCTCGTCAACTTGCGTCTGTAACACAGAGGTTGAGGTAATTCACTTAATTTTTTAAAGGTTAACTTAGCCTTAGTTTGAAAGGTTCTGGTCTCGGATTGGTTGCTCTCACTGTGCTGTGCCTGCGTCTGGCAGCACACTAATGGTTGGTGGTGCAAGGTGGACCACAAGGCAGAGAGGAAGGGGCTGGCTCCCCCTGCTGCCTTCAAAGTTACGTTCCCAGTGACCGCAAGACTTCCCACCAGACCCAGACTCCTACAGATCCCACAGCGTCCCTCCCACTAGTACTGCCAGGGCTCATGTTTAACTCACTGACCTTTGGTCACAGGCAACATCTGTATTAGCAGTACCAATGTTCAAACACTGGCTTATGATACTGCTTGACACTCAGAATAAATCAGAGTGCCAAAAGAGACCCAGTTAAGAGAAATTCTATTTAAAACATCAATCAAAAAGTGACTCTGCCCAGTTGAATATCACCAATTACATTCCGACTTTGTGAAATTGTGGCTGTAAATGAAGAAGATGTTTCCATCTTGCTGAAAGATCTATGTCAAAGATCCTTGCACATACTGTTTATAAAGGATTGCTAACATGGTTAAGGGAAATACTCTTTAGAAATAGGTTTGGAAGTTACTCCCAAAATTCTACAAAGCTGGTAGGTAGCTTTGGACTGTAGGCCAAGGAATATATCAACTGTGAAAACCGGATTTGGCCAATAAGGAACCCAAATGATGGGCACCAGAGCAACAACTCAGCCAAGAACCAGCTGTGACGTTTCTTTTTCTGTGTGATGCAGCCTCCTCTTCGCTTTGCTGATGAAAGTTTTATATAGTGATCAAAGGCCCTCAAGGAAGACAGAGCAGTCCTCCACTCTCCAGAATAAGAGCATCTGTGGGACATTAATTGTGGCTCATTGAAGGACAGATTGTTTGGGGGACTTATTTTTAAGACAAGAAGCAGATATAGGAAAGACATATAGCCAACATCTTCAACCTTGAGACAATAACTCAACAAACTGTGACAGCATTAAGAAGTTCTAATGGATTCTAGAAGATTCTGGAATGCAGATTCTAGAATATAGAACTGATGTAGAATATTTATAAGAGTAAATAAAAGTATAGTGTAAAATAATTTGCTAGGGTTATGAATGATTTGTATTTATTCATTTTTAGTATTTTCTATGAATTGTGCAGTTTTGTATCATCTTAATGAGAGTAAAAATCCCATGATAAGCTAGCTTGTGGAAGTATCCAAGTCAAAATAACAGTATATTCAGTATTATTCTTTTAATAAAGCAAGAAACATGATGGTTAGTGAAATTTTGCACTGACTGGCTTTGGAGCAGACAGAAAATCAATTTTCCTTTACCACTTACACAATGTGGCTTTATAAGAGTAGTTAGTAACTTTCAGACTCAGTTTACCTCCTTGTAAAATGAGGGTAAAACCTATCTATACTGGATAGTTGATAGGAGAATTAGAAGATTTTGAAAAACTCTTAACTTGATAAATATTCTCAAATTTCATTCCTTTCCAGTGTGTAGTACATTAGTAACTACAAAGCACAAGCAGAATAAGAAAGCATCCGTTTGTAAAGAGAGAAAAATAAGTATAAACAACAATTTGAGCATGCAGACAACAACCACATAACACGGTCATGCTAGAATCAGTTATATGGTACCCACATATAAAATGGTTTCTAAACCTTATTGAGCACAGCTGAACACCATTGTAACCTGTTAATCCCACCTATATTTGCATATGACTGAAGCAGTCTGCAGTCACACACAGCAAAGCTGAGTGGTTTTTAGTGTATTCTCAAGGTTGAGTAACCATTGCCACTGATTCTAGAACGCTCTCCCGCAACAACTCCCAAAGAAGTGTCATACCTATTAGTAGTCAGTTCTCACCCTCTAGCTCTTGGGGGTCACTAATCTTTCTATTCCTGTGGGGGTTTCCTATTATTATGTCACATGAGAGTGTACAAGGTGTGGCTCAATGGTCCAGCTTTTGTTCTCAAGATAATCCATGTTCAGCACAGCCAGATTTATCATGGTGATTAGCTAGCATCCCAGATTTTTATAGATCATTGGTTATCCAATCTTCAGTTGATGTGGGTTTGACTTATCTATACATTTGTGATAATGTGAATAATATTGCCATGGATACTCCTGACAGAGTTTTATATGTGCTCTTTATTTATTTGAATACAAAGTAACAGGCTTCCTTGTGGCATTTTCACATATACTTAGGTTTGAGTGGTCCCTCCGGCCCCATCCATTCCTCTCTCTGCACCTGCTGTTGTAGTCTTCTAACCTCAGGATGCCCCTTTCCACTTTCCTACCCTCCCACTCTTCTCCCTTAAAACCACTCCCCCTGAAGGGCCTCTGCTTGGTTTCTTGGCATCCACACTATTTCTAGATAAACACACATAAAAATTAGAAGCTGAGATCCGTACATGAGAAGGAGCACGTGGCACTTGTCTTCTAGTCCTGCGTTACCTTGTTTAATATATTTCCATGTCATCTAAGTTTCATTTTCATGGATGATTACATTTTCATTGTGTCTATGTACCACATTTCCACCACTCATCTGTTGATGGGCTTCTAGTCTGACTCTGTTTCCTTGCTGTTGTGAACAGGGCAACAGTGAACAGGGGTATGCACATATCTCTGTGATCCGGTTAGAGTCCTTTGGTTATGTATCAGAAGCAGCACAGCAGATGGGGGTGGTAATTCTACTTTTAGTCTTTAGAGAAACAACCACACCATTCTCCAAAGTGGCTGTACCACTTGATACCTCTACCAACGAGGACTAGGGTTCGCCTTTCCCCACATCCCCATCAACGAATGTTGCCATTAGTTTTTCTGCTGAAAGCCATGGGATGAGATGGAATCTCAAAGTCATTTTGTTCATATTTCTCTGATGGATAAGGATGTTGGCTACCTTTTCAAATTTTTATGCACCATTTTTCTTCTTTTGAGAACCACCTGTTCAGTTCACTGGCCCATTTCTTGACTGGCCGTTTTGGGGCTCGGGAGGTTAATATTTGCATTCCTTTGCATATTCCAGCTGTTAATGCCCTGTCTGAAATGTAGCTGGCCAGGGCTTTCTCTCTTCTGTGGTTCTTCTCTCCTCTGGTTGTCTCCTTGCTGTGCAGAAGCCTTTCAATTCCCTTGAAATTCACTGCTGGGTTGCTCTGCAGAAAATTAGCGCTGATTGTTGTATCTTGAAGTGTTGCCCCCCTCTACCCCCTTGGTGTTGATTTTTAAGTATGTTTCAGCATCTCATGATTTAAACTGAGTTTTTACTGACAGCTTTGTTTTCCCTCTTTCATTCGAGGTTTATTTATGGTGTCTGTATTTGTGGTTATCTTTTCTGTTTCATCAAAACTGGTCATTTTATATAGTATCAGGTACCTAGTCTGAATCTCAGAGTCTCTCTCTTCCCCAGGGCTGAAGGCTGCTGTTATGGGGTGACTTTCTAAACTTCATTCTGTGAAGCTGGTGCTCTTTCTCATGAGTGGTCACTTCATGCTCTGCTGGGTTAGCTAAGTGGTTACCTTAGGATTAACATAAAAATTTAAAGCGCCGCGAATCAATAGCGCTCTTCCTTCCCGGGGGACTCAGCATATGTGTTTGGACCGGCTCGCCATACTCAGCCAGGAAAACCACTGCTCTGCCTTTGCCTTCACTTCTGCATTTGCAGCACCACAAATTTAGCCAGCGGTGAGAGCTTGGTCCTTGTCAAGTCTTTCCCAAGAACACACACGAGTCTAGGTACATGAGTATGGTGTTCCAGATCCCAAGACATGTGCTGGAGTTTATTAGTACCCACCCCAGCCTTTGAACTTTCCTGGTTAGCTTAGTTTTAAATAGCAGTAGCCATGAAATTAAATGATGGCTTCAATTTGTTCCAGCAAATTCTCCAAGAGAAGTGTTCATGCTGGACCGTGCTGTGGGATGGTCTGTATGTCAAGTGTGTTGCTGATTGGTCAATAAATAAATCACTGATTGGCCAGTGGCCAGGCAGGAAGTATAGGCGGGACAAGGAGGAGAATAAAGCTGGGAAGTGGAAGGCTGAGGCAGAGAGACACTGCCAGCCGCCACAATGACAAACAGCATGTGAAGAAGCCGGTAAGCCACGAGCCACGTGGCAAGGTATAGATTAATAGAAATGGATTAATTTAAGCTGTAAGAACAGTTAGCAAGAAGCCTACCACAGCCATACAATTTGTAACCAATATAAGTCTCTGTGTTTACTTGGTCGGGTCTGAGCGTCTGTGGGACTGGCAGGTGAGAGAGATTTGGCCTGACTGTGGGCCAGCAGGAAAACTCTAGCTACAGGACCGCGTCCAGAGAAGGGCAAAGAAGAAGAGCTTTGCAGTCAGGGGTTGGCATCTCCTGTACTATGGGTTGGCTCCTGGGTTTACCATAGCTGTGGGCTGTTGGTTTTCTTGGAGGTAAGGGGCAGGCGTGGGGCCAGGGGAAATTAAATTCTGCACAACTCAGTGTTCTCACTGAGTCCCCAATTTACTTTGTTTTGTAAATTCTTGAGATTTGCCATGAATGTTTGATGTCTAGACTTTCAAGGCACTTGCTTTGAGCCATTTTTGCCAACTTCTCTTTACTTTTATGGGGGTGAGAAAAGTTTCCTTGCTTCAAAGGAAAACGACAGGTCTTTACTTGGTTGTTTTTGATGAGACCACTCTCTAAGATATATCTGAAAAGTGCCGGAGCTGGAGCAGCATCTGCTGTCTCGAAGAACACAAAAGTGTCGCCTTCACAAAGCTGCATAGGTCAGTCAGAGAAGATTCCATGGGATCGAAGAACAGAAATCCGAGTACTGGTATTGGTTTGTTGTCCCTATTCTATTTCTTGATCAGAGAAGATTCCATGGGATCCAAGAACAGAAATCCGAGTATTGGTATTGGTTTGTTGTCCCTATTCTATTTCTTGGCCTCTCCGTGTTCTCACCTTTAATTCAAATTGAAAGGTAAGTAGCAGATTGGTTCCCCTCCCCTTTCTCCAGACAGGGTCCTCTACGGTGGATACCTGATGAGCCGCTTCTGGAGTCTCACCCTTTGAGCGCCTACATTTGCAGTGGTTGCCCCACACTGCGTGAGATGATGACACATGGCTGCCTAAGGCTGTAGGCAGAACATGTCAATGAAGACTTCCCTACCCCAGCCCGGAGGAGACGGGTCAGCTACGTGTGGCATATACTGTTTGTTGTTGTTGTTGTTGCAGACAGTGGTGACAGAAAAATTATGATCAATGCTTATTTTATTTCAGTGGCAGATACAATCCCGTTAATCAGAAGATGGCGCATGCCAAGAAAGGACCAGTGAAAAAGATTTCAAGATCAAACCATCTTCCCAAACTCAACCCGTGATTCCAGAGCTGGGCAGACTTCTATTTTTCCATCTTTTCTTCATCCAGAATCTTCAGTTTAGGTTGATGTTCGACACGTTTCGCAGGGGCAAGAAATAGATAAGGAAGAGCAGCTTCTCTGGCTCTTTCAAAAATCGATTCGTCTGTCTGCTTAAAAGTCACGTGTCTCCGGTGACTCTAAATGTCCAATCCCTGTGCTTGTGGTTCCTAGCGTGTCCTAGGAGGGAGCCCGAAGGCTGACATCGTCCCGATACTCTAAGTAGGGTGTTTCTGGTCTGCCCTCATTGCACTGCTAACAGTGTGTTTGGTTTCTAAGTTGGCCATTAGCTAAAATCTTACATAGGAAAAAACCCTTTTTGCGATTTTAGGTTGCATCATGCTCACTCAGCTCAGCTTGTTAAAATCAAGGTTTCCAAACAGTCACAGATCACATGCACATGAAAGTCTGACTGAGATGCTGCCAATAACTTCAGCCACGCACTGTGTTGTTCTCAGGCCCCACTCTGCTGGTAACCTCGAGCATTTGGGGCAAATTTTATCACCTCATGTAAATTTTCCCACATCTATAAAATGACTATGTTATATTGTATAGTTTACAAGATTTCTTGCCATTCTAGAAAGCTTATTCAGTCACAGGGGCCTGCCACTGAATATGTGGCATTAAAGTTGTCTTGTGATGTTTATTAACTCACAACAGTAGTCTAGTTCTTTGAATCAAAATTTTCAAGAGTCTGGAATACTGGAGACTAGCAGTAACTAGAACAAGAATAAGAGAAGAGTCATCTATTTTAAGACCCACAAACTTCAATGAATTCTGTTCATGGTTAGGAAGTTTTGTGACTTCGATGGTTTTTGTAACTGTAATCTAGGCCAGGAAAATTCATATAACTTACTTGCCCATTTTAATAAGATAAATTATTGGAATTTAAATTTCCTAAGCCAGGTGGTGGTGGCGCATGCCTTTAATCCCAGCACTTGGGAGGCAGAGCCAGGTAGATCTCTATGAGTTCGAGGCCAGCCTGGTCTACAGAGCGAGTTCCAGGACAGGCACCAAAACTACACAGAGAAACCCTGCCTTAAAAAAAACCAAAAAAAAAAAATTTCCTGTGAATATTTTAAAAAGTGATGCTTTGACCTGTATCTGATAAGAGGTATCATTTGCTTCTTTCTATATGTTATGTGTCTCTTACAACTGAAGGACTTCTGTCTGTGCATGTATGTATAGATGTATGTGTAACATGTGCAGATGATTGGATTGCTGCTGTGCTCATGAACTCACAGCATCTGTGACTGCCTGCACAAAACCTGCACAAGATCAAGCCAGCCGACATTCCAGCTCCAATGGAGAAGGGGCCCGTGGGCCCCACCCCAGCTGAGGAACTGGTGAAGGTGGGAGCTGCCAGGGAAGGGAGAGTCTGTTTCTTCTAAGGGCGTGGTCCCTGGTAGGCTCACAATTCTCCAGGAGACGGCCCCACATCCATGCATTTATGGGCAGCACTAACTAGCTTCAATGGAATATATACATATATTATTAATTACATATTAATTAGATTAATTATAAATTAATTAGATATTTATTACATGTGTGTATGTGTATATATATATGTATAAATGTTTATGTGTATGTATATATATATTTAAAGGTATGCAGTTGGGAGGGGGTTATTGGGAGATCTGGGAGGAAGTGGGGTGTGTATGATATAAATACATTGTATGCATGTATGGAATTTTCAAAGAATAAACTGTATTAATAAAATGGAATATAGGCATAATAGTGACTTTAATGTACTTATTTTCTCTTCCTTTATTCTCTTATTTCTAAGTTTGTTTCTAGGGACCAATTTTTCTCCTGGCTTTGGGTATCATTTTCTGCTGCTTATATCTATATAATTTTTATTGGACTGGGCATTAGTAATTTCACACTGTGGATTATGATGTTTCTATGAACATTTAAATTGCTTACAGTTCTGCTTAATCTTTCAGACTTCCGTTGGAGTGAGCAAATTTCCCCATGAGCTAGGTTCCTAAGACTAGCTAGCCTGAGGCCCTAGTAAAGATACCCTGAGTGACACACAATGACACTTAGCCCTGCCTGGCCCCAGCTTGGATGCCCAGAGGCTTGTAGGCATTCTGCTCCACTGCTTTGCGATCTGTGCCCTGGTGTCCAGGGGGTGGCGGGGGGGGGGGGGTGGGTGGGAGGGGGTGGGGGATAATAACTTGTGCAGATTTGGGGTTCTGTTCTTGCACAAGTCTTTGTGTTCTGAACATCAGCCTCCTCCAGCTCCTGCCTCAATTGTGGGAAGTGGCCCTCAGCCCGCAGCATGGGACCTTCTCTGGGGACTGTGCTGTGCTGTGGGGGAGGAAGTAGGTGGCAGCAGAGCTTACTTCACTTCTCAAGGATCACACTCTTGTTTCTGCAAACAACTGTTTCATCTGTTTTCATCTGCTCCCTGTTTAGTCACAGTGAATGGATAAATTTGGCTCCGTCACTCCTCCAAAGCAGAATTAAAGAACTCACCCACTCGATACTAAAATACTTTTTAAAGCCAAGAAAATGTATTAAGATCCAACATAAAAATCTGTTTTTGTTTTTCAATCATTATATTTCTTTGGGTTAGCACCTGGATAAAATGGGGCGTCTGGCTTTGTCTTGTCCTCCTTGCCAAGGAAGTGAGTCCTGTTTCTGAAGAGGAAAAGAGTATTTGGGGATCAAACTGCAGGGCTGCAGCCCAGATTGCTTTACTCCATGAAACACACATGAAGATCATGTCTCTCAGGTGGGAAGCATTGTTTACCAGTGGGTAGTTCATATATACCGGGTTGATGTATGTGTTGGAAACACTGTTCAGGAGCATGCAGCTGTGTTTAGTGACAGAGGTGAGGAATTGTGTGTGACCCTCTATCAAGCAGATGTACCCTTTTGGGTCTTCTTTCCGGTGGCCATTGTGGGTTTCTTTTGTCTTTGAGGCAGGGTCTTGTTATACAGCTTCGGGGAGTGGCTGATCTTGGTTGTCAACAGGACACATCTAGAAAGAGGGCACCACAGTTGAACAGACTCCATCAGATCAGTCTGTGGGAGTGTCTGCAGGGCATTTTCTGGCTAGCTAATTTATGGAAGCGGGCCTAGTCCACCATGGACACGGCCACTCCTGGGCAGGTGGTCCTGGATTGTAAACAGGGTAACTGAGTCAGCCAACAGGCCACATTCTTCCATGGTCTCTTCTTCCATGGTCTCAGCTTCAAGCTCTAGCCCCGTCCTCACTCAGAGATGGCCTGTGAAATGGAAATGTAAACCAACTAAACCCTTTCCTCTCCTAAACTGCTTTCTGGAAGTGTTGCATCAGAGCAACAGAAAAGTAAGCTAGAACTGCTAGGCTGGAAACTGTCATCCTCCTGCCTCAGCCTCTCAAGTGTTGACGCTATAGACATGTATCACCATGTACAGCTAGACTAATAATCTAAGCATAAAACATGTATGTCACGTCTAGGACTGGCTCACAAAAACATTCAAGACCCTTCTCCTTGGTTGTGCCTCCTCCCCATCCTCATCTCCTTTTATGCTCTTTGGATGTATTAGAAACACAGCTGTTTTTTTGTTTGTTTTTTGTTTGTTTATTTTGTCCGAGACAGGGTTTTTCTGTGTAGCTTTGTGCCTTTCCTGGAACTCACTCTGTAGCCCAGGCTGGCCTTGAACTCACAGACATCCACCTGTCACTGCCTCTCGAGTGCTGCGATTAAAGGCATGCACCACCACCGCTCAGTCACAGTCGTGGTTTTAATGGGCTTATGCTCTATTTCCTTTATCTAGTCTGTTTCTGTGACTGATTTTTCTCCTGGTCTCTGATCTCGTTTTCTGCCCACCATATAATTTTTATTGGATCTCTGCATTAGTGTAATTTTACATTGTTGTTGAGCATTTTTTGAGCTTCATTCTTGTAAGCATTTAAATTACATTTTTTTAATATGAATGCTGGGGACCAACCCAGGTCCTCAGTCAGGCAAGCGCCTTACTGACTAAGCCATCTCCCCAGCCCCCTGCTACTTTACAGAGAGAATTACACTATCCCCAAAAATATGAAGTTGTACTACAGTGATTTAAAAAGGGGGTCTAAAGGCACCTCATGACACCCATGTTCATTCAGAGAATAAGCCCTGGAAGCTGTGTACCCCCAAAGGATGGCATAACCCTCGGCACCCACTTCAAATGTGAGCTGGAAGACTGGGAAAGAAGAAACAAATACAGCCTTTCCTCCCCGAGTTGCTTCTGCTCTGTGTTATATATCACAGCAACAGAAAGTCAAATTAAATACCTAGGCTAGCCTTAAACAGGCCATCCTGCTTCAGCTTCTGAAATGCTGGCACTACACATTCCAAAGAAGCAAATCTCAAAGCCCCGATGTTCAGTAGCCCCATAACATGGAAGACTCTCGGGTCCCCGAATCATTGAATATAGGAGATCCTTTCTGCTCACCCCGCTAATCCTCATTTGGTTGTTATGTGAATAAAGCGTCTATCCTTGTATGTGTCCTGTGTTTGTCCACCAATATTTGACTTTTACTTACTAAAGCAATTAACCTATTCACATTGTACCAAGCGATATTTCTAATAAATCTTAGAGGTATTGGGTATTTCAGCAGCTAAGAGTATCCACTAAAATCTTCACAATCACACAGATAAATTGAATCCAACTCTACTTTCAAGTCTCCTGACCATAACTAGAATGATGTTTTTTTTTTTAACTAGACAGAATCTCTTTGCACTTCCATTAATACTTGCATAGAACGCTGCTCTCTGAATCCTTGCTACAAATGCTTTATAATTTGGTGGTCCAATGCTAGCTGGGTCCCAACAGCTGTGTAATATACAGTCCATGTCTGAATGGGAAATATGTCCAGAACAACTTCACTTGGGATAGGAATACACAGCTTCACTGGTCCATGATCTTTATGGAACCCAGTGGGTAGGCCCAGTGAAGACCACCTTCCCAGGGAATTGCTAAGCTCCCTTATTAAGTTCAGACTACTTTCTAAGAGGAACACTCCTGTCTACATTTTCTTAGCCTCTGTTTCACTCTATTTCTCTTCCCAGTCATCCTGCTCACATTTGAGGTGGGTGCCAAGGACTATGCTGCCCTTCAGGGGTGCACACCTTCCAGGGCTCAGCATCCGAACAAACGTGGATGTCCAGCGGTGACTCTAGAAATCACTTTACAAATCACTGTTTCCAGGTTTAGTTTTCAGGATAATATAATTCCATCTATATAGTAGCAGAAGGCTGAAGAAATGGCTCAGTTGGCGAAGTGCTTGCCTGACTGAGGACCCGAGTCTGATGCCTAGCATCTACATAAAAAGCTGGTATGAGGGTGTGTCTTGTGATCTCAGCACTGAGGGAGGTAGGAGGCTCCCTGGAGTTCACTGCTCAGAGAGTCTAGCCAAGTTTTGAGCTCCAGGTTAAATGAAAGACCCTGTCTCAAAAAATACGATGGAGAGTGATTGAAGACAACACACAACACCAACCTCTGGCCTCCATGCACATATATACACACATACCTATACATACACATGCACACGCATGCACACACACACACACACACACACACACACACACACACACACACACACACCACACAGTACAGTAAAGGAGGAGGAGTGAATTCTATGTATAATAGTCATAATTTCCAAGCATGATTTGTTTCTTTGGTCCGTTCCTCCTCCTTCCCCATGAAAGCCACTAAACATAGATTTTAAAAAATCTTTCTGGGAGTGAAGTTGACAGTCATGGCTGAGCTCTGCCACAGTTTGGGTCCCAGCAGCCTTTGTGGTGTTCAAAACACTTCTCAGTTTCATCTTTGCTTTGGGGACCCCAGTAGTCATTAAACTTTTCAATACTTTCACACCCTTCCCAGTCCTAAATTTCTAGGTTTTCCTTGAAAATGGGTTATTTGCACCCACACTCACTTTGCCTTTTTTTTTTTTTTTAAGACAGGGTTTCTCTGTGTAGCCTTGGTTGTCCTGGAACTCACTTTGTAGACCAGGCTGACTGTCTTTACTTTTAAAGGCAACCGATAACATCCCACACTTACTACTAATATTTTCCCCAACATCTTTTCTCAAGTCTACACATCTGTTGAGTACTTAGTGCTCTGTGAAAACAGGAGTCTTCAGGCTTCAAACCTCAGTGTCGTTCTGGTGCCCCCTCCCCTGAGATGCTGAGTTAATGCCACTTGCTTCAGGGTTCTGTTGATGCAGGAGCTAATTTCAGGTGTCAGAAGTGCCACACAAAAGGTTTTCTCTCTTATACAATGATCCCGTCTGGCTTCATCAAAAAAGAAGTAAAAATAAATAATTATAGAAAGACTTCATAACTGGAGAATGTGGTAAGGAGAGACAGCTAAGAGTTCAAATCATTGGCAGTGTCAGAATATTGATATGTACCCATATCTTTATACTATCTCTCTCTCACACACACACACACACACACACACACACACACACACACACACACACACTCACTCTTGGGAATTATGAAAGTCTCATAATAAATATGAAAAGATAATCCAGTAGACTTTTCTCTCCTGTCACTATATATTCAACTAGTCACAAAATGTCCCCTTTCCTACTCTGCGCTATCCCCAACATTCACCGACAAGAAATTTCTCCGTTTAAGATTGCTTGAATTTTTGATGACAAAAATTCCTGCTGGCTTAGGCCAGCTGTCACTGCGGCTAAAGGAAAACAGATCCCTTTGTAACTGTTTTCTCGGCGGCAGCATCGCCCCAGAGGCTCGGAGGAATCTGCTGACTCTAAGGGTTCAGTGGCATGGTTTCACTCGGGAGTGGGGGACACTCCGGATTCCCTGTGACACAGCCTGGGCCACAGTTATACTGTCACTTCCATTTAGCTCTGTCTTCTCTTACAAGGCTCTGAGGTTAGAAATGAGGTAGATTTACTAGAACCAATTCCTGCTTTTGAAAGTTAGTATATTAGTTGATGGGAAAGCTGTCAAGACCAATTACAGTCTACTGCTGGGCATAATCAGTTTTTATGTGATCTTTTCTGCTGCCTAAGGGAAATACTTCTTAACCTATTGCGGGGAGGGGGGGTATGTATTTGTTATCAACTTACTAGTTACTGGGATATGAGGCTAGTAAAACAGTCTCTGGCCTGTGATGCTAAAATAGTTGTGATCGTCAAATGGAGGCAGAAGAGAGTTCCTGCTGAGTTGCTCTAACAAAACATCACAGACCGGCTTAGGAAAAACAGAATTTTATTTCAACCAGTTCTGGAAGCTGCCAAGTCCAAAATCAGTGTGCTGGAAGATTCAGTGAACTGGGGAAGGTCTGAGTCCAGATATGTAGACGGTATCTTCTCATTGTGTGCTCACTGGGTGGAAAAGCTGAGGGACCCCCTCAGGCCGCTTTTTCATAAGGGCACTAATATAATTAACAAGGGTTCCATCCTCATGACACAATGACCTCTCATAGATCTTAATACCATCATCTCAAAATCAGAATTTCAGCAGATTAATTTTAAGGGAGACATGGATTATCTGCAGGGAATTAGGAATACCTTGCAATTTTTCTTGTTTTCCCAGATTAGCTGCAAAAGAAAGTATGAGTTGCCGCATGCTGTGCGGGAGAGCCAAGCGGGACAAAGGAGAACGCTCATGGCTAAGCATCATGAACTTAGACCACACAGCTGTTAGAACCACACTTCCGGGTTAGGAACTGAGCACACAGCAGGAAGGAGGCACACAAGCAAGAGAGCGTCTGGCCTCTCAGATTCAGGGAAAGTGACACAGGAAAATTCAGGCAGAAGTCAAAATGACTGGTAAATGAGCTGCTAGCTGGGGAGGCACAGAGGAAATGTCCAGTACAGTTCCCAAGTCAATGAACGGGCCCACAGAGGTTTGATGGCAGATGCTGTCTTCAAGAACAGTTGGGGACTTCTCTGGGCTTCTTTTGGTTCACCCATAGCACCAAAGAAATTCCTTGGCAGCATCTTGGAAGAGAGACTAATTTGGGGAGAATGACTGATTTGGCTGACTTAATTAAACCCTGAGTTTTGAAAGCCTGATGGGGGGATGAGAGTATGGGTTCTACTGTCACACCGAGGAAAAGAATGAAGTTTATAAGCAGAGAGGCTCCTGCACATTTTTAAGTTAGAAAGGACAAGATTAAAACTGTCCTTTTCCTCTCTGGATGACCTTATCCATGTGATGATAGCACCGTCACTTTGATGATAAACTCATTTTAGTTATGCGATGTTTTCCTTTCTAACAAATCTTATCTTTGTGTCTCACTACACAGCGGGTGGCATTACGAAATAGAATAGATCATAGACTCATATCTTTAAAGACACGAAAGTCCACTGGTGCCAATCAATTTGCCCTTTTCTTAAAATATATTTAATTTTATATGTATGTGTGTATGTGTGTGTGTGTGTGTGTGTGTGTGTGTGTGAGAGAGAGAGAGAGAGAGAGAGAGAGAGAGAGAGAGAGAGAGAGAATGTGCCTGTGATTGCACCAGCGTGTGTGTGTGTGTGTGTGTGTGTGTGTGTGTGTGTGTGTGTGTGTGTGCATGTAGGAATCCTGGGAAGCCAGAAGAAAGCATTAGATTCCCTGGCAATAGAGTTACAGATGGTCATGAGCTGCCATGTGGGTTCTGGGAACTAAGCATGAGTCCTCTGTAAGAACAGCCAGTGCTCTTAACGGCTAAGTCATCTTTCCAGCCCCATAATGTGTTCTTAGATTCAAATAGTGTAATGCCTGCTATGAATCAGGAATTTTTCTAGGTCTTTATTCTAGACATTGGGAGAGGACAAAAAAAAAATGTGCTATTTACATGAGGGTCAACGACGCACAGAAAATAGAGGAGGGGCTCCATTCTGATGGGAGTACCCCAGGAGGGGTCACCACAGCAGAGAACTGTCTGCAAAGTAGAAAAATCTGGACAGGAAATGAGAGGAACAAAGGACCAACAAGAAGGCATCATGACCGGAGACTGAGAGGTAGGAATAGCAAGCATCAGAAGAGAGACAGAGGACCTTGTTGGGCATGGGAGAGGACCTGGGCATTTCCACTGGAGGTTTAAGACAAGGTGTTCACATTGTTTACACTCTGACTTCTGTCTTAAGCCTTGGTTCTGGCTAGTCTTCTGTGAGCTGCCGGAAGAGACTGGAGGAGACAAGAGTTGAAGCAGAAATTTGAACACTGTTTATAATTCTACAATGGAACTTGACAGCTAATGGAGTTGTGGTAGTCATGCGTACTGCAAAGGTGGTATAAGATTGTTCTTATATTATTGTTTAATATACATATTTTTTCATATATATTACCTAATATATATGTTTATACATTTATACATGTTAGTGTCCTATGTGGGAAAGGTTTTAAGTAAAATGACTAAAATTGGTGAATTCTCTGGCTCTCAACTTTTGTGGTTATAGTCTTATGAAAACACTCTCCTCAGTCCCATTGTCTTAGAAAGGAGACAGCTTTGAAAATAAACCAGCTGATCAACAGCCTTAGACACACGGTACGTCCTAGTCACTAGGACATACCAACATAGACTTCCAAACTGTAGATTTCCAAACTGAGAAAGCTTAGTTCTTTTGTTTTGTTTTTCTTTAACACAAGAGTTCATTCAAACAAACCTTTTACTCTATATGCAATTATGAAAAATAAACAATGAGCTGGGCCTAGTGGCAGATCACAGGTTCTAGGCCAGCCTGGGCAACTTAATAAGACCCCCATCTCAAAATGAAAAGTAAATATGAGGGCTGAGGCAGAGCTCAGTAGGATAGTACTTACCTAGTGTGCACAAGGCCTTGGGTCCAATCTCCAGAACCAAGAAGGAAAGAAAAAAATATACTATAATAGTTTAGTTAGGAGAATCATGTAAAACTCACAAGCCTAGCCATCTTGTAGGATAGACTGAATTGGTAATTTTAGGTGCATTTTTAAAATTTATCAATGTAGAATTAGTGTTATAATATTTTTTTAGATTAATTTCTTTTTTTATTTGCAAATTTATTATTTTTTATTTAAAATTTTTTAATTCATTTTACATACCAACCGCAGATCCCCCTCTCATCTTCCTCCAGCTCCCCACCCCCAGCCTCTCCCCCACCTCCCATCCCCTCCTCCAAAAGGGTAAGGCCTCCCATGGGGAATCAGAAAGCTCGGTACATTCACTTGAGGCAGGACCAAGCCCCTCCCTGCTGCATCAAGGCTGCACAAGGTGTCTTGCCATAGGCAATGGGCTCCAAAAAGCCAGCTCATGAAGCAGGGGTAGATCCTGGAAGAGTAAGGAAAGAGCTATCTTGATAGAGGGAGACATCATGGGGATAGTGAGAAGCCTGGCGCAGGGAAATTCTCAGGATTCCACAAGGACGACCCCAGCTTAGACTACTAGCAATAGTGGAGAGGGTGCCTGAACTGGCCTATCTGGGTAATCAGATTGGTGAATACCTTAACTGTCCTCATAGAGCCTTCATCCAGTAACTGATGGAAGCAGATTGCCAAATGTCAAGTAGGGGAGAGGCCTATCCAACAAATCCCCTTCAGGGAGATCGCTGTAAAACAGTAGATATCTGTCCACTTAAAAATTGAGCTTTCTTTTTTAAGGTGCTAAAAATGAAAATATCTGGGTTGACTCTTCTCAATTTTAGACTTTCATATTCTAGATACAAAATAACAACAAATAACAGCAACAACAACAAAAACTACCCCCCCCCCCCATGACTTTCCCTTGTATTATCTGAAGGTCATTTTTTATTCAAACTGAGTATGTCTGTGCTGGCCACGGTGGCCTCACAGCTGCTGTTCCTCACCACTGGAATAAAGGAAAGTTGGTCACTGCTCAAGACAAACGTTCCAAGTGGCTTCAGTTGACACCATACCCCGGTGTCTGGGTATGACTTCCACCTTGCCCCTGATGAAAGAGGCCATCTGATTCACAGACAGTTACTTATTCCCAGGCCCTGGTGAGGTAGAAGGCAGTAGAGAGGTGGGATGTGGGCTTATTAAAATGCATCCATGTACAGATTTCACTCTGTGTAATCAGAGGATTGACTTCAGGCCCCCTGTAGATACTAAGATCTGTGAGTACTCAGGTCCTTTATATAAAATGCTGTTGATTTTTGCATATAAACAACATTTTAAAGTATCCTTTAAATCAGCTCTGAACTCTGGAAAACTTTAAACTTCTTTGCTGACATGATGTCACGTGACCCTCCCTTTCCATACCCAAGTGCATACGGGGAGCTGTGCCTGGTCCTTGCTTTATACACCTTTGGGTTCTGTGTATAAGGTGCTTATGAACATGATTGAACATCATGTGTAAGGGCTGAGTCTCTGTACTGTGTTGCCTAGACTGAATCCCATGTTTAGATTCAGGTTTCACATCCAAGATGCCTCATTTTCTATGTGAAAACGTTCCTGCATTTGTTAAAGGTTTCAGGCCCGAAGGCTTTAGATAAGGGACATTCACCCTGTAAAATCCAATACGGGGCAGATAGTGGCTAATATTATATTGTTCAGGGAATAAGGAAGGGGTCTGTACTTGTTTAGTAATGATGCAGTTTTCTCTCTCCTCTCTATTTGAGACAGGGTCTCTATGTAGTCCTGGCTATCCTGGAATTCACTAGATAGACCAGGCTGGCTTCAAAAGGTCTTTCTCCTTCTGCCTCCCCAGTGTTGGGATTAAAGGCTGGTGCCACCACACCTGGCCAGTTCCTCTAATAGTTTCAGCCCACAGTTGGCAGAATCATGGATGAAGGAGGCTCCCCAAGACAATTTATCATACCTCTTTTCATCCAAATAGCAGAGAGGCACAGGACTCTTTCTGTGTACTCTGATGACCTAAATCAGACCCCCAGAGCAGAATGCAACAGTAGCGCCAGGCACCCTGAGGGTTTGCTGGGAGAGACCACCTGCAGTGGTGGGTGTCACAAAGCTCCTTTGTGTTGTGTTCAAGCCAGCTGTGTCCCCCAAAAAACAGGTTTCTAAGCACTAGAAAAACCTAGACACAGTAACAAGAGGAGAAGGACCTTGTCTCAATAGCTTTCTGGAAAACGCTGAACCGGGCCATGCCAGCAGCCACCAGAAACTTCTTCACTGCCTCAGTTTCTCAGCTGAGAAAATGGGGCCAACGGGTTCAATCGCAGTACAAAAACAGGGCGATTCCCAAAGCCGTAATTACAGAAACTGCCCGAAGAGCGCTGTCCATACGCCCAGGCATCCGGCAAATACATTTTCCGGGGACAAGCGCACGCATCTGCAGGACACAAAGCCGCTGGCCCACCGCAGGCGGCACAGCACAGCCTCTGCCCATGCGTAGTGGAGCCTTGCAAGGCAGCCTGAGGCGTGAGTGGCGGGCCTGGGGTGTCCACGTCACTCTGCCCAGCGCTCCCACAGCCCCGGGCGGGCGCTGCCTGCGCCTCGCTCCGCCCCCCGCAGCGCGAGCCCGCCAAGAAGCTGCAGAGCACTGGGCGCCATGGCCGACCCGATGAGCGGTGGGAAGCTAGGCCGGAGGCCAGGGCAGGTAGGAGCTGTCGGGCGGTGGCCGTGAGCATCGCCCTAGCCTGGCCCCTCAGGCCCAGCCCGACAAGAGTGCACCCAGGAGGCTCCATCCCGGGCCCGGAGCTCGGCTCCGGTGTGGGGCTGTTACTTGAGGCCAGCAAGCCACCAGGCCAGACTTCGAACCCCCTGACCCTGGAGCCCGGAGCAGAGCCACGGGCCAGTCTTGGAATTGCGAGACCCGGTTTGAGCTTTCCTACAGGAGAGGTTTGGGCCCTAGGGGCGCGCATTTATCTGCCTGTATTCCCGTTGTCCCTGTCCTTCCTTGCACTGTTCGCCTTTCGAAGATGGCGACCCAAGGTGGCCCAGCTCAAACAAAGCCTGCTTGCCAGTGTACGCAGCATCCGTGCTCCGCAGATAGAGGCCCCAGAAATGCACCTTGACCAGACCCTTGGTAACCCACAGGATTACTGTTCCAGATTTTTTTTAAAAAGGGAAAACGAAACCCAGGCCTGGTGACTTATGCCCACCATGCGTGCACTCGCAAGCTGCGGCAGGGGGATTACTTTCAATTCAAGGCCTGCTCTGGGTTGTAATGTGAGACCCCGTCTACAAGACAAAACAAAACAAAACAGCAGGAACGCTGATGGCCTGGGTAGAGGAGCATAGAGGAACATTACTCACCCCAGAAAGGGAAGCGGGTGTTCTCTGTTGTTCACAGATCTTTCTGGACAAAGAGGAGGGGTCACTTATACCTAGATGAGTTTTGTTGAAACCCTTAGAAGTCTTTGACTACTTAATCTTCTGACCCCTTAGGAACAAGCTTCTGGAAACGGAATTATTTCGGTAGGTTGTTTAGCGGCTTTTGGTAATTGTGGGCAAGGTGTTTGTGCGCGCACGAAAGTTCTAAGGGGAAGTACTTCGATGGCGCAGGATTAAGCAAAGCGACCCCCAAATGGAATTCTGAATAACATGCCTGATTATCTAGAACGCAAATAATTTTGTATTCTGGCCCAGGAGAATGTGGAGCCCGCTCCGAGTCCTGTGATCCTCTGCGAACACCGCGGCTTGTTTAGTCTCCAGCTAAAGCTAAATCCCTTGGTCCCTGGGAAACCGGAGGCCGGTGATTGCCCTCTGAGAGTTCAGGCCCAGGCAGCCGCTGCGCTGCGGATTGCCAGCGCTGCTCCCCGTGATAAGAGTGACATAAATAACAACTCACTAAAATGTAGGAGTGGTTCGCTCTAAGCACTTCAGCACCTGCTGTTACTAATTAAGGGTTTAGACCGCCACCGACTGCAGATGGAAATCTAGCGCTTTAAAATGGTAGAGACTGCAGTGAGTGCCCTGAATAATGCCGCAGCCAGAAATGAGCCGGAGGAGATAAGGACATCGGTGATGATTCGAGTTATAAAACTGCCCATAATTAAAGGACGAGTGGCAGGGCGTTAATAAGCCACACCCCAAGAGAGCGTGGGATTTCATTTTCACTTCTTTTTTTTTTTAAATTTCCCAATGAATATGTATTAGTTAAAAAAATGCACTAAGCAATTCATACAGAAAAAAAAAAAGGCTGTCAAATGAAATCTAGCCGATTGTGTTCTTAGGTGGAAATCCTAGACGTGTTTTAAAAGGCAGTTTTGCGAAGGAGACCGTGCTAGAACTTTCCATTCTTTTTCGTTATTGGCCTGTTGCCTGTGTTCAGATGTTACACCATCAACAAGATACTGAGTCAGCATTCAGATGTATGCTAATTGTACTTTATTTGCTAAATTTACATTACTGGATAGTGGACTTGAGTGGCATGTCAAGTGTTTTAATCTGTGTGACACTGGCTGACACTCTGAGTATGTTGTGGCTCTGGTTTTGTAGGTCAGGGAAAGAAGCCTTTGGCAAGAGGGCCAGCCACATCTTTCTAGAACTGCTTTGTTTTGTACTGTGTGCCTCACTCAGCACATAGCATTTGCAGACCTCAGGCTCCTCCACGGAGCGTGGCTTCCCATGCTGCTCCTTCCCTCACACCCCCAGGCTCCCTCCCCATGTCTTTGTCCCTTACAGCTCTTGACTGTGCTCCACAAGACTGATAGATTCTGGGGACTCTGGGAGGGGGGCCTGGGAGGAAATTCATGCGGTTAGAACATCAGGTGCCACCAAGGACAAGGCAGCTGCTTTTGTTCTCAGAGCCTGTGACTCACGCAGCGGGGACAACGGTTTCCACTGCCTACCCTGAATGCACATCCCTGTAATTCTTTCCTAGCCTCTCAGCTTGAAATGACATTGTGCGTGTGTGTTTGTGTGTGTGTGTGTGTGTGTGTGTGTGTGTGTGTGTGTGTGTGTTGTGCTCAGGTTTGGCGTTTAAGGAAATATAGAGGTGTTTACCATGCACGAGGGCCCTAGCACTGTGAGCTTACCCTTCAGGCACAGGTCGTGGCTCTTACTTAGAGCCAGTGTTGGTGCCTGGAACCAAGAGGCAGATTCTGGCTCTTGCCCTGAAGCCTTTGCTCTCTTGGCCCCACATCAGATGTTGGGAATGGGCTGGTAACCAAGGCTCCAGCTCTCTTCTGTATTCCAAGGATTGTGAGCCCTGCTGTCTGCACCACAGAGAAGGCGTGGAAAGGCCTGTGCAGGGGGCATTTGGCTGCCCCCTTCACCTGCATTCCCAGGACAGCCTCTGCCCAGTAGGGAGGGCTCAATACATACCTGTGGGGACAGTAATTATCAAGCCCAATTAAGCAGGAGCACAAAGTGGTGAGATGTTTGAGAAGACCAAGGGAACCAAAATTCCTAATAGAAAATTTTACAAATTATCCCTGGCCCTGGCTCCCTGGCTTATACCTATTTTCAGTGTCATTATTCATACCACATTGTTTTATTCTCAAATGGCTCAGTGAAAGAAAAATTACTATATTAAGGTAAAAGAAGATTAGGGGGCTGGAGAGGTAGGCGGCGGCTTAGTTGGGAAGTGCTTGCAGCTCAAACAGGGGAACTCGAGGTTGGCACCCGCCACCCACATAAAAGCCAGACGCAGCAACAGCATCCATCTGCATGGCAGGAGGGCTTGAGACAGGGAGGTCCCTGGAGCTTGTTGGCCAGCCAGTCTAGTCCAGTGGCTGAACCCAAGTTCAGTGAGGGACTTTGCCACAAAACCTAAGATGGAGAGTGGCTGAGGAAGACACTTGACACCCACCCACCCACCACATGCACAGGTAGATACCACACACACACATACACCTTATACACACACATTCCAGATACACATACCACACACATCCAACACTATACCCTCACACACCACACCACATACACACCATGTAAGTACATACCACGTATATACATCACATACACACACTACATACGTACCACATAAACAGATTCCACATAACAAACCACATACATACCACATCACACATACACCTTATACACACACATTCCAGATACACATACGCAAACATCCAACACTATACACACACACCACACCACATACACACCACGTAAGTACATACCACGTATATACATCACATACACACACTACATACGCACCACATAAACACATTCCACATAACGCACCACATACATACCACATCACACATACACTCCACAGAAACATTTATATAATCATTTTATGGTTGCCCTATCTGTAGCAGATTATGTTAGTATATTGGCAGTTGCTTCAACTAAACACATTATTTAAAAAACAAAACAAAACTATAACCTTCTTGGAATCAATTCTCATAACCACTATCACTGTCATAGCAGCCTTCATCTTTGGGCAGGGGGTCTCAGGAAGGTGCTGGAAAAGAACTAATCATGTGATGCGGTAGAGCTGGACAACACACACTAATGCACTGCACCTGAACTACGACTGACCTGTGGTGTGGTTTTCACATGAAGTGAGACAGATCACAAGGGCCTCTACATTCTCCTGGGTCTCTATAGTTTCCAGGAGCTGAGACAGGAGGATTGAGTGTTTGAAACCAGCCTAGGGAACATACCAAGGCTGAGTCTCAAATAATTAACGAAATAATTATTTTTAACGGAAAAGGTGATGGTATGTTTTGAAAATGATAGGGTTCAAGGAAAACAGAAATATGTTTGGTGAAGTAGGCTGATGTCAGTTTTCAAACAACAACGACACATTAAGGAGTGGACATTTTTTTATCCTTTCTGATGTTAGTGGAGCAGGTGAGTGAGACTGGCCCCTGCCGGTGGATTGAACATAAAGGCTTCCTTCACCTCCTCTGTTCTGAACTCCACAGCGGGAGGCACTTTTGAAATAATGAAGCCTCTAGCAAGTAAATAGCACTGGAGAAGAAAGGGGAGGGGCAAGTCCTCATTAAAACCTAAGAAGACCCCCCCCCACACACACACCCAATGCTGTGCATGGTTCCAACACAGCAGCCTCCCTCAGAACCTAAAATCCACAGTCAGACATCTAGAGGGTGAGCATCAAATGTCCACTACAGAGAAAAGCGGCAGCTTGCAGACAGGGAGAAGAGATGCTGAGATGAAACGGATTAGTGATGGACAGGAACAAAGGTCCACACCTGAGCAGAGGGCAATCACCTGGTGTGGAAGCGGCTGCATGCAGAACCCTTGCACTCAGCTCGCTCATCTGACCCGAGTGAGGATGCTTGTAACTCTAGGCTAGGCCTGTGAACTGCTCTTACAGAAAATGAGCTGCACGTGGGACTGAGGCTCCCAGTGTGGGTAATTTCCAGTCCTCTGTGTGGCCAGGAATGGGCACAACCCACCCTCTCTGCTCTGCAGTCTGTTTCCATTTTCCTGCTCCCTAACACTGGACCCAAATCAGTTTCCGTTAAAGGAAGCCACCACTGGGGACATTGACCGCTACTCAGTCCTTGGTTCATAAGTTTCTCTAAGGAAAGCTTCCCGGCTGTAGGCAGGTGCAGTCGCACGAGTGCGCAGCTTTCCCAGGCACATTGTGAGCCTGCTTTACTAGGAGTGTTGGCGTCCTCTCCAAATTCACATCCTGACATCCCACCACAAGGTGTTGACGGTAGGAGGTGGAGCTGTTCCGAGGTGATGAGGTCGCTAGGGTACTTCTGCCACCAAGAATAGCATTAGTTCCTGTAAAAGAGGCCCAACGTGGACCCATCAGCCTTTGTACCACGTGAAAGCACTCTGACTGAGATGTTGCCTTCTGTGAACCAGGAATCAAGCCTTCACTTGACACTGGATCTGCCAATACCTTAATCTTGGACTTTTTCAATCTCCAGAGTGACAAGGAAGAAATTAGTTCGTTCATAATCACCCTTGTTTTGGTACTCGTAAAAGAGCGAGCTGAAGGGGCTAGGACAAAAGAGAATAGAAACACATGTTTGAATTCTCATTTGCAGAGCTGGGGAGATAGCATGGTTGGTAAAGCGCAAATGTGCAAGCATTAGGCCCCTAGCCTCTGTGTGAAGATCAGGCATGGCTGCTCCTGCCTACTCCCTTTGGGAAGAGACAGGGGAGCCCCTGGCACTCACTGGTCAGCCACTTCCGGCAAATCTTTGAGCTCCAGATTCAATTAGAGACCTTGCCTCAAACAATAAGATGGAGAGAAACAGAAAGAAATCCCATGCAGACTTCTGCCGACCACCTGAAGGAATACACATGTGCAATCACACATGAACACATAGCGGGTGTGGCTGCATGGTCATGTAATTCTAGCTCTGGGGAAGTGGAGATATGGAGTTCCTGGCCAGCTAGCCTGTCATACTGAGAAAACTCCAAGCCCAGCAAGAGACCTGGTCCTGACAAACAGGGTAGAAACTGCTGGAAAGTGACACTCAAGGTTGTCCTTGACCTACACACACACACACACACACACACACACACACACACACACACACACACATACATACATATACACACACACATACACACACACACATACACACAGACACAAGTCAAATTCTAATTTGTATCTTCAGAGAAGCTATCACTTTCTAAAAGTAACAGGTTATAAAAACACCAAAAATATAAAACCTTAAAAATTCACAATTAAATTCAGTACTTTTTAAAGGACTGTAGGCCAAGAAAGCAATCTAATCTATCACAGAGAAATGGAGAAAAAGAATCATCCTGGGGTTTCTAACATGTCACAGAAGATTCCCAGGGAGAGAAAGAAAACAGAGAGAAAGCGTGATCCCTGATTGAAGAAATACCATCCGTTTCCAGAGCTAATAATAAATGCTTCTTCTGAGATACTGTCAGGACACAGAATATAAAAAAAAAAAAAAAAAAAAAGTCACCCAAAGAAAGCAAAGTTGCTTGGTGTTTTCGACAGCCACTCTGAATATCACAAGGTGATGGACCGTCATCTTCAAAATTCAGAGACACGGTGGTTTTTGACCTGGACCAGCTGGCACTGACTTGTGAGAACGCAGTGACAGCGTTTTCAGGCTAGAAGAATCTCCTGAGCCCGTACTGAAATTCAATAAAGTGGACCCCAGGAAGAAGCAAATAGGAGCCTCAAGGAACAGTATGGATCAAAGAAATGACCACAAAAAACCATTCCGTGTAAATATTAATTATAAATAGAACAGGTAGAATGAAGTCTTAAATTCCAGGCATTCCCAGCAGAAATGCATGGCGGATGGGGGAGAGGGTAATAGTCATGTGGAGGATGCTGCCTTGTGTGCAGAGAGGCAAGGGTCCAACTGTCAACCCATGATTTGCAATGTGGCCAAGGATGGCTATGAATGAGGCCCAACACGCAATCATAAACTCACTTAAAACATTATGAGATGCTTTTGTATAAATGTTTTGCCTGTATGTATGTGTGTGTGTGTCTGTGTGTACCTGGTACCTGTGATGGCTAGAAAAGGGCACCAGATCCCTGGGAACTGTCATTAGCAACAGCTGTAAGCCATCACAAGGGTGCAGGGAACCAATCTGGGTCCTCTGCAAGAGTAGCCAGGGTTCTTAAAACTACTGGGCCATCACTCTAGCACCAAATTTAGATTTTTTTATTTGTTCTCTGGAATGTGTTTTTAGCAAAATAAATAATGTGGGACTCACCAATCTGGCTTTCTTACAAAATACATTTTCCAGCAGGTAAGTCCAATTAAGAAACTGGATCATAACCTTACCTGTTAGTGGAACAAGAGAGGTTTATAGGGAAAACATACTCTCCAGGCCTTAGTGGGCAGGATCTTAACAAAGTAGCAAGATGCTGAGCCCAAGCACAGCCCTGGACATGGGGGCCTGGACATGGGGGCCATGAGGAACTTCCTGACCTCCAGTGTTCAGGGGCAGCTGCCAGCTCCCTGAGTTATTTCTCACTTGTGCTTGTTTGGCAGTAATTACATGTGACCTCTGCTTCCTTCCTTCTCTTTCAGGGGAAACTAGACCTTCTGCTGGTTGGAGATGCCACAAGATACTTCCTGACTGGCTCTATACAGAAATTCTTTTCCAGCACAGCACACTTCACCCTGACCGTCAGCGATGTGAAGAAGGTAGCCGCGCTTTTGGCTGCCAACTCATTCGACATCATCTTCTTGAAGGTGACTTCCACCTTAACCGCGGAGGAGCTGGAGGCTGTCAAGTCCATTCGGTAAAGCTTTTCCAGTCTTGACTCTGTGTATTTAAAATCGCCATTAAAACCCATTTCTTAAATCTGTAAGATATAATATGTTGATATCATGGACATAAATTTTGTCCACTTTAAGTTTTAAAATGGAGCACGTCTTCATGGGTAGAAGCTGGTTTCGTGGCCAGTTTGACATGCTATTGTAAGAACTCACGTTTCAACCTGAGAAGGAATAGGTATGAGTGAAATTTATTTGGTTTAGAATGCTGATGTTGGTCCCATCGATACGCTTTTTTTTTTAAATAACTGTTATTTAAAATGGCACATCTTTTCCGAGTTTATTAAGAGTTATGGTGGATAGTAAAGCAAGCACCCCGAGCTCTGTGTGGAGTTGGCAGTGGTCTGAATCTATTTCTGGGGTGTGACGAGGCTCCTGGGATCTGACAGATCCTACCACCTCAGACATCCCCATTGCATCTTAGAGCTCTGTAAAAACTCAGCTTCTTCAAGCCCGAACTGCTTTCAAAGAACTGCTGCAGGTGGCCTTTACAGCAAATCTGTCATTGTTCATCCTTTCGGTATTTTAGTAAATACTTGTCTAAGATTGGACTCAATAAAAGCCACAGTACCAATGACACATCTTCTATACATTTATAAATTAATAATTCTTTTTTTTTTTTCTTTTTTGGTTTTTCAAGACAGGGTTTCTCTGTGTAGTCCTGGCTGTCCTGGAACTCCTTCTGTAGACCTGACTGACCTCAGACTCACAGAGATCCACCTGCCTTTGCCTCCTGAGTGCTGGGATTAAAGGCAGATGCCACCACCACCTGGCTAAATTAATAATTCTTTAATGCTGAAATATCTAATCAATGTTCAGTGTTTCCTGCTTATGATTCTAAAAAAAACCCCTGTTGATAAAAATTTGAGTTTCAATTTTCTCTTCCTTGTATTCTTTGTTTCTTTGGTCACAAATTATATATATGTATCTTTTTTTCAAACACACACATATGTATGGTTTTTTTTTAGTTTTATGTAACTTTCCCCAATCTGGATTTTGCTGATTTTCTTCTTTTTTAAAAAATTATTTATTTTTGATTGGTGTTTTGCCATGGGTGTCGGGTGCCCAGGAACTGGAATTACAGACAGTTGTGAGCTGCCATGTGGGTGCTGGGAATTGAACCCAGGTCCTCTAGAAGAGCAGTCAATTTTCTTAACCACTGAGCCATCTTTCCAGCCCTGATTTTATTCTTATAGTGGTCTTGAAATGTCCTTTTTAAAGAAACCTTTTTTTAAACTAATGAGAAATTTGAAAATACGGAGAAGGTTCAGATTATTTTCTTTAGTTAAGAAAGAGCAGTCCATCATGCCACTCCTCATTGATTTGAGATGCTGAGTTAAAATTTTTTCCCATCATTGTGAATTCTCCAAGTTAAAGACATCTATAGTTTAGCTTCTAGTGAGTTAAACTCTTGAGTCTAATTTTCTTTGAATGATGATTTTGTTTCATTGTAACACTTTTCCCTCAGATCTGGCAAGAAGAAAAACACCCGTTTGCTGTTTGTTTTTATAAAACCTGAAAAGTTTAAAGGTATGTGACTTCCTGCTGTAGTATGTGTTTCGTTTTCAAACAGGAATTACAAGGTTGGTGTTAACGCGCTTTTTTTAGGCTGTATTTCAGACTATGGAGTGGATATTAGTTTCCCTGAGCCACTGACCTTGGGAAAAATGGACATGGTGGTAGAGTACTGGAAAGCATATTTCACAGGTATGGGTGAGTTACAAATATACTTGCAAAGGTTTAAGAAATTCTTATTAAAATTCTATAAAAATGTTTGCACATCTTTAAATTGGTTTCCCACTTGTGCCTTTTATTTGTGGATTAACAATTTGCCATGTATTTTATGAGTATGTTTTTTAATCATAGTCAGGAAATAAGTGTAAATAAGGAGAAAAAAATCTTTCCTTTATCTGCAAGAGAAGCAGAAATGTTCAGAAATTTCATATGAGTTGCATGATAGCTGTGTGATGAAAGGTTCTGTTTTTGTTTTTGTTTGAGATTGTTACTGAAAGGCCGCCAGGAGCGGAGCCGCGGGCAGCGCAGGCCGGGCCGCATCCCCGTCCCCGCGCCAGCCGCCCGCGCCCGCCATGCGCGCCCCGCAGCGGCCCGCGCGCCCGGCCCCGCGTCGTAGCGCGGCGGGCGGAGACCGCAGGCTCCCAGCCCGGGCCCGCCGTGTCCTCGAGCCCGATCGGCGCCGCTGCCCGGCGCCAGCGCCCGGTGCCGCCGCCGGCGAGGGTGGTGCGGGCCGCGACCCGGGCGCCCGGGGCCCTGCGGGATGGAGCAGGCCGAGAGCCGGGGACCCTGCGGGATGGAGCAGGCCAAGGGCCGGGGACCCTCCGGGCGGTGCAGACTGGGGCCCGGGTACCCCCGGGGTGGCGCCGCTTAAGGACTTGGGGACCCTGTGGGGGTGGCGCGGCCTGAGGACTGGGGAGCCCTGCAGGGAGGTGCAGGCCGGGACCCCGGGACTCTTCTGGGGTGGTGCTGAGGGGCCCCAGCATGCTTGCTGCGCCTGACGCCATTTTGAGCAGGGCCTGAGGAGTGCGGGGAGGGTTCAGTTGGAGGACATGGGCGCAGGAACGAGCGGGGTGTCTGCGGTCGGCCACCTGGCCCCAGAACAGGGAACTGGAGGGTCGGAGGGACAGTTTGTACCCTGGATGGGAGCCAGGTCAGCAGGCGTGTCGAGCTCGGGGGAAAAACCACGAGCTGTCCTGAGTTTGAACCTGGCCTCATATGAATCGTCCAATCAGAACCCTGTAAGCCATGGCCTCATATGAGTCGTCCAATCAGAACCCTGTAAAACATGGCCTCATATGAGTCGTCCAATCAGAACCCTGTAAGCCATGGCCTCATATGAGTTGTCCAATCAGAACCCTGTAAAACATGGCCTCATATGAGTCGTCCAATCAGAACCCTGTAAAACATGGCCTCATATGAGTCGTCCAATCAGAACCCTGTAAAACATGGCCTCATATGAGTCGTCCAATCAGAACCCTGTAAAATATGCTTCTTGCTTCTGTACCCGCCCTTCTGCTGCCCGACCCTATAAAAACCCTCCACTCCAGCCCGTCGGCGCGCCAGTCTCTTCAGTCTCTGGAGGGACTGTGTCGCCCCGGGTACCCGTGTTCCGGAATAAAGCCTCTTGCTGTTTGCATCTGACTTGTGGTCTCAGTGTGCTCTCTGGGCGAGGGTCTCTCCAGAGGGAAGACTACCTTCGGGAGTCTTTCAGTTACTATGTTTCTTTTTATTGGTAACCTGGGTGCCAATCATATCTTGGTTATTAAAATATAATTAGTTAGGTTACTTCATTTCAGGGATGTTCAAAAAACAGGAGCATCAACCTGGAATTGTGTAGTGACCCCTTGCAAAACACTTGTGTAATTATTTACCTCTTGAAATGAATACAGGGTCATTCTTTGCCTTGCTTAGCTTTAGATCAAAGCATTAATGTCAATGCCTCACTCAAGTAGACCTCTCTTTTGTAATCCCTTACCTATTGTATTGTGTGTATTGCCACACTTGAGCACTAATTAAATCAGCTTATCCTAAAAGGACAGCAGACAGCCTCCAAGTCCTGGAATTAATGTGGTTCAATAACTATTTTTGCTTGCTGTAGGCTAGGACACTAGCTGAGAAATCGTTCAGAATTAAGTTGATATCAGATGGAGAGCGTTGGTTAAGGGATGGAGAGTTTTTGCTACATCATATAAGTAAACTCTGAAGACCTAAGATATGGTTTGATGGCTGTATTAACAATACTACGTAGAGTACTTGAAACTTGCTGAGAGTATCCGTTTTTAATGTTTTCAACACATGCACAAGAAAATAATTATGTAAGGTGATGAATACACTAACTTGATTGTGCTGTGTTTACAATGTATATGTTTATCAACTCTACATACTGCAAATACACACACACACACACACACACACACACACACACACTCACAGTCATATCTCTGTACAGCTGGAAACTTAAAGTTAGTATTTTTTTTTTGAAACACGCTGAGGGTTATTATATATAAGTTCACATTCTAGAGTCAATATGTCTGCCTCTTTATAGTGTTAGTTTTCAGTGGTCACTGTAGAGAGTTCAATTTGTAGTCCCCCCCAACCAATCCCATCCCCTCCTAACCTCCCCTCCCACCCGCAAACCTAACCCCTCTGGCTTCAGAGATCTTCCTGGGTCTGACTAAGCATGTGGTCACGGTCCCTTTGCAATCTGTTCCCGGTCCTCAGTTGCAAACAGCAGCTGCTCATCCCCTGCCCGGCGCCTTTGATGGCCACAGTCGTTCTCTGGTGGTTTTATCATTGCTCCGAGGACTGACAGCTGCAGACTCTTTTTCTCTTGAGGCTGTACCTTGACAGTGCAGTTGCTTGACATTTCCTTATAAATAGGAAGGTGATACATCAGCTCGGTTGGAGGTGCTTTATAAAATATGTCACTAAGTGAAGAGGTTCTAACTGAAAAGAGGGTGTGCTGGGGTGCCCTGTCTGTAGCCTTTCCATGGTACTTTCTAATCGGAGTGGTTTCATGCTTCCTGGACTGAAATCTATCATTTGCTTTCTGTTTTAAAAAGCCTGCTCTGAGCCGGGTGGTGGTGGCGCGCGCCTTTAATCCCAGCACTCGGGAGGCAGAGGCAGGCGGATCTCTGTGAGTTCGAGGCCAGCCTGGGCTACCAAGTGAGTTCCAGGAAAGGCGCAAAGCTACACAGAGAAACCCTGTCTCGAAAAAACCAAAAACCAAAAAAAAAAAAAAAAAAAAAAAAGCCTGCTCTGTAAAAAAAATCATTGGTAGTGATTTTAGGATTAAAATGATCCACTTTCCAAACTTCCAACAGATGTGGAAGGCACTGAGAGGCTTCCAGAATGCGGACTACACCTCAAACTTCCAGCAAATGAGGAAAGCGCTGAGAGGCTTCCAGAACGTAGACTGCACCTCCAGACTTCCTCCAGTGAACTTGGGGAACACTTTTCTACTGATCTGTTTCTTCGGTTAGCTTCATTTTATTTTTTTCCCTACTTCTCCATATCACAGATGTTTATCATGTGTACCTTTCCTTAAAGAGACTGCAAAGAGCTTCATGATAGGACACTGACTAGCCCTGGTGCTGAGAGTGATGCACAAGGGAGCTGGGGTGGGGGGACACTCTTCCCTGGAAGACAGGAAGCCTTCTCCTGTTTCAGATTCTAGAGCTGAGATCATGGTACACCTCACAAGAGGATCCAACTCAGTGAAAGAAAGCACATTGATATTCAAATACAATAACAGCAGACTCCTTTCTCCCCCAAACACAAGTTTGAAACTCTGATATTTGAACAGACATGCACAGCCTTGCCTAGTCTATGTCTACAGCACTTTCGCCCTGTTGTCTGCTTTGAACTCACAAACTCAGCGCTTCAGCTATCGGACGCCTGTGATTGGGAGAGTTTGTTCTATGTCCTATGAAGGGAGCTCTCAGTGGCTGTACGGGGGAGTTTGGACAGGCTGCCTCAGTGTCTGCCTGTCTCTCTTCTGGGTGTTAGAACTGGCATTCAAACCCACCCCCCACAGGCAGCTGAACTTGGGGTCAGACTCTTCCTATGTTACTTACCTACCAGATTCCACCTAGTTTATCAAGCTCTGCATGCTTGGTAAAAACCGACTTTTTGTGAATGTTGCAATGTTGCCCTCCCTTTTTACACCAACGAGGTTTTTTTTTTTTTTTTTTTTGGTTTTTCGAGACAGGGTTTCTCTGAGTAGCTTTGCGCCTTTCCTGGAACTCACTTGGTAGCCCAGGCTGGCCTCGAACTCACAGAGATCCGCCTGCCTCTGCCTCCCGAGTGCTGGGATTAAAGGCGTGCGCCACCACCGCCCGGCCCAACGAGGTTTTTTAATAGAGCTTGGCGCTTCCCAGAATGGACAAGCGCTGTAGCCCATGGATGCTGCTGCTGATGAAAATTCCGAGTCAGGCACTTGTGGAATGTGTAGAGAATGCAGCCATCTACTGTTGGGAACAAGGAAGGGACTTGGCCTCCAGTTCAGTGTGGCAAACCAAAGATGATCTCACTAAAGTGGTGTATGGATAACAACAGTTTATGAATCTTATTTAGCTGCTGAGCCTCCAAGAGCTTTATAGAAAGGTGACCCCCCTGTCTGGGGCATGAGGTAGGGAAGGGAGTTGTGAGGCTTCATGATTTGCCTATGCTACATGAAAGTATTTTTCAGTGTCTACTAATCTTGAATTTTTCTTTATCCTCCATCCTAATCTTAACCACTGTCAATAAAAGTAAAATTTCCAGGCAAGTTTCACCCTTTTGGATAAAGAAAACAGGATTATAGGGCTAGGGAGATAACTCAGTCAATGAAGTACTTGTTGGCAATCACGGGGACTTGAGCTTGAGACCCAGAATTCAAATACAAGCTTTGAGGTGTGGGTGCTTAGAATCCCAGCGCTGGGGAGGTGGAAATGGGAGGCACCTTGGCCAGCTAGCCTGGTGAGCTTCAGGACAGTGAGAGATCCTGTCTCAAAATCTGTGGTGAACAGCACCTGAGGAAAGACAGCAAGGTGATCTCTGGCCTCTACATGCGTGCATTCTCTCTCTCTCTCTCTCTCTCTCTCTCTCTCTCTCTCCCCTTCTCCCTCTCCCTCTCTCCATTTCCCCTCTTCCTTGCCCCCCCACAAAGTGGGGTTATTTTTCAATTTCTAAAAAAAAAACAAAACAAAACAGTGTAAAGGGGGCCTATAGAGATGGCTCAGCTGTTAAGAGCATTGGCCACTCTTCTAGAGTGGTTCGATTCCCTGCACCCACATGGTAGCTCACAACTGTCTTATTCCCTCCTCTGGCATCTGTGGGCCCCAGGCACACATGTGTTACATATCATACACATAAAATAAACATTAATAACATAGTGCAAAGCCATAGATTTCTAGAATCTAGACAGTAGAGTCAGAACAACGTCTATTAAATGAGAAAATTTAAAAGGGAGAGAAATTGACTTTGCTGATGAAGCTGGAGTAGGACATGTAAAGTTGCTCTGTTCTTTTCTCTGTAATGAAATTTTTATTTCATGTGTATGCTTTTGCTGCACTGTCTGTACCACAGGCATGTAGTGCCCTCAGAGGCCAGAAGAGGGCATCAGATACCTTGGAATTGGAGTTACAGATGGTTCTGAACCACCACGTGGGTACTGGAAATGGAACCTGTGTCCTCTGTTACAACATCCAATGCTCTTAATCACTGAACCATCTCTCTAGCTCCATGTGCCTTAACGGCTTAAGGGTAGATACAGTCATGTTCTTTGATTTACAGAGGGACTGTAACACCCAGTACAAAGTATTGTAAGTAAAAACTGCATCCAATCTGACTGACATCGTAGCTTGCCCTGTAACATTCTCAGAACACTTAATTTTAGCCTGCAGTTGGGCAGGAGCCATCTAACTCAGTCTGATTTGTAGCAGGTTGTGAGAAATGGACTGATGCTGCAATGCTTTTACGACAGCATGAAGTTAAAAAACCAACAAACATTGTCAGTGGGTGACTGCTTGTAATTTGGAATAGCCATAATCGATAAAATTAGAATGTCTTAATCCTAAGTATATGTTATCCTTAATCAGTGTATTTTAGAATTTTGACCATTGGATTTATGATATTTTGAAATCTGAAAGAAAAGATTCAGTACTGAATGTGTCAGGTACTGAGATTTAGTGTATCACCCCCCCCCCACCCCCCCCCCACCCCCCGCCCCGGTTTGTATGAAGCAGGAGACTTAATCTCCATCTGGTTAGCGAATTGGCGTTCATTGTTGACAATTGTCTGATGATTTTCCTCTTTAATATGTGGCATGATTTTCACTTGCTTCTAGCTCTGGGCAGCTGAAAAATGACAAAGAACTTGTATTAAAGGCCCCACTGCCGGGTCCTGAGAGAAACAGAAAGACTTCTTTTCTTCATTCGAGCAAAGAGAAGCTGAGGAGGTGAGTGTCGAGGCAGGCTTTGGTTTCCTGGTTTGTTTGGTTGGTTGTTTCGTTTTATAAAATCTTTATAGACAAATAATCCACATAGTATACAATTTGCCTGTTTGCACAGTTTGATAGACTTTATAGTCCAGCATCCTCATAGGCCCATGACACCATCACCACTTTTTAGAACATCGCTGTCTTCAGTTTCATACACACATACAGTGTACGATGATTACATCCCACCTTATTTTTTTAAATGAACATAATATTTGCAATTGCAACCATTTTTAAGTTCACAATTCAGTGGCATGAATTACATTCAAGATATTAATTACACTCATGATATTAATTACATTTCCTGGTTATTCCTTGACACAGAGGGATCACGTCCATCAAGTCTCCTCACTTTAACATTGCCAAAAGTCTAGATGAAACTGGTAAATGTGGCCACTAAATATGTGTCACCCTTCCAGCTGTTTGGTCCCCGGAGTGACCAAATGGCCGAGTAGGCGCCAGTGCCACACTGTGATTGGAGAACAGTAAAATTCTAAGTGGCGGGAATAGAAATGCTCGCCTGTAATTCTCCCGTTTCCTGTGTACTCAGATGTTTTCTGACTACACAGTGGGGCAAGGTGTAATGGCGTTGTTCGTTATGGAAGTGACATGTATCTAGCAAAACTCTAGAAGAGGAGAATTGCTGTGCACAGTCCTGTCAGCTGTAGATAATGACGGCTTAATGTCTTTGATTCTTGCTTTATTTAATGGCTAGGATTACATCCCCCCGCCCACCGCCCGCTGTCTTGAGTTCTACTTTTCCTCAGTGAGATTTGTTACATCACTGCCACTTCAGATGAAATTCTGAAGATAGAATAGACTGCAATAGATTTGCTTAAGGCATCCTCCTGTTTAATATGTTTAGGCCTCTTTTTGTATTTTCTCGAGAAGCTGTTTTGCACACGGAAACTTTGCTGTGCGTTTTATCTTCAGTTCTTTTGTAAGTGAAAGTTCTCTGTGGAGAGCCTCCCAATAATAGTGTCTGGTTATTGACCCCTTCCCGCCCCACCAAAGCAGTTCCTGAGACAGCTCTGCTGAGCCCCAGAGCTCCTGAAGCCCTATAAAAATACCACTTACCGCCGTGTGGTGGTGGCGCAGGCCTTAAATCCCAGCACTCAGAAGGCAGAGGCAGGTGGATCTCTGTGAGTTCAAGGCCAGCCTGGGCTACAGAGTGAGTTCCAGGACAGGCTCCAAAGCTACACAGAGAAACCCTGTCTCAAAAAACAAAAACAAAAATAAAAAAATTACCACTTACCAACTTATTTTCAACCCCTGACTATTTATATGTCAAGCAAGATTTTTTTTTTGTTTAATTTTTCTTCTATTCTGAAATTAAGAGAAATTTAGGGACTTGCCTAAGGTTTCAGCTAGTTGCTTTGCACATATCAAGGCCGTAACTGGATAAAAACGAGTACTTGGGGGAAAATGGCAAGGGCTTGGGTTAATTCAATTAGGTCTGTTTTCCTCGTGCATCTCCCTTTTGGATGCTAGCCTGGCCAGTGTCTTTTGCATTTTAGTTCATCTGCTTAGGAAAGCTGTCTTCTTGTTTTCCCTCAGCTCAGGCCACAGTGCGTGTAAAACTCACATGTCACAAGACACCAAATGATCTCTTGTTATGGTCCAAACACAGATCCTGACTCTTCCTGGCCTGCTAGGCTTCTAGTGTGAACTTCGGATGTCTGTATAGCATGTGATTTTTCCCCCCAAGGATTCTACAGATCTTCAGAGGCTGTGAGGGGTGTGCTTTGCACTGTCTGGGCACTGGGGGGGCCCAGCTGGGGGCCTGGTCGAGGGAGCTGGGGCGCCATGGCACAGACTCTGTACTTTGGCAGATGTCCATCTTGTGCAGCATGTGAGTGGGGACCCTGGAGGTTGTGATTTCAGGAGCTGTGAGGGCTGCTGCCCTATGGGGGCATGGCCTTCCCCTGAAACAGGGACCAGATGGAGATGGGGACAGTCCATTTTCACAAAAACCCAGGAAGAAGAGTTGTTTAACCTTATGAACAGAGAAGAAAGTGAGACTAATGCTTCCTATTTCCTCACAATCGTTGGAACAGAGAGCGCATCAAGTTTTGCTGTGAGCAGCTGCGTACTCTCCTGCCATACGTCAAGGGGAGGAAGAGCGATGTGGCTTCAGTTATTGAAGCGACCGTTGATTATATGAAGTATGTCCGGGAGAATCTCTCTCCAGCCATCATGGCCCAGGTATTCAGTTTCTAAAGTCCCACTCAGCAATGCTTCCATGCCCTGATTTTTAATTTTCTTTTTGTAACTGCAAATGCGTGTGTTGGTAAGTCTGGTTTTCTATATGCATCTTTGTCCTTGTTTAGATTACAGAATCCCTCCAGAGCAATAAAAGGTTCTCGAAGAGACAAGTGCCCATTGAGCTGTTCGCTCAACGTGCAGCCACATCACAGAGGTACGGCCAGGACTGTGGGAATCCTTACACTGTGTGTTTTCTTCCTTCCTTGTTCATGCTGGATGAATGGACAGGAACTGAAAGCATACACAGTGAGAGCCCAGGTTAAGGATCTGTGAATGTCTTCCACTGCCCATACTAATTATTTCATTACCGCAAAACACACATAGACTATTCCCGGCTGTGGTCCTTGTTACCCCTGAGAACTTTAAAATAGAGCTTTGAGATTGCTTGTCCAGCAGAGGCAGGATGGATTCTAGAATCCTCTGGCAGAGGTCGAGGGCTGTGGAGCATTTAAAACCAGTTAGTAAGCAGTCCTTAAGCTCGCTGATTCAAAATATGACATGCCAAGTGATGACTTCCTTACTCAAACTTAGGAGTCCTGCAAGCAAAGAGAAACAAAAAAGACCTTTGAAGAATCATTAAAAGGCTTGAGTACCTCTTTGTTCTATTTTAAATAATCTATAGCTGAGGCTCTGTCAGGGTTTTTCAGATCTTGACTAGTAGAAAAGCCTTTGAAGAGCTGGGGAGATGGTTCAGTGGCTAAGAACCCTGGCTGCTCTTGCAGAGGACCTGGGTTCATTTCCCAGCAGTCACATGGCGGCTCGCGATCAGTTGTAACTCCGGTTTCATAGGATCTGAGGTCTTCTTCTAATCTCTGCAGGGACTGCATCTATGTAGTACACATACACACATGCAGGAAAACACTCATACATATAAACAAATAAGTTATTTATTTACTTATTATGTATGCAGTGTTGTGCCTGCACGTATACCTGTGTGCCAGAAGAGGGCACCAGATCTCATTCTAGATGGTTGTGAGCCACCATGTGGTTGCTGGGTGAGCTCAGGACCTCAGAAAGAGCAGCAGCCAGTGCTCCTAACTTCCGAGCCATCTCTCCAGCCCCCACAAATACATTTTTTAGAACACAATTTAGAAAAGCCTTTGAACTCAGCACTGTTCATGTTTTCTTCCTGGAGAGATTGCACAAAGTGAATCCTTCTTGTCTTTCCAGGGACAGTGGTGTGCTGACAAGTGCTTACTCATCTGTGAGGGAGATCCAGCTCCTGGCTGACCAGTGCCTGACTGTGTATTCCAGGCCTGCTGCGGAAGGGCCCTTGGAGGAAGCTGTAAGAGGTGAGCTATGCCTACCCCTGTGCAGCTCACAGAGCACATGGGCCTGAAGGGAGGCTCTGCAGCCCCTGGGTCCCCCGGAGTCCCCATTCATTTCCTGCTGTAACTGGGTGCTCAAGTAGAGCTGAAATATCACACAGTGAGTCCTGACTTCATCCTGAAGTATTGAAATCGAGTTCTGTTCCCTTTTGTCACTGTGGGAGAATCCCTGACAGAACACGCCCAGGGAGGAAATGTTGAACTCCCAGTTTCAGAGGATTCAGTCTGTGATAACTAGGGCAGGCAGGGCAGCACTCACACCATAGGACAGCACAAAGTGGGGATCAGGAATCAGAGCAGTTCCAACGGTTCCCCAGTTCCAACAAGCTGCATTCCATCTTCTAAAGGTTTCACAGCCCCACAGAACAGTGCCACCAGCCAGGGAACACGTTTTCAAAATGAGACTGGGGGACCATTTCAGATTCAACCACAAGAGTTAACTTAGGGGCAGAAGCATCGGCTGCTCTCGTACCTGAGTTCAGTTCCCAGCACCCGCATGTCAGCTCACAACTGTCTGTACCTCCAATTTCAGGGGGCCCACTGCCCTTTCTGGGCTCTGCAGGCACTGCATGCGTGTGATAAACATGCATAAATGTATGCAAACACTCATACACATAAAATAAAAAATATATAAACTGCCTCAAAATTGACCATAATTGCCAGAAAGTGTATCTTGCTAGTAGATGATAAGTACATTGATGAATTTATTTCTTATAGAAATGAAATCTAAAACGAAGCATAGTTTTCTCTCGGTACCCACAGAGGATTGGTTCTAAGTCCCTCAGCTGACACCAGATCTTCAGAGTCTCAAGTCCCTTCTGTAAAATGGAATATCATTTGCATATAACCTGGTCGCATCCTCCTGCTTACTTGAAATCTTTTGTGGCTTGGATGACACCCGATACAATGTAAATTTACACAAATAGTTGTTACATTGTATTGTTTAAAGAACAAAGTCTGTCTATGTCTTCTATAGACTTGCTGTTCGTGATTTTTTTAAAATATTTTCAATCCAATGGTTGAAATGCCAGCTCAAGGATATAGAGGACTGAGTGTACTCATATGAATTCAGTGCTGGCTTTGTCCTGAGCACTTAGAATGTTAATTTATTTACTTCTTTCAAGTCTTTGTTTAAAGGTCACCTACTCTGAGTCCTCAACCACCTAGTTAAAGCTCCTCATTCCTGCCTGCCGCACACATTGCAGGACACCCTTACCCACTTTCTCGGTTGGATTTGACTTCTTGGGACTCTTCGCTTGCAATGCCCTTTACTCCTGTGCTTTGTTTTTTGGCTGTCTTCTCCTGTCATTATGCCAGCCCCACGAAGGCAGAGGGTTTTCCCTCCTGTTTTATTCATTGCTATATTTTTAGTGCCTAGAGCAGTGGTGGTCAAGAAATACATAGAATACAGATAACCACTTGGACACCTGCAACCCTCCTTCCAGAGGCGTTTCTGTTCTATTTCTGTGCAAACCTAAGCATTCCCACATAGCTACGGAAATAAGGATGGGAAGGAACAGAGCCAAAGCCAAAGAGGGTGAGTGTGTGACTTTTGGTATTCCTGGAGGCTGCTTCCCATGGAGGAGACAGTAAAGTGGAATCTAGAGGGAGTGGCTGGTGCTGAGTGACAGGGATGCCTCTCTCCTCAGCTTCCAGTCTCATGAGTCTTCTGATTGCTTTTGATTGCTTCCTCTAAGGAACTATGCTGTCAAAGCATCCTGCTGTGCTGGGAATATCCTTGGCCATCACTCTCCCCACTAATTGCAAGCCTGTGCCCTGGTACTCTGCTTGGCATCCCTGCCTCAGAGATGGGGAAACACGGATAGAGGAGATGCAGTAGTTGTTCGTGTGGATCTTAGAACTCAATGGCAGATAGGATCACAGAAGCAAACTGGTCCACCCAGTGTGTTTAAGTGCAGAACAGATGCTCCACATGCATGTTTAGGGGATCAACGGAGCTCTGGGACAAATATGCTCCTACAGTTGTGTCTAAAGACATGAGAAGAGGCCAAATAGAACACAGTCCCCCTTGGTCCTGAAGCCAAGGAAAGAAATACAGATCACTTCCGTGGTCTCTTTAGGCATTTCTCTTTCTTCCTGGGGAGAAGGGAGGAAAATAGGAAGAAAAAAAAAGTCACCCCAAGCGACAGTAAGTGCCCGTGGCTCAGTATCACATGGGATGATTAAAGTGATCCAGATTAAGTCAGATAGGTGAGGCTGTACCCAATCCTGTTAAGGATATATCTTTGCATACAATACTGTTTATGTAAAAACAATGCCTGTTATGTATCTTCACATACAACGCTGTTCTGTAAAAAAAAAAAAAAAAAAAAAAAAAAAAAAAAAAAAAAAAAAAAAAAAAAACAAGTGTTGATGGCTGCAAGTTCAGGCTTTTCTGTGCTTGAGTATGTTGTGGAGTCCCATCACCCAAAGAGACCACGCTGGGGAGGACACAGCTGTAATAGAACTATGGACTTTGGGGATATGCAAACCCGAAGAGAGCTGGAAGGTCAATGAGTCAGGAACCCTCAATTTAGTCAAATTTACCTATTTGAAAAGTAACTAACCATACTACTCATTACTGTTTAATTTATATATATTTAGAGAGGGTTGTTGTTAGCATTCTGAACCTGCCCTTGGGACTGCCCAGTGTCCTGACATCATTTTATGTAAAAGTCTCGAATAGAAACCCCTCCCTTCCCCCTCTCCCGCTCCCCCCCACCTCGTCCCCCATGAGGTGGACACACCTCTGCTTTCCCTCCTTTCTCTCTTTCCCTATCTTCCTCTATCTTTCTATTATAAAATCCTCTCTCCACGAGGATGTGTGAGTGACTTTCCACACACCTCAGCGCGCCACTGCATCTGCATGGCATGTTTCCATCACCCGCGGGACACCTTGGCCCCGCCAGCTAGGGCCGACGAGCCCCATATCATTACAGTCGTGAGTGTGCTGAGAACCCAACTCAGGTCCTCCTCCGCAAGAGTGGGATGTGTTCTTAACCACTGAGCCATCTCTCCAGCCCTAGAGATTATTTTTAAAACATTATGTGTTTTAAGAATCTTTGTCTTCTAGCTGCTGCGTAGAACTAAACTATAACTGTGATGGCCTAGCCCACTTCAGTCATAAGAAAGAGAACAGCCAAACCTTCCTTTGGGACTGAATGTAGTTTGGTTTTGTTTGTGTTGTTTTGCTTTTCTCACATTCTTCCTGGCCTTATGGGAATGGAGTTAGGGTTTCTATTGCTGTGGTAAAACACCATGCCCCAAATCAGCTTGTGGAGGAAAGGGTTATTTCATCTTACAGCCTATATCATTATCTGGTGAAGTCAAAGCAAGAGCCCAGTGCAGGGCCTTGAAGACAGGAACTGAAGCAGAGGACACTGTTTATTGGCTTTTCAGCTTGCTTTTCCATAAGCCCAGGAGTGTCCGCCAGCCCTGGGGCAGCACTACCCACAGTAGGCTGGGCCCTCCCATATCAATCAAGAAAGTATATTCTGGACTTACCAGCCTTTTGAAAGAATTTTCTTTATTATCTCTCTTCCCAAATGACTCTAGCTTGTGTCAAGTTAACATAAAACTAACCAGGACAGATGGTCAGTTTGGTTACAGTGGTAGACACACACACACACACACACACACACACACACACACACACACACACACACCACACACCACACACCCCAAAAGGCACAGAGATCTGCCTGTCTTCTAAGATCTCTTGTGATACATGAATGTAAACACACCACAGTCATGTTGCGTTAAATGTCCTTACAGGAATGGCACTCTGTTTTTCCATCAGTGTTGAAGCTTAAGAGCTGTCCACCTGTGTGGTGTGGGGAAGTGATACCAGGACCATGTATTTCACAGGCTGTAGTTCAGAGTCACAGAACTGAGCCCAGTGTTCACAGACACCTGTTTTCTTTCTTGTTTCAGGCCAGTTAAGCTCTGTTTCGGAGAGCTCTATTGAGGATCTCTATAAAACTCGAGTCCCCAGCGCAGCACTCTCGCTTAATTCCTGCCATGCTGTCGCATACTGTCCTGGGGCTGTCCCTCCCCGTGATTCAGCTGCCAGGACAAATCAGAACATCTCCATTTATTTACCGTCTGCTGTGTCCAGTGTCTCCAGCCTTCTTCCTCAGCACTGCAGTTCCATGCTTTGCCAAACACGAGCAGCCAGTCCCAGTTGTCTGGTAAGTGTTCTGTTAGTGGCCTGGTCACAAAGCTCATAGTCTGCACCCCAGGAGCTGTGCCGATCTCTAAGTCACTTGGTCTGAATGGGGTAATTGCTGCAGTTACCCAGGCCCTTAGTCTCCATGCGGCAGGCCTGGTATCTGGATGTCTAGTGTCATGAATCTGGATATGGCCTAGCTAGACTAGCATTAGGTGACCAAGTGGAATCCATCTTTTCTGGATCTGGTTGTCCCTCCCTCTCCCCTCGGAGTTCTTAAGATACTACAGCCCATTCCTCTATCTTCATTCTCAGCTGACCCCAATACTGTTGTCTTTCAGCTGCAGTGGTTACCCTCACTATATGAAAATCCATCCCTCATTCACCATCAGGCTGAGTTCAGACACCAGTTTTTATACAGCAGTCCTTGGGTACCCTCATGCTCTGGCATGTGCTTACTGGTGCTTCTGGGAATGTAGTGCCCACAGACACGATGCTCACACTCATGAAATGTCTTGGGGATACAGCCAGAGAAGCAGGTAGCTGCGATATGGGTTGGAGCATGTAGGAAGAGGACATATAGTTAAGTCAGTTACTGCTGACCCCTGGAGAGGTACTTACTGCCTAAGCCAAGATCCAGAGACAAAGAATTAGCCACACAGGAGGTCTCGAGCCAGAGATGAGCAAGGGAAGAGTGTTCCAGGTGGATGGATCAGCATAAACAGTGAAGTCTTTTGTGGAGACCATAGCTGAGTCATTTATTCTGTGGACTTAAAAGCCATGGTCCAACAATACCTAATACAAGCCTTCTAAGCAGAGTGTTGTCATCTCTACGTGACATCTGTGAAACAGGAATAATAGTGACTGTCCCAAGATGCACTTGTGAGAAAGACATCCCAAAGGGAATTACAGAGAAAACTTAAAATAGGAGGGCATCACAGATTTAATAGTGCCAGTAATGGTCAGAATAGGAAGGCCAAGATAAGTTAAAGAGGATGCAGTAGTCCTGATTGACTGATGGATGGATGGATGGATGGATGGATGACTGGCTGATATGAGATCCTGCCTTATTGTCTGCTCTGATCTTGAACTCTTAGGCTCAAGTGATCCTTCTGCTTAAACCAAAATATTGGGAACTACAGGCTCACATTCTGAACCTGACACATTCATTGGGAACTACAGGCTCTCACTCTGAACCTGACACATTCATTGGGAACTACAGGCTCTCACTCTGAACCTGACACATTGGGACCTACAGGCTCACACTCTGAACTTGACACATTGGGAACTACAGGTTTACACGCTGAACCTGACACATTGGGACCTACAGGCTCACACACCTGATTAGGTTTTAGTTGTTGAGACATGTAATTACTGTGAATGTTTTTGCTGTAGAATTTTCATAAGAAAATATTATTTTTGTTATGTTTTATTTTGTTTTGATTTTCAAAGGGGTGTGTGTGTGTGTGTGTGTGTGTGTGTGTGTGTGTGTGTGTGTGTGTGTGGAAGTCAGAGGACAGCTTTTCTTGTTTCTCACCTTTTCCTTGTTGAGGCAGTTTCTCTTGTCTCTGCTACAGTGCACTCCAGGCCAGGAGCTGCCAGCCGGTTCTCTCACTACCTCATCTGGCATCTTCCGTGGGTTCCAGGACTCAGACTCAGACCGTCAGGCTTCTCAGCAGCTGCTTGGGCCTGCTGAGTCACTTCCCCAGCCTCAAGAAAACAATTACTTTTGAGAGAATAACTGTTGGAAAACCTGTAGGTTTAGATGCCCGAAGACTCCAGTTGGCTTTATAAACTACTTGGTGATACAGAAATGCATTGTGACATTGTGAGTAAGAATGAGCTAGCCTGCAGTTAAAGTGAACGTCTCCCTCCTTTGCAGCGACAGTTTGGGACATATTAGCAATCCGTGTTTGAGGCTCATATTCTAGACCGTGTGCTGGGCACGGCTGTTCAGTTCAGGAAGAAGGGACAAAGAAAGATCTTTTGAAAGCTGCTGACCCTGCCTTCTGATGAATGTGCTAGAATCTTCCAAAGATACATAGGAAGACAGTTAATGGCACTGATAGCCTTGTGTTCTCAGGCATCTTCATCCATGCTGGGACTTCCTGGCCAGAGAGCTGTAAGCAGCAGCAGCCTGAGTGACCGCCTCCCCCTCCCATTCGTTCTACCAGAAACTATTGTTCCCTTTGTGAAAATCATACCACAAAGAAGACCTATGTGGGTGCGAACAGCTAAGACCAGGAAGGCGTGTTGATACTCCCAGGCCACCAAGCACAGATCTTGCAGCCTGCTTATTTCTGTCACTGATTTCTAGTTGCTATCTTGTCTAGATTTGGCATTTTATTTGGTTGGGTTTTTTTTTTTGGTTTTTCGAGACAGGGTTTCTCTGGGTAGCTTTGCACCTTTCCTGGAACTCACTTGGTATCCCAGGCTGGCCTTGAACTCACAGAGATCCGCCTGCCTCTGCCTCCCGAGTGCTGGGATTAAAGGTGTGCGCCACCACCGCCCGGCATTTTAAAGAGCCCCCCTTTACATTCATCACCCGAACTAAAATCTCCAGGGGCGTAGGGAGCGGTGTCTGCTTTTCCAGTTGGTGACTGAATACGTTAGTATGCTTTTGGTTGCATTTTGCAACCATGTGGGTGGAATGAGGAGCTAAGAGGGGCACTTTCCTCGCTGGATCTTTAGTTACGGATCCACAGATCTCTGCTTTGTCCTTTCTTCCTACGGGGTGTTGGAGCAACTGTTGGAAACAGGGATGGGTACGGTTGTTTTATATTTCATTGAAATGTTCTTACACAAAAGTTTTATTGTTCAAGTGTCCAGGTTTACCCTGTAATCCATTGTTTTGTTCAATAAAATGTTTTCTCTTTTAATAATAGTGTGAAAGGAGTTTGACTCTGTTAGATTTCTGAGATGCTTAATAATTACTTAAGCTTTTGTTTTTCTTGTTATAAGTCCTTTGAAAATGCCAAAAAGACAGACTCTGTAGCTATGGGGCACGCTGTGTGAAGGACATAGAAGTTTCCGACTTAGGGTGTGTGCTTCTTAGGTGGATAATGACTGTTCGCAGTTGCAGCTGTGGTTGCTCTGACGTTGGAAAAGAAGTTATTGAGGTGTTTCGGGTTCTGTGAGCTTTGCTGTATCCCTGGCTGGCCTCCCTTCCTGCTGGGAGTCCTGCTTGGATGGAGTTCCTCCAGATCCACACATGGGTTCTGAGAGAGGCTGTGGTCAGGAATTCCAGGAGGAAAGACTTGCGGCGCACGACTCCCGCAACCGTTTGTCGTCTTAAGGCCCCTCAATCCCCATTTTCCTTTCAACCTGAACGGGAGCCCGCCTGATCCATACTTGAAGCTTTCTTTATTAAAATTCCTTCTCTTGGGGAGACAGAAACAACATGTAGTCCTCCCAAGGTCCCGGTCACAAATGGAGGCGTGATTCCCCCAAAGTTCACTCTGAGGAACCATTGAGTTTATTGGGCTCCCTTACAAAGCGCAGGTGAGGGTTTACTACAGGGGTGTCGGCGGCCCTCCCGCAAAGGCTGCACCTAGAAAGTCTTCATGCTGCAGCAATGATGGCCGTCCTGGAGTCACACAGACGGGGCCCCGCCCTCTGGCCTTCCTCAGCCTTTATCCCCCAGCCCCTCCCTGAAGCCGTGTGCAGTTAAGGCAGTGCTGGATCCCAGATGGCAGTGGCTGCTGGAGGACAGTCACACGAGCAGCCAGTTCCAGAGTCCTGAACTTCACCCAAGGGTCCAAAACCTAGGCGAGAACTTCACTTTTAATAAATTGTGTTCTTCTAAATAAGCTCAACTCTCAGCCAAAGACTTAGCAGGCCTCAGCCCTTAGAAGGATTCTTCTTTTCTTTTCAGTTTGTGCATGGTTGTATGTTATGTACGCCTGTGGTGCGTACGTGTGACCGAGCAGGCACATATGCCCATGTATATACACATGCAGAGACCAGAGAAAGATGCCAGGTGACCTTTTCTGTTGCTTTCTGCCTTGCTGCCTTGAGCCAGGGCCTTTCATGGAACCCATCGCTCACCATTTCATCTAGACTGGTTGGCAAGTGAGCCCTCAGAGTCCGTTTGTATCTATCCCCTAAGCTGGCGTTCCAGGCACACATAGTTGTGTTCAGCTTTTAACCTGGGTACTGGGGATTTGAACTCAGGTCCGCATGCTGGCAAGGTAAGCACTCTTACCCACTGACCCATCTCTCCAGCCCCAGGATATTTCTTTAAAACATGAAATGGCAGGTCATGAGTCAGTATAGTGTTTTCATAACAAAAACTGTACAAGGAGGTTGCCCAGAGTGATGGCTTCGCCGTTTCTGTTAGTGGTGGAATTAGCAAGACTTGGTAGATAGCCAGTGGGGGAGTTTGAAGAAGGGCTAAGGGTGAAGGCAGACACCCGGGTTTCCGTCCTCAGTGGCTGAAGTTCTTTGAGAAAGTAGGAAGGCAACGCTTGGCAGAATGGCAGGAAAGAGTAACTTCACTGATTAGGCCCTGTGGTGCAGCCGGCTGCCCTCGGGGAGACCTCCTAACGGCATCCCGAGACAGTTGGTACAGGCAGGAACCTGAACGGCAGAGGATGTCATCCTTTTCTGATTCTACGGAATTCATCCCAGGGAGCCCCTTGGTCAGTCTTCTCATGGTGTTCTATGCTGGCAGCTTCCAGAGATCTCGTTTATACGGGGTAAAACCTTCAAAGACACAGGGCACAAGATGGCGGTGGCTGCTGTTTATGTACTAGTTGTTCGAATCATGGGAAACTAAATTCCCCCTTTGTCTAGCTTCTGAAAAATTTAAGGCTTTGACAATGCCAGGTCTTTGTCTAGTATGCAAAATAGCAACAAGCTACCTGTGGAGGAGTGGCTTCCCCTTTGAAAGGGATTCACTTCCCGTTGGTCATTCTCCCACCCAGTCTGCCTGATGCCTGGGCTGTCAAGGATTCCAGTTTGACTCCTAAAAGATCAGTGGTTCTCCTGTGTGAGTATCTAGGAGTGGGAGGGAACTTGATCAGTTTCCAGGCCATACCCCCCAGATTCAGATTTGGTAGACTTAGCTAGGCTGGGACCTAGCACTCTGCACTCCAATGAACCCTGACAGGTATGTTAGTATATATTCGATTATCCTACCTCAACACACCCTATACACTTAAATGGATGTAGATACCTGTAGGGAACATGAAGAAAGAATGGACATCCAGTTATATTTCATCGACCCCCAAACCCGCAGCATCTATAGATTTATTAAAAATGCATCCTGGCTCCATACATCTTGGACGGAGCCCAGCACTCCACAGGACAATTCTGACACACAAGGTTGGACGCTGTTGTTGTAACCTGTATAATAACATGTTCATCGAGGGTGTGGAGAACTGAAGTCAGGAGATGAGGGGCAGAGCACAGGCCTACCCAGGGTGTGAGTTCAGAAGGTGGGTTCCAGTGTTGGTAAGCTGGACAACTGGGTCATACAGTTTTGAGAAGTGCAAAGACTGAGTGAACATGGAGTTCCTAGAAAGAGGGGAAGTTAACAGCAAGATTTAGGGTTTATCTAGATGATGGGGAAACTGGGTGAAGAAAGCTGCTTTTGAATTTTTATTATTTACTGTGTAAAGCAGACTACCATAGATGTAAAACAACATCAGACAGCCTTGGCAGACTGACACCAGCCCCCGAGCCTCTTGGCGGTTTTCTGTCTAGCTCTCAGGAGTACCACTGACCTCTGGCTCTCCCTCTCCATTCTGTGGGCTCCCTGGTATGTGGAATGAGGAAGTGAAGTGGGAAACCCAGGATCACCTTGGTTAATCTGGTATCAAGAGCTGGTTTCATCACCATGGAAACAACACCCCTGAGCAAGACTGAGAAACTCTTTATCTCTATTTTTCGAGGTTGGTTTACAATCCAGGATAATCATCTTTCTGCAAACAATGAAATAATTGGAGGACACAGGCAGCTGTGATTGGCTTAACAACAGGATCTTGTACGCTGCTGAGTTTTTCTCAGACTCTTACGAAGCTTTTAAAGAATGTTTTTCTCAACAGAGTGGTTACGAGGAAGTCCAATTACAAAGTGCATGTACTGTGTGCTAAGTAAGAGTCCAGAGAAATGGGTTTCTAGAATGTTCTGATCCACTTGTTTTGAAAAAGTGGTCTTTGCAAATAAGTGCTTCTTGTCAGTTTAATTCTTCCCCAGATAGCCACAAGGGTTCGTGAGAGGGGAAGTGATCACATTTCATAAAACATTACATTCTTACTCCTTTTAGCCTGCCTTAGACTGTTCCCAGGTCCCTCAAAGTAATAGCTCATTAAAAAAAATTAGACTTAGGGCTTAGGCAAAACTATATAATTAAAAAAAAAATCCACCTATAACAGGTCTTAACATAGCAAGTGTCTCAAAGATTGTTTTCCTCACAGACTCAAGTTTGAACTAGAAAGTGTTGAAAAGTAAAATACCATGTGTGCACTGGGGTCCGTACACAGAGCCAAGAATGCACTGATCTCTCCTGCTGTAGGCTCACCCTGGCACTCTTAGGTGCCATGCTAATACTCATGTTCAGGAAATAGGGGTAGGAAGCCTACTGGATTTAAACCCTGGAAGTTTATTTTATTTTATTTACTATATTAAAAAGTGGCATACTGATTTTATCTTTTAGTGGAGTGCTATAATTGAACTACCATGTGTTATTTAACTTCTAAATACTGATTTTTAAAAGAATTTTATGTGTATGAGTGTCTTACCTGCATGTACATATGCACCATTTCCATGTCTAGTGCCTGCAGAGGCCAGAAGAGGGCACTAGATCCCCTGGAACTGCAGTTACAGATGGTTGTGAGCTGCCGTGTAGGTGCTGGGAATTGAACCTGGGTCCTCTGCAGGAGCAGACAGTTCTCTTAGCCACTGAGCCATCTTCCAGCCCCTAAAATGCTGATTTTTAAATCCCTTGCTAGAGTGTGTTCTGTGATGTTCTTTTTCTATCACTTTAGTAAGTTCTTTTTCAGAGTGGCAGTGAGTCAAATGCTGAGCGAAAATTCCCCAAAGCCTTGACTGAGTTTGAGAAGGAAGAGGGACAAGCAAGATTCCAGAGAAACTATTTTCTTCTAGGAGCAAAAATTACTATTGAAAAAAAAATGTACACAAACAGATTGTCTTGACATGAAGGAGCATTTTAAAGGGTTAATCTTACCCCTGTGCCTGGGAGAAATTCCTGCAGGATCTACTGAGCTCAAAATCCTTGCTAGCTATCTTGAGACTTGTGGACAGTGGGAAGAGAATTCCTTTCTTGGCCACCACTGCCCCTACCCTGTGAACCAGGATTGCTGGGTTGCAATGTAAATATTATTGCTGGCCACAAGATTTCCCAGAATCTTTTAAGAAACCTACCCTAGGATTTGCCTGGCAGAGAATGTGTTTATTTTGGTATCACTGTTAATTCTGCCCCAAATGGAAAGTCCACAATAGAGATGCATTAAAATGGTGGGATTGTGTCAGCAGAGGGCAGATAGATACAAGGAGAGCATGCTAAGATATTTGCATGTATAACCTTGGCCCTGGTCCAGTCAAGTCTGGGAAAAAATACACCCAGTTCTCTATCCCACCAGCAGTGCGGGTAGGAGTCCACTCTATGAGGAGGCATGTTGGACCCCTGGCCTGGCTCAGCAAAGGTAAAATACCCATGTGTTTGTGTAAAGGGTCTGCTTGCTGAGGCCTCAGATAGCTTGTGAAAAGATGCCTGAGCAGCATTTCATCACGGGTTAAGTGTGTTAGAGAAATCGGGTTAAAATGTTAAATCTCTGCCACTAGAATTGGCTTTGTGTCATTTGGGTATTTCCTACAGATGCTACGGAGAGCTCACGAATACTAATCAGAT